TCCTGTATATAAACATTCATTGGTATGGAGGTTTATTTGTTTATTTTGCATGACATAATAAAATTAGAGAACATGTTGACTCAGTTTAAAATAACCAATTAAATATTTCTGTTTTTGGAAAAATATCAGGTATTTTGACAAAATTGTTTCAAGTGGATATTTCCCTAATCTACATACATGAACTTTTTTAAAATGACGGTACAAGGAACAACACCTGTTTAGACCGGAAACACCATTTTCCAGACGATTCCAACTATGATCAATTTACAGGAAGGGATATTACGATTTACCCATTCCGGGATTATGCGCACGTGTTTCCAAGATTACTAGTCTAAATTTTTAATAGGAGATGACTGATCTGCATGGGTGAGGTTGGGATAGAGTGTGGATAGAATACATAAAATAAACTATTAAAAAAAAGAAACGCACATGTAGTGTGTACCTCACTGAACCTTACTTCACAAAAAATCCGGTATATAAATTGGATATAAGTTATTGGAAAATGTTGGTGGCCCGATATTCGACAAACGGTGCGTCAAAACGCAGCCATTGTCGATTTGCAATGTCTTAAACGGCATTGTTTTCACACTTGTTCAAAAATGTCATGGAGGAAAACAGTAAAGCAACATGCACGTGCAAGTTATGGCATTCGTAACTCGTGGTAGTGGCTATAAAAAGGCAAGCATAAGCCAATAATTTGTCATTCAATTGTCAACATTTTTCAAGTTCCGAAATGCTGAGACTCAGCGCTGCCGATCGGGACATCGCCATAGGACGTATGCAAAGAGGGGAATCGCAGTCTTCTGTTGCACGCAATTTCAACTTACACCACAGCACCATTTGCCGCCTTTGAGACCGATGCACCCAGTTCAATTCCACTGCAGACCGTCCGAGAACCCGCCGACCAAGAGTTACCACCCCTGCACAGGATCGCTACATTCGACTGTTCCAACTACGTCATCCCAATGGTACAATGTGTGAAGCCCATTTCTGGTGTCCCCCGCCGTCATATTGCTGGAATATCGCTAAAAGCGGCGTAAAATCATACTCACTCACTCACTCCTGATCAACGGCCTAATGGTCTTTCGAAATATCCAGCCTCGCTCTTCTTAAAGACTCGAACGATGACGCCATGGCAGCTGTTGGGATTTTGTGGACAACCAAGAGAAATGCCTCTTCGAAACTATGATATAATCCTTCCAACATCGTTGGCAAAAGTGTATCAACGTAGACGGGAGTTAAGTTGAAGAATATGTAATTTTTAAATGATTCAAGACTTACAAATCAACCTTGTATAGACCATGTTGTAAATAAATGTGACCTGTTTGATATCTAAGCAACGTATTTTATTTTCATAACTCGTCTTATTTATATCACAATGCGACTGCCTCCGTGGTCTAGTGGTAGAGCGTCCACCCGGAGAGCGGAAGAAGCTGGGTTCGATCCCCGGCCGCCTCATACCAAAAGATGCCAAAGACTGGTCAGTTAGGAGTCAGTATACTGTGTCTGAGTGGGGTATCCATGTTAAACTGCGGCGTGGTATCTCAGAGTGCAAGCACTACCAAAGCATTAGACATACATGCACGTCGATATAAAAGTGCAATAATCTTGGACGCCACGTTAAAACTCCAGTTCACCTCATCACCTAACCTTATATCATAATGCACTATTAATACGTATTTGTATGTTATAAGTTGTCGAATGAACGTTTGGGCTACAAATACATGCCATTTTACATCTTAGCATAAGATTTGTTTACCAATGCAGCTAACAATTTGTCATATTTACCGCCCGATTGGAGTGAGTGGGTTGGGTTTAACGCCGCTTTGAACAATATTCCAGTTATGTCATTGCGTGTCAGCTTAATGTGGGAGGAAAGCCCTAAGCGATGCTGGTCTCAGACGTTTACCACTTTAGTGAAACTAAACTGAAACCCATGAGCACGGGTTTGGTGCTGACTAACCTAGAGACATGATCGGGGCGAACCGGGATTCGAACCAAGGGACGCAACTCTGCACAGCGAATTGTGGCGCCTTAGAGGACTGGGCCACCCGTGGCCGACAGGATCATAAATCCTGAACCTATAACAGGATCATGGATAGGCAAACAATAAGGATATTGGGGAAAACAGACCGGCCGTACTCCCTATCACAGTCGAGCAGTAACTGGATTATGAACGATCTGTTCATGGTACCGTGAAGAGTGATCGGGTGAGTGATTTATCGCCATTTGTATAGTATTTCAGCTCAAGCACAGCCTGTCAGTTTCATTTCGAGGAAAGCCCACATGATGGGTCTAAGGTGTAAGACGTTTGCAGATTCCATGAAACCCAAAAGCAAGCACGGGTGCTGACAAAAAACGCTTCCACACTCCTGGCGTATCTGGCATTCGAACTGACGAGCGCTGTCTCGTACTCCTATGGAACGCAACTAGACAGAGTAAATAGCGGCGCCTTAGACGAATTGGTCACCTGTGTCCCCGATACCATTAAAAAATATTATATTATTGTCTGTTCGTTTGGTTGCTGTCCCTTAGCCGTACCAGGATCCTATGCGCATGGGTTTAAATTCAATTAGATTCAGTCCGATTATGATGCTTGGTTTGTTTTGACTTAATGCGTGGTCGTGGGTTTCACAAAGGTTAAACATCCAAGAGCGAAGCCTCTATACTTAAGTGCCGGAAACATTCTTCCAATCACAGAATCATCAACACTTAGGCTTCAAAGAGTTATTTCCCTTTAATCATGAAATGAAGTTTTCTATGAGACTATCAATTTTTTACTCAACTATAGAAGTGAAGAGCATTGCAGCAATGTCAGGCCATTTTTCAACACTATGATTCTTTTTCTCAACTCCTAATGGTGGGTTCAAAGAATGACTGTATAATACCAGTGCTACTAAATAAAATAACCAGGATTCTTCAATTTTACAATCAAAGAGTTTACTAACAGAAAAGTATGGTCTCATTTGTTCTACCATTGGGAGGGGGTTATGATCAGTTACTGACTTTGGTCGCTACCCTATTTGGAACAATCTACCCCTCACTATCACAGAATCTTTCATCACTAAGTAACCTTTCATCAGTCATCTGCATTACCTGCTTGTCTCCTGAACTGTAGGGATGAGTAGCGGAACACTTCTGATTAAAATACTACTACTGTGTCAATGTCTTGCCTGTAAGTGTATGTAGCATGTTAAAATGACCTTATTTTGAGTTAATGAATACATAACCGCATCGGACAATAAATGAACAAATACAGATAAAGCATACAATCATTTTCTGACAATATCAAGAAGAGCAAAAAACAACAACATATTTTGGTTGCGTTGATAAAATAGTTTATGGTACTAGATACATACTTAAAACAATGAGAAAAGGTGATATAACATAACAAAATAAATTTATGGTATATACAATGAGTATGAATGCATTAAGTTGTTGATGGGGAAACACTATACACAGTGCTCACAATAAATGTATCAATAAGTAAAATCACTGTCAACATTGCACAGAATCCTGAGAATATATTTGAATCAAGTTAGGTGGACTCAATATTCTACCATGAATTTGGAAAATACCCGATTCTGATTGATCAGGGGTTTCAAATCACAATAACCACCTCTGATGGAAAGAGCTGCATCACCACAGCTTACATTTACAGGAAGGTGCTTTCAATCATTGTCTGATGGCATTTTGAAATGTTTATGTGCACAATTGTAGGTCTCAAACTGCCAGGCCAGGTGAGCTATAAATATATACCTTAGCATATTTATATGATATGGACACGCATGATAACAATATGTGTATTCGTGGTCATATTTAAACTTTCATGAATATGTACTATTCAAAATAAGTTAAGGAACACCTGATTCTTTCACATTACTATAGTTAATCTGTTATGCCATGACTAATTAACAATAGCAACTTCTTTGAGAGGCATTTAGAAGTTGGAGTACTAAGTGAGTGAGTGAGTGAGTTGGGTTTAACGCCGCTTTTAACATTATTCCAATTATATCACAGCGTGTCAGCTTAATGTGGGAGGAAAGCCCGAAGTGATGCAGGTCTCAGACGTTTACCACTTCGGTGAAACCCACAAGCACGGGTATGGTGCTGACAAATCTAGAAACATAATCGGGGTGAACCGGGATTCGAACCCACAATCATAGGTTTCTGGCGTGTCCAGGGGACGCAACTCTGCACAGCGAATCGCGGCGCCTTAGACGACTGGGCCACCCGTGCCCCCCGGAGTACTAAGTAATGATAAGATATATGGATGAACAACTTTTTTATCACAGTTAGGAGTGACCTTTCGGTGTAAGTTCTAAATATAGCAACATGAAAGAATTGGGTGTTCTTCAACTTATTTTGAGTAGTATATATTACTGAATGAATGAAAAAATCATTTAAAACATACTGAATATAGTCAACAGTAAACTATTGTGGAGAAACCATCAATGAAATATCTGTAGGTGAATGTCATGACAAACTGTGGTTACACTAATGCTATGACATTATTAATAGATTGAACAATGATCAGTTCTTATTCAGAGCCAAATCATGTTGGGTGTCATCACGAAGACAGGAAGTGGGAGGTCAAAGACAGTAAACTGTAAACAGGCAGGCTTGGGGAGTAATCATTATTATGCAATTTTAGGCTTCTGTAACAGTATGGACACAAAGGAACATAATAAAACGGGCCAGATCTCATTAAAATCAAATCTTAGTTCTCGCTACCGCTAAACCAGTTCTGACCAATCAGAAGGCAGCTTTCTCGTGCTTTACGGCACAAATTTCAAATTGGCGACTACGCTTCGAAGCATATTTTGGCAAATTCTCCATTACAAATTTGAAACCTGAACAAAAAAACATTCTGGAATGACTAATAGATGGTCTAGATTGTAAGGATTCAGTCGTTAAACCCGTAACTATCGTTCGGAATACCCCATGTTAAAGTTTTCGAGATTGCATGATTAGAAATCACATTCCGACTGTCACTTTCATAAATCAGGTAAGCGATGCACTGATTGGTCGGATGAAAGGTCGTTCTGATGTGACCCTTAATGGGATGTCTTCAGATCTTTGTTTAGTGGTAGCAAGAACTAAGATCTGATTTTAATAAGATTGAAAACGGGCCTTACTTAGCGTAATGCATTAAACCACATGAGAACCTTAATCAAAAACATGAAAAGATTTGGAAAGTATCTGTTGATTCTAAGTTGACGGTAGACATGCTTTGCAAATCCTGCAGTCGACCGAAATCTGCACTGCAGTTTACAAACTGGATGTTGATTTCGTTACGCGATTTTCAAGGGACTATGCACAGACTTGTTAGTCCAGCCAAAATATAACTCCATAATTCCTCTTGCCTCACTAAGATGGGTCATTCCAAATAAACACAAATCCACAAAACACAGTTTTTATGAGCTATCTGGACAACTCATTACATATAAAAAATCAGGGTCACAACTGAAATAATAATGAGTCTGTGAGGTTACCATGGTTACCAGAAATAATGCGCAAACATGATTTGCTGCCTTGAACCACAGAAGTGTTTCTCATGCTCTCAAAATTACAAACATCACAGGATACTTTGAAATATAATGTTTTAAAGAAAAGGACTAATATAAATTTCATTTAGGTTCCTGTCAATCAACTCCTATCTTGACAACAGCTTGAAGTAAAACATATCACATTACGTGAAGCTAAAAAACATATACAGGTAACTGAAAATGTTAAAATTATCACACATTTTCTAATCAGGTCAGCCCTTACAGCTGTTCTACAAAATCATGATCTTGATCATAACCGTATTTCCTACAAAACACATATAAACGTGCATGTAGTAGGATTGTGAAGTTCCAAATGTATGATAGTTCCTATTACCCATCAAGTTTGTGTCCACCCTGTAAGTTATCGGACTAGTTTATGTGTCATATTTATAATTATCATACTAAATATATTAACAATTCAAAAACATATACCAATGACTATGCAAGAAAGCATGACAAAACTAAATCACTGAGTTTGTATACACCTCTATAGTTCAAACACAGAAAATCATAATAGAAATGAATTGAAAATAAATTACAAAATACATACAGGTCGACATTTAAATGACAAATAATGCAATAGCTATTTTACAAGTGAAGGCTTTTTTCATTTTTTTATTATAAATGTTTTCCAGTTTTACATTCATTTAAACTGTTGAAAAAATAAATAAATGAATTTTGCGATTCAAAATTATACACTACAGTATATTATCCATTAAAATGAAAAAATATATAAAACAAATATATCTTTTCAAGAGATTTTCGGTAATTATACATGACCATCTTCTTATCAATACATTGTTTTCATAAATACAGTTATAAGTTAGCATATGTAGAAATATTCTAAACAACCATTTTTGCAAGGGTGATAAAATTTTCAATAAAACCTTTCCAATATTTTGTTTTTTAATAAATCATTTTTAAAATACAGCCATTCACAATCACAAACCTCGGTGGACCATAAATCTCCATTGTGTCCGAAAACTTGTGTGCAATATCCAGTGGATATACGTTCAGTGAGGTCCAAGGTCACACAACCTACTTCATAATTTCTGGACATGAGGTATCCTTATTATTAAGATGGCTACCAGTAATCAAATGATCAAATTCATTACATTGCACTTATTTATTATACATTATTCACAAATATGTTCAATGAAATTCTTTTCAATTCTTGCATGCAGACAGAATACAACAGCTTCTTTCAATACAAACCCTGCCTATATCCAGTTTCAGTGCTGTAACTGATACACTGCAAGATGTGTCAGGGTGTGCTAGTGGTCTCTCTCTTCTGGGGGTCGGACAGGCACCCCCAGGACCTTGAACACAGACTCCTCCGTGGGGGTAGGGATTGTTGTGCCCTCACAGATCTTCTCCCCTCCCTAGAAAAGTTGTTTTCATTAAATATTGTGTCATAAACTATGTAATGTGAAGAATAAAAACTATACTTTTACATGATTGTTTGTTTTTGTTTAACGCCACACTCAGCAATATTCCAGCGATATGACGAGGTCTGTAAATAATCGAGTCTGGACCAGACAATCCAGTGATTGACATCATCATGGGCATCGATCCATGCAATTGGAATATGATGACATGCATCAAACCAAGCCAGCGAGCCTGACCACCCGCCTTTTACGACAAGCATGGGTTGCTGAAGACCTATTCTACCCCAAATCTTCACGGGTCATCTTGTGATGATGCAAGAGAGTAGGACAAATATAAATCATGACGTCATGTGATGACTAATTTGTATTCTACCTTGCACTGTAACACTTTGTCTCGATCTGTATCTAAAAAATAGGGTGGAACAAAAATACATGACACGAAGCACGGAATCGTGACGTGACTGTCAAGTAGGATGATCATCAATAGTATTGTGATAGTTAAAACGCTATCATGACTATTGCCAAGTCTCAGAGCCTGACAACCAGATTTCCAGTCGCTGCTTACAACAGGCGAGATGAAATCGGGTTTAATGTCACGTTCAAGATTATTGCACTTATAAAGAGACTTGTGTTTGCTGGTGCTAGTCCGGACTAAAGCCAGTTTTACATTGCTTGTCCACTGAGATACCATGCTGCAGTTCAAAATGAATACCCAACTCAGACACAGTATACTGACTCCAAATTGACCATTCCTTGTTTTATCCCATTAATGCCGAGTGCCAGGCTGGATAACAACAAGTACCATCTTTAAACATCTTTTGGTTTGACACAGACAGGGATCGAAAGACTGACCTTCTGCTCTTTGGGCAGACGCTCAAGACACAGAATCCACACAGGGTTATAGATAAAATAGGAAAATGCATGTCGATTAAAACATTGTGCTGGGGTCATTACTAACAAAACCCAAATAATTTCTTCAATCTAACCAACTTATTGAAGAAAAAAACTGTATCGCATGCTTGCCTTCCGGACCACCCCAGTCTTAAGGGCGTGTTCGTTGAGGGACATGTGCATCTTCTTACACAGATGGCGCAGGGAGCGGTTAAAGTGGGCGGAGCCAGTGAAGTAGACAAGGGCACAGCCATACTCGTCATACGGCACGACAATGATGTCCAGCCGTCGATGCTGCAACATCGACAAATTTCTTGGATTAACATTTTAAACTTAGTAAATAATATAGAAGTTGTCATTAATAATTTCTTGTCTTTCAGGCTTTAATCTGCTTCATATCCGTCTTAACAAATTCCTGTATTTTCTTCAACATTGTTCAAATAACGATCTGTCTAAACAGTTGTGTTTTTAATGACTGACTTCAGGCTTCTGCAAATGATAGCGGTCTGAAAAATGATGAAACAGTGTAATAATCGGGTATTCGTAATAAACGTCACTACTTACCGCACAGCTTATTCTATTCAGCAAACAATGACTGCGTTTCAAAATAGAGAGTCCACGGTCCCATGCGACAAAGTGATCCTAGCGCTAAGACTATTGTAACAATCCATACTTTAACATCGTAACTCGTATCGCCACGATTGCTTTGTAGAACGGGGCTCTGGGGTACTCAAAGTTAGCTGCTGTGGTACTTGAATCAGAGAGCACTAAGTTTTCAACTTTTAACAAAAGGGTTACGACATGCCGAAAACCCTTGACTTTCATGCTTATTTTAAACAATGAATAAAGTTATTACATGTACCTATCCCAAGCCGCGTTACACGATTACAAGTATTCAGGATTTCATGGTGAATGACTGTCCCTTTAATAAAATAACGATCTCAGAATTAAGTGGCAACTTCTCCCATCTCTCGCGACATCAGCTGCATCTGGTGTGTATCTACCTTTCTATTCTCCCCAGGGAGTCTACACACACCCAGGTATTTCTTCTGGTTGCCATTATCCTCTGCTGACACAAGGTCGTCTGTGAGGAACTCTGCATGGAAACAACAAACATGGCTACATTAGCAAAGTGGCTATTCCAGGGACCGAAAATAGTGTCCAGCATCACAGGATCAAATAGAGTGGCAGAAATGAATCAATTGTGTCATATAGAATATCCAGCGCATTATATCCCCATTCAAGAATGCTATATTACCCTGGACTCATATGTCACCTTAGCCTCATTTTGACACTGGTTTAAGCGACAAAATAAATGTCCAATCAAATTACAATAATTAGGATTATGTTTATTTTATACACTTATCCTGCAATACATATTGCACATTGCTCTTACTAACGAGCCTAACTAGAAATGAATGACGATCTGTCAGCGTCTTCAGTAACCCTTTTGCCCAAATGATTTCCATGACCCTCGTGACATCTGGCGTCAACCAATCAAATGAAAGTAGTGCCATGCTGAAAGTAGTGCCATGTGTGGGTAAGTGTAACCTACTTTCCTCCTTGAGTTTGGCGATGAGTTTCCCGTACACTCCCTGGTGTGATTTCCCATCTGGGTGGGTGACGAGGATATCCACGTCGCCACACGTCACCTTGCCCCGTCGGTACGACCCACATGCTTGAGCTATGATGCCAGGCTGGATGGACTCGGCTGCTTTTCTCACCTGCGACAGTGATAACTTTGTATAAAACAGTAACTGACTGCGGCTTGAGGTTACCATGGCTACCATTTCAGGTAACTGTTTATTCTGTGACCAACTATACAACTAATTTCTTTATTAAGTGGCTTGTTGAAGTTGGTTTGATGAATAAGGGTGATAAATTCTAACATCGATCGTTATCAAGCATGTGATGTGATACCAACACCGTTATCAACCAAGTGACGTGATACCAACACAGTTATCAACCAAGTGACGTGATACCAACACAGTTATCAACCATGTGTTGATACTAGCACTGCTATGAAGTGACATCACCTGCGTGATCACAGTGTCAGTATCTACACCAAAACATTGCATTCATTGCAACAAAGCAGTTGTATTTCCACAGAATGATCTCCCGTGTTCAACAATAGATGGTAGCGATATGACACATACTGGTAAGCCGGTAGCGATATGACACATACTGGTAAGCTGGTAGCGATATGACACATACTGGTAAGCTGGTAGCGATATGACACATACTGGTAAGCCAGTAGCGATATGACACATACTTGTCAGCCGGTAGCGATATGACATATACTGGTAAGCCGGTACTAAATGACACATACTGGTAAGCAGGTAGCGATATGACACATACTTGTAAGCGGGTAGCGATATGACACATACTGGTAAGCTGGTAGCGATATGACACATACTTGTAAGCTGGTAGCGATATGACACATACTGGTAAGCTGGTAGCGATATGACACATACTGGTAAGCTGGTAGCGATATGACACATACTGGTAAGCCAGTAGCGATATGACACATACTTGTCAGCCGGTAGCGATATGACATATACTGGTAAGCCGGTACTATATGACACATACTGGTAAGCAGGTAGCGATATGACACATACTTGTAAGCGGGTATCGATATGACACATACTGGTAAGCGGGTAGCGATATGACACATACTGGTCAGCCGGTAGCGATATGACGCAAACTGGTAAGTGGGTAGCGATATGACACATACTGGTCAGCCGGTAGCGATATGACACATACTGGTCAGACGTAGCGATATGACACATACTGGTAAGCCGGGATAAGTTGAGTAGTTCATGGCAGACTTTCCTTACTCAGTAAATGTTTCACATGTTTCAATTTCATAAAGTCATTAAAAAAATATTATCATCATGATCATAAAGGACTGGTCATTTATAACAGCAGGGTGTTGCTGTGGAATTAGTTTTATGATTATAGGGATTGGTCATATTTTGACACACACCCCACACCCCATGTAACATTTTTTGTGCCCAAACCTTCCATACATGTATCAGTTTATGAGACAACCCCAACCTCCCTATATTAAATGACCAGTCCCTAAATAATTTTCAAACTTATACCGTTTTCAAAACACAACTAAATCATTTTGTCATGGGCCTCATTTTATAGGTGTAATAAATTTTGGCGAGAACTTTCTCCAAATATTTTGAAAGCATAATCTGGAATGGAAGTCGCCAGTTTGAAATTGGTAAAGCACGAGAAAGCTGATTTCTGAATGGCTAATGTTTTGTTGGTCGGTCAAAGTTACGTGAACTATAATGGGGTGCCCTCAGTTGTTTGTGTTGTTGTAGAAAGCATTAGGATCGGATCGTAATAAGATTTGGCAGAAAAAGAACAACGCTAGGGGTTGTATTTTCAGAGATGATGGGACAATATGGACACTAAAATAAATAAAAAAATCGTTTAAAGGCGTTAGCATGATCACATGGTGACTTACCACTTGCTCTATCTCCCCCGCCTCCTCCCGCGGCATGCGGTCCAGCAGGTCGTCATAGAGACGGAGCCCCACCTTCTGTTGGTGGGTCAGGTTGGCCTTGGTGCGCAAGTCCTCCAGGCTTCGAAAACCCTACACAGAAATGCAAACCCAAAATTGAGGCATTTAGGAACAAAGATAATATGGATCTAAAAATAATTTTAAAATAATGCGAGTAATATGATTCATCATATTCCTATTCTGTCTATATTTTTAAGAACCTATGTTTGCTGCTCAGCTTTAGATCCCATATATGCCTTTAAACTGAATAATCATCAAATAAATCATAAATTCTTAGAATGAGCACACTTGAAAACAAACATAAATGGACAGTTCCTAATGCAAACTATAAAGATGTACAAAAGTCAAGCTAATGTATTGTGGATATTTCATAAACACGGTCTTTCAGAGTGCCATGGCATCTACACCCAAAAGGTGGTCCCATCAAGCATATATTTGCGCTCTGTGCAATTTTTATTTCTTTTGGTAAAAATGAAGCTGAAATGTTGAAAGCTGACATGTGACTGTTCACCTGTTGGTACCAGACCCTGGCTGTGTGAGGTCCGGCGCCCCACAGGTCTGTGAACATGTTGAGTATCTGCAGCTCCTCGTTGGACTTGAACTCTTCCAGTTTACGCAGGCCCCCGCTCTCGACGATCTCCCATACCTTGTCCGCCAGCTTGGCCCCCACACCGGTCAGCGCCCGCGCCTCCTGTCACCATGTCCAACATCAGCTCATCATCACAAACACATGACAGTGGTTAAAAAGTGACTGAGCTTGAAGCTGATTTACATATTTTCTATGATTGTCAATACATCTTTCATAACACATGCATAAGGCCATGTGGGCATGCTTGACCCAGTCATCTAAGGCACCACAATTTGCAGTGTAGGGTCCCTTGGGCACGACAGAAACCTATGATCGTGAGTTCAAATCATGGTTCGCTCTGATAGTGTTTCCAGGTGTGTCAGCACCATACCCATGCTTATGGGTTTCACCAAAGTGGTAAACGTCTAAGACCTGCATCATTTCTGGCTTTCCTCTCATATTAAGCTGATTAAAATTTGATATTTAATTTATTTGGTCAATCACTATTGTGTGTATCTATGAAGAAAGGCATATCGTATTCACTGTAATAAGCGCTCAATACGATAATAATATATCCCTGTTATGGTAAGCATTTTTTATATTCTGTAAATTGTTTTATCAATACCTATGTGTGAGATTCCCTAGTATGATATCCTGGACTAGCAATCACACTGAACATGCCTTACTTCTGCCCCCCATGCACTACTGGGCCCACTTGCACAAAGCAATCTTAGTGCTAAGACTATCGTAAGCCTATGTTAAAATATGGGAGTTACGATCATCTTAGCTCTAGGAAAGCTTTGTGCAGTGGGCCCTGGTGACTCAGTAACTAATGACCAACATCATCCCTGGAAACTACTTGTTTAGCTTCTGTAACCATGGTAACCCTTTTTGTATCTCTCAACATTCTAGCTACTGTTTTTGTGATATGAACAACAAGACAAAATGTTTACTATATTTACATATTCTGTTGGTATGGTCAGTTTTGTTCAGTTCAAATTTGCAGCAAAATTGAAGCATTGAGAACTGGTTTGGAACGTTATTCGTCATTGAGTCAACTTCAACCATATCCATGTCATAGCCACTCTCCATAAAGTCTCCTACTAATACATGCACAGGATGCTGGGTACAATTGTAAGCTGGAATTTCCATGGTCAGTGTAAATATGCTTATTTTTACACTTTTTGTTGTTGTTTAACGCAACACTCAGCAATATTCCAGCTATATCATAGCAGTCTGTAAATGATCAAGTCTGGACCAGACAATCCAGTGACAGACATTATGAAAATTGATCCACACAACTGGGATACCATGACATGCATCAACCAAGTCAGCGAGCCTGACCACCCGATCCCGTTAGTCGCCTCTTACGACAAGCATAGTCGCCTCTTGCGGCAAGCATGGGTTGCTGAAGACCTATTCTAACCTGGATCTTGCAGTGACTGACAGAGAACGATCAACCCCATTGGGTTACAACGATGACAGTATCAATCAAGTCCGCGAGCCTGACCATGTCGCCTCTCACGACACTCCCACAAATTATCGCGGTTGTAAGTACATCATGATCATAATCTGACTGCTCCCTGGTCTTACCTCCCACGTTGTGATCTGTTTGGGGTGTCGTCTCAAAGCCTGTATCGCTTTCTGATAACCAAATGCTCTCCACTTGTCATTTGTGCTCTCATAGTTCTTCACCATTTCCTGGAAAGAAAGCGAAACTAATCAAGGTCATGTAACCATGGTAACCCGACATTCCTAACAAATTATTCAACACAATCTATAACTCATGTTCATTCACAAAATTATGCCACTGATTGTGTGTGTGTTTTGTTTGTTGTTTAAAACCACAATTCATATATTTATATATATTACATTTCAACTATATGACAGCAGTCTGTAAATAAAATATATCAAGTCTGGACCAGACAAACCAGTGATTGGTTGATTGGGACAGAGGACAAAGTAGCACAATTTATGGATAACAACTTCTTTATTTTACCGGAATGACTACGTATTGGTTCTCTGACCATCATTTTGTAACAGTATTATCCTTCTGTCATTATTTAACCTACTCATCTTAATCTCTCTCATGTATGCAATTGTTGTTACTGTTAATCCTCCAACTACCATATATACTTTGTACCATGTACATTCTTCAGCCATGTTTGACAACAGTATAAGGATCTATATCGAAATGTCACCATAAAAATGAAGTTGTTAACCAATTGTGTCTACTTTGTCATTCGTCAACTTCTGAGAAATGTCTATCAAACAATGAGTGAGTTCGGTTTAACGCCACTTTGAACAGTGTGTCAGCTTAATGCGGGAGGAAAGCCAACCAATGATCATAGGTTTCTGGCATGTCCAAGGGTTGCAATTCTGCACGGCGAATTCCGGAGCCTTAGACGACTGGGCCACCTGTGCCCTCTTGGGGCCTGGATCCACACAGGTGAAATCAATAAAACAAACTAGATAGTTTGGTTCAAACTAGATACATAATCTAATTTTTTGTCATTGTATCTACATGATGTGAAACATGTCAATTACAATTTGCTTGTTTGTTTGTTGCTGAACATCGCACTCAGCAATATTCCAGCTATATGATGGTGTTCTGTAAATAATCAAGTCTGGACCAGACAATCCAGCGACTGATATCATGAGAATTCATCTACACATTTGGAACATGATGTCATGCATCAACCAAGTCAGCAAGCCTGATCATCCCATTGGTCACCACTTACGACAAGAATAGTCGCCCTTAACGATCTATTTTAACCCGGATCTATACATGTTCACGGGTCGTCAATTACAAATGCTAATTATCATCATCATGGTACAATGGGAAATTCTTATGGTGTTGTTCAACTTACAAACCTCCAATTTGTCTGTAATATGTTTATTCAGATTTGGCTTTGGGTTTTTTGATGACTGAGCACAAATCCACTTGTCAACCTGAAACATATATGAAAAAATCATTTATATCATTAATCATCATGTTCTTCTTTACTGATTTACATAATGATGCCATAATAATCATTCAGAGGTAGATCCAGGATTTTTTAAACTCATAACTTCAGCGTGTGTGTATGTTCAAATCTATCAGAGTGATTTTTTATGTATGCTCCCCTCACCCACCACCCCATCAATGGACCTGCCACAGTCAATTGTGTATATGAAATACTTGATGCTACAGATGTGCAAAATCTTTATGATTATACTGATTATCATGGTAATTAATGTACATGATGGAGATGCAACTTCAACAGGTACAACTCTTCTGTTTCTACAGTTTCACTGCAAGTATTGCCTGCTCATCATGCTAATTGTGATATCTTTAGCTGTTGGCCATGCTGAGTTAATTTAAATGAATTGAAACAAAAATATTCAATCACATACCATCTCGTAATCATTTATCAGGGTCATGTAGCTAAGTACTTAGAAAGTTTAGTTTCATGATCATTGTTATCTTACCATGCGTAACCATGTAAACTGATGTTGGTTAATTGTTAGTGTCCTTTATTGTGTTTATGTCAAATGTGAGTGAATGAGTTGGGTTTAACGCTGCTTTTAACAGTATTCCAGTTATATCGAGGCGTGTCAGCTTAATGTGGGAGGAAAGCTCGAAGTGATGCAGGTATCAGACGTTTACCACTTCGGTGAAACCCACGAGCACGGGTCTGGTGTTGACAAACCTAGAAACATAATCGGGGTGAACCGGGATTCGAACCCACAATCATAGGTTTCTGGCGTGCCCAAGGGATGCAACTCTGCACAGCGTATCACGGCGCCTTAGACGACTGGGCCACCCGTGCCTCCTTATGTCAAATGTCCACCATTCATGTACATATAGCATTGTCATGTTACACATGAACACACTTATCAGTAATGTACAACCAGTGAGGCGTCCATTTGAAGAATAAGATTTTGAAAACTTCAAATCAGGATAAAAGGTAGTTTAACCATTGTAACAAATGTTAATTCTGGGATAATTTTTACACTTTCTGAGTAAAGTACAGATTCTCGTACTTCTTAGGGTTGAGTCCCATCCGGGATTGAACCCACACTGCCAGAGTGAGGCACCTAATCGCCAGCACATCTATATAGTTTAACATTGTTTAACACTGTTGATACTGTAAATCTTTAAATTAATGATCTCCAAATTAATTCGACTGCTGACCCTAGCCATCCACCTATCCCCAGTGGAATGATAGAAATCTATCCAAACAAACATCGGCATATGGAAGTCAGCATTACAGAAGTGTTCCAGGTTATATCTTGTGACGAATATCAGGATTCGCTCATCATTCACTTGGTTGGAAATTGTATAAACTTCTCATATATTCAAAACAAGTGCTCTACTTCCAAAACTTCCACACTCCAAATATTAGCAATGTTCGTCCATACTCCAACCATATTTCTCCACACATTTAGTTAATTAATTCACTTACAGTTCCTAAATGAAAAAAAATATGTATTTAAAATGTATCTCATTACTAAATGTTTGAATACATTTAGGAGACATATGCGAACAAAGACTACTCGCACTTTTTGCATTTAATTCACGCTTGCGTTAATTTCAAGATCCATACAATGCAGTGTTGTACAACTTATCAACATTAATAATCATCTGATCATGATAATCTAATGACTGGGTGTTGTCTATTGAGTCTGAAGTTACTTGATCATGGTGATTTTTATACTGTAGGATGCTCAGTGAATTTGACAAACCCTTTTTCTGACACCAAAAATAATGATAATACATGTGAAGTCATTGACAAGATTTGGATATAATAAGGATAGGGATGATAAGGATGAATATGCATGATTTATTACCCATAGGGTTAGACATAACTGAGTTCATAAAAAATGGAAGTGCACTTGTGCAAATATCACTTCATGTGCTGCAATGTATTGCGTCTGCGCATTGTTGACGTCATTTGAATCTTATTGTGACATTACATAGTGGTCGGAATGATGTCACACTAGAAATGATGTCATAGCTGAAGATTGTTGACGTCATTCAACAATACTTGTGGTTCATTAAGACAACGGTTGTGATCTGTGCATTTTTCTAAAGGGGAGCGCAAAAGGATTCTGAAATAATCATGATAATGGGTAATAAAGAAATTACACTCGCATGTGTGTCATACTGATTATAAGAACCTTGTGTAAGAATTGATGTATTACTCTTGCTAGGGAAATACAAGAATTCTGATGCTTGTTTCATAAAAGCAGTAGACTCATGACACATATGCTCGTATAATGACTTCTATATGTCATGCAGATAAACCTTTTCAAAGTGCAAATAAAATGTAAATGTGCCCATAACTGCCTAACTGTAAAACATTGCAATAATTGTAGTGTGCTGGAGAATATCACACAGCTCACTGGCAGTTGCTTCATGGGAGACGTATTTGGTGTTGTATCAGCGGAGCTGGTGCTGGCTGAGGTAACTCCACTGTCTGAAAACAGGCTAATATGACCAACCATATCACTCTCTTCTTCGCCATCACTTGCCACATAGTCACTATCCGCATCTGATAACTGGTCCTCATTCTTCGCTTTCCTAAATGCATTGAACATAACTCCTGCTTTTGCATATTCTGGTTTTGCCGAAGTTTCGCCTTTTTCTTCCGACTTATTTGTGTATGTTTTTTCTTCTGTGTCAGAATTGTTTGGGGATTCATCTTTCCTAAAAAGACATGATATATCTAATTTGTGATCTTCAGATTCAATTTTCGTTTTACTCCGAAAACAACCACTTAACCATGAAGTTTTGACAACAGTGGCTGACGGGGCTTTTTCAAGTTTGAGAAGCTTACATAGTCTTTCTGGCTCCATTTTATCATCAACCACGAGGTAGCTGGTCGTTGTCGTCATCTCTTTGTCAATGACACCCCCATATTTTTCTACATTGTTCCTAAATATTTGCATCCTTGCTTTTTCTATACTTGCTGGTAATATAAATACACTGATGCCTTTAAAGAATTGAGAACTTTCATCAGGCACTGGAGACAAAGTATCTGGCAATTTCCTCTTTTTAGAACCATCTTTTGTGTTGTCTTGGTCGTTTTTCCTTTTCTTCGGGGGCATTTTGCCTATTCAAATATCTTAACTGGCAGTGACAATATAAATATTTAATCTCAGCTCGTATTTTGTCGGTTTTACCCCGCTGAACAACAAGCATCAAAACGAGGAAATGACAACAGTTACAAACAGGAAGTGGCGCCGAGCTGCTTATTGAAATATCTCATTGGTTAATAATATACGCGTAGCCTACAATACGGCAAATTTCATTGGACAAAGCTCCCGGAAGGGAGACTGAGTTACCCGCGAAATTTGAGGAAGTGAGAAAATCATCAGCTGACAGCTTTGATTGAGCTATCAAGCAGCAGGTGCATTGTTGATCAGATACCGTAAGGCTATTGTTCGCTAAGCTTCTCACAAACTGAAGAGTGCCTTTAACTGTTAGAGTTACAGACACTGACTGACAGTTCTGTGATAGCGGAACCGTGTGCTCTGTCAATGTGTTTTCACTGCTATGTATGTGTTTGTCGTTATCATCTGGTTATAATTCACTTGCAGTATTTATTCAGAAAGTAATCGTTTTCAGTAATATCAGATATAATATATGCAAATATATATATTTCTTATTATACCGTCCAACAAAGAATAATACAAATTTATATACTAGTACCTTAATTGCACTGTACTGTTGTACAGTGTAATAATCATGTTTGAAATGTAATATTTTCAAAAAGTAAAAGTGAAAAATAGTAAAATATTCCAAATTGATTGTTCTTTTACGAAAGAGACCCATGCAAACTGGAAAAGGCTTCACATATCTCATGTTTTTCAGATTTCATGAGAGGAATTTAAGGCCTATGTATATGGTGAATGATGGAAAAGAAAATAATAGGATTCAATGATGCAGGCAAGACGGATCAACTGTCAGCGGCGCTTGATGACCTGCAACCATCCCAGGTACAGAACATGTGGACAAAGGTCTACAACACTAAAGGCCTAAAGCACTGAATAATAAGGATCGATAATAAACATGATAATTAGAATTACTCACTTTTAACTAATGCAAATTGTTTTTATGTTTTTGTAGGATATCTGTCATGATAAAATATATCCGAGAAATTTCCTTTGCTGTACTGTTTCAACTCATTCTCAGTCTTACAGTCATAATTAGTCCATCTGTGAGTTATTGGATGGCATGAGTGAGTGAGTGAGTTTGGTTTTATGCTGCTTTTAGCAATATTCCAGCAATATCACGGCGGGGGACACCAGAAATGGGCTTCACACTTTGTACCATGTCGGTAATCAAACCCTGGTCTTCGGTGTGACGAGCAACGCTTTAACCACTAGGCTACCTGACTGCCCCGGATGGCATGATGTTATGATTGTTTAGATTGTGTGTAAGTAAGACAGTTATAACAAAACATAACCTCCCAGCAGGTTGAAATATTACAAATTATGTTATTGTTAACACATTCTTAAATAACATTCTTTCTTCCTTTGTTGTTCCTTCGCGGTCTGCGTATAATCGAGTCTGGACCAGACAATCCAGTGATTGATATCATGCGCTTTGACATGCATCAACCAAGTCAGCAAGCCTGACCACCTGATCCCCTTAGAATTTTAACATGTTCTTTAGATGCGTAAATAAATATTTATTTAGTTATAGAGTGAAGTTGACTATTGTATTATTGCTTACCAAAATTGCATGTCTGTGTGTTTATACTAGTGATCTCCAGAGTCACTTCAACATGTACAATAAGCTGTTCCACCTTCGGATAAGTTTATCATTAAAATGCTTGCCTGCAGAATTTTTATTATTTATTTGCCGCGGAATACAGCAGGGACATGTACTATAAGATTTGACCACATTTTGATTTTAAGCCGGTACTTTTTTGCTTTGTATTGGATGCTGATTTCCAATGTGTTTGAATGAACAGCTGACAGACATGCTGAACAACTTAATTCTCAAAGGACGAGGGGATCCACTGGCCTTTCTGCAGGCAGTTTTCCAAGGTAAGAACTGCAGCAAGTGAGTGAGTTAGCAATATTCCAGCAATATCATGACACCAGAAATCTGCTTCACACATTGTACCCACTAGGCAACCCCGCTGCCCCAAGAATTGTCGTAATGATTGTCAATCATAAGAAGCATCCTCTTAGTCCTAATATCAGGTGGCCTTGAACATGTTAAATGTGACAGCCCAAACCACTGTTTTATTCTTCAGTTGTTTTTCCTTCAGTAAATCAAGGTCTTACGAAAAGGTGATGTGGTTCTGATTACCCGACCAACCCTTATTAAAGGTGGCGCCCCTGATTATGTTCATGACAAAACAAAGAGCAAATATGTCATGAATGAATTACAGCAAAACTATAAGGAAAGACCACACAATGCCATTTAGAAAGTGGTCAGATGTAACAAATGTTATATTTGGGATAACACTTTCTTAGTAAAGTACAGATTCTAGTACTTTTGGGGGGTTGAGTCCCATCCAGGATTAGAACCCACACTGCCAGAGTGAGGCACCTAATCACAAGCACACAAAGTCAGTGATCTAACCCACTCAGCCGACGTGGCTGAGTGGATAAATAAGTACAAAATTCCCCAAATTGCCAGCCCAACCAAGCATACCTAAAAGTCCAATTACATTTCATCAGCACTGAGAAGTGATTGCCCTGTGGGGATTATGAGTAAGAGCGGGTCCCCAGCACACTGTTGGTTGTACAATGTTGTAAGAGGCAGGCAAATGGATCAGATCGTCGGACAAGGTGACTTGGTGGATAGCGAGTCATGAACCTCAATGTCGTGGAGCGTTGCTCACAATATCCTATGTCCAGATTATAAACAACAAACACACACACACACACACAAACTGACAGACATACACACTGGTGTGCGCGCATGCACACAGACTGACAGACACACAAACTATGTACATGAGTTGTGAAAACAGTTTTAAACAAATATGAATATAACAGTGGATTAAAGACTCCATTCAGAATGTTGTTAATGTGTCTGCATGCTGTGATAGAGACTGTATGATGACAGGGTCTCCATCAACGGAGACGTCTGGTGTGGAGCGTCTCCTCCTGGTGTATCAGCACCTTCTCAAGATTCTACACAAGAACGAAATCAACACCAAGATGGCATCAAACTTGGTTGGCCTCATGATGCTTGAGGTAGAACTGGTTTTAACTGTCTTTTGTAGGAAGTGCTTCAAGCAATTATAATTACCAAATACTCCTCGTTTTAATACATCAATGTTTCAAAGTACTAGTACCTTATCCAAGGAAATGCAGGGTGAAATAATTCCTTATATTTTGGTGCCAATGGCATGATTAAAATTTATAGCTGACCCAGATAGACCTGATAGAAGAGTACTGGATACATGCATATGTGTAACCATGGTAACATGCAAAGAAACACATTTAACCAAAAATAATTAAATCTGAAAAGTCCCGCTGTACAAACTGATACATTAAGTAACATGAATTTTCTTTCATTTATTCTTCCCATAATATGAATGGATAAGTTTATTTTGTTTATAAAATACCAAACTGTCTGTGTTAGTGCTGGGACACGTAACTTGGGTACTCAGGTCCGGTGGGTACTGAGTAGGACCCGGGTACCCACATGACTACATGAACCCGTGCTTAGTCACGTGATTATATTGTTTAATGGCATAAATTATCTAGAACTCTATAGTTAAACTATAAGTGACAAATGTTCACATTTCTTTCTGACCATACACACATTCCTTCTGACTTTATATTTTTGCATAATGATATAACTTCAGTCAACTTCAGTGAATGCATGACCAGATCGGTTTTGTCAAACATTTCCCATTCAGACTTTTGTACCTATCTCTTGAGACCTACAGCGAGTACCGGTGTAGTGTCAGGTAATAGAGGGGTGGGTACCCGGGTAGTAAACTTGGACTGGTCCCAGCCCTAGTCTGTGACAATTTTAAAGATGTTAAAGTTGAGTTTCAACATGTAGGACTGTGGTAACATGGCGTGTCTGTGTGCAGGCTGACTCCCTCCCCGGCACGGTGTTGGTGGAGCTGGCTAGTAGGTTTGTGGAGTCCATCAAGGAGGGGACGCTGCAAGGAGGAAAGTAAGGAACCGACATTCAGGGGGAGCGGGATATTTGTGGGACATGTCAGAGCAAGGATAGTGTTTCTGTCACCACTTCAAAACATACTGTGGTATTAGCTCAACCCTAAATGGGCCTCAGCCAAAGACAGGATAGGGGAGGTAACTCTCACGAGCATGCTGCTGGCTGCAAGCACATGGCATTAGGCACACTCTTGTACATAGCTATACTTACAGTGATTAAACACAGGTAACGAACAAAGACATCTTTGTCGTATCGCCACAATACACTGTCTCTGTGTCAATCAATTTTGATTTTACGACACCGGATTTTCAGGGCATTCATCATGTCCAAAGAACATGTTTTTATCTCCCGCCACAAAGTGGAAGGAGTGAGTGAGTATGGTTTTAAGCCGCTTTTAGCAATATTCCAGCAATATCACGGCGGGGGAGACCTGAAATGGGCTTCACACATTGTACCCATATCGGGAATTGAACCCGGGTCTTTGGCGTGATGAGCGAACGCTTTAACCACTAGGCTACCCGACTGCCCCCAAAGTGGAAGGAGGATACACAAATGGGTGCTGTCCGTCCGTCTGTCCGACATCTTTCATTTCCGGAGCAGAATTAAAAAACCATGAGAGTTATCTTGACCAAACTTGGCACATATATATAGGTCTGGTGGTGAACTGGCACTTTTTGATAGTTTGGGATTTAAAAAAAAATTATTTTTCGAGTTCCCATGGTAACAAATTTCACTTACTCTAAAAATGGTGGTAGTGCTCCAACCAACCAGACATGTTATGTTAGCAGGGGATAGGAGTATTTCATGCTTGTTAATTTGTATTTTGTAGAAACTGGGTCAAATTATACTTTTGTAAATAATGCCAGGTCCATCTCTCCTCTTCCCTCTAGACACAGAATATCACATGGTCAGTTCCTAAGCACCATTACATGTTGATGTGACCCGTGAAGATCCGGGGTAGAATAAGTCTTCAGAAACCCATGCTTGCTGTAGAAGGCGACTATGCTTGTCGTAAGAGGCAACTAACGGGATCGTGTGGTCGGACTTGCTGACTGAGTTGATGCATGTCATCGATCCTAATTACGTGGATTGATGCTCATTAATCACTGGATTGTCTGGTCCAGACTCAATTATTTACAGACTGCTGTCATTTAGCTGGAATATTGCTGAGTGTGGTGTTAAACAACCAAACAACCAACCAACATGTTGATGTGAATACTTATGGTCGTGCATTTGTGAAAGATTTGGAAACTAGACTATCCCTAATTTTAATATCATATAGCCAACTTCTTTCCTAGGTCTTTTGTACCTAATATATTGATTAAAGTTTACTTTGCAGATTTTTGTGCATAAAACATTTATTTTAACTAGAGCTGTGTAACATATTCTGTTCTGATATTTATCTCACATTCTGTTTCAGAGCACTGGAGCTATTTCCTAAGTTGCTGTCGGTGTTGTCTGTGCAGGAGACAGTCGTGCACGGGGAGAACTCCATGAAGGGGTCGGAGTACAAGAGCCATGTCCTCAACAAGGTCTGCTCCTGCAAGTAGGTGGAAGTGGGACTTGGATTAACATTCTGGGGCACCCAAAGCTTGTAAGAGCCTATCTAACCAACCGTGAAGATCCGGAATAGAATAGGTCTTCAGCAACCCATTCTTGCTGTAAAAGGCGACTATGCTTGTCGTAAGAGGCGACTAAGGGGATCAGTGGTCAGGTTGCTGACTTGGTTGATGTATGTCATTGTATTCCAATTGTGTGGTACGATGCTCATGATGTTAATCACTGGATCGTCTGGTCCAGACTCAATTATTTACAGAATATTGCTGAGTGCGGCGTTCAACAACAAGTAAACAAATGTAGGAACCTGTCAGACGGTTAGATGATTGTATATCATCAAGTCCTGACAGTGTTTCTCTTGCCCACAACCACTGGGTGACCTGACCCATATACAGGCTGTTAGTCTGTTTCTTCTGTTTATTGTATAATGCCACACTCAGGAGTATTCCAGATATACAACGTCTGCCTCTACCTAACTGAGTAAAGGCTGACTCGCACAGTTGGCCCATCGAATCAATATGATTTGACCGAGTCATATCTTTAAAGTGATTAATCAAATTCAACAAAAGGGACAATCGGCCACTCGGACCTGAGTCAAAATTGTGTCACAAGTGTGAAGAGTCTGTTCTAGCTGTTCGGAAAGTTGGATGAAGCATGGCCAATCAAATTATGTGTTGGTGTCACGTGATATTTGGTTACACAGAAGCGTGAAACGTGGCTTCATCCGCTGCGGAGAATCCACGCCTTGACTCTTCAAGAGAGGACACTGAGCATTTCGTGGATCACTATCTGAGTCACAAAACCCTGTGGAATGTCTCAAGCAAAGATTATTCCAAGGAGAGGAATGCTTGACCTTGGCACAATGCAACAATCACTGTTACTACTGTGTTACAATGCTGACCTGCTACATTACAAAGCATGACAGCTTTTTATTTCTTCTTAAACAAACAATAACATGATGACATTGACACTTTTTATAGATATCACTTCAAAAGTAATGCTTTAATTAGAACAGAATCACTTGAAAGGATTTTTGAATATTTCATATTAATAAGTAGAATATTTATAGATGTTCAAAACCATTGAGGATCAATACTGCAACATGTCCCTGATTATGTTTCAAATCCGATTATTGTCAGCAGCATACCTGTGCTCATGGGTTTCACCAAAGTGGTAACCTTGCATCATTTTGGGGTATCCTCCCATTATTTAAGCTGACACGGCGTGATATAACTGGAATACTGTTCAAAGCAGTGATAAACACAACTTACTCACTTTTTTCATGAATGAGTTGACTAGAGGTTATCACGCGAGTGTGTTTGGGGATGGTAAATATCCTGTATTAGGAATAAACATTGTATTTAGAGAGCCTTGGTGAGGTAAATACATAGTGTTTATTCCTAATACAGGTTATTTACCATCCCCAAACACAAGCGTGATAATCTCTTTATCATATAATGTCATTCTTCAATTCTGTACACCAAATCTCTTCACTGCTCTCACAAACATCACCTAAACATTGCAAGTTTTCCTGGAATGTGCGCATTAATATCTATTGCGTCTCAGACCTGGATGGGGCACAGGTGGCCCAGTCGTCTAAGGTACCCCGATTCGCTGTGCAAAGTTGTGTCCCTTGGGCACGCCAGAAACCTATGATTGTGGGTTTCGCCAAAGTGGTAACCTTGCATCATTTTGGGCTATACTCCCACATTAAGCTGACACGCTGCGATATAACTGGAATACAGTTAAAAGCGGCATTAAACCCAACTCACTCACTCACTCACCGAGACCTGGATGACTTTGGACTTTCCTCCTCAATCACTGCAACACACAAGAACATACTCATACCATTCCACTGTCTATCCTTGTGTTTTGTAGATGGAACCCTCAGAGTGTCCTTCACCTTGCTGCCATGTTCCGGGACGTCCCCCTCACACAGGACGAACTCAAGTTTGTCCTTGAGAAGGTCCTACGTGGGATGCGTGACCTTGACCTTCAGGACCTCCCTGCACTGGTCTATCAGCTGTTGTTACTGGCCGCTAAGGTGGGCATTGAAAGCACCGGGGAACGACTGATTAAATGTGGCAGAATTATGTGAAACTGCAGAAAAAATGTCGTTAATTTCATCGAGCAATTGATAATAGTTAATTTTGCTCCAAACTGTAACAATGCATTATATAAAGAGTTGCCAGCTTGGAATGTGAGTAAACAATTGAACAGTAATGTTAAGAGTTTGTTGTGATCCAATTGATTATCCCCTTGTCACGTCTCCACACAGGGTCATAAGAGGCTGGTCCTGGAGGGGATCACTGACTTCTTCATAGACCAGGACAACCTTCACCGGAGCCGGGGAAACCAGGAAAGGTAAGTAAACATGCTTCCCACCGCGGGTATTGCTCAGTTTGTCTATCAGATGGGGTATAGAGCAATCTCATTTCAATCAGATCTTTTGCTCCTGATATCTCTGTGTGAGAAGATCTGAGTGAGTGAGTATGGTTTTGCGCCACCTTTAGCAATCTTTCAGTAATATCATGGCAGGAGACACCAGAAATGGGCTTCACACATTGTATATGTGAGGAATCAAACCCGAGTCTTTGACATGACGAGTGAACACTTTAACAACTAGGCTACTCAACCGCCCAACCTCATAAAGTCAAAGTAAGAAAAATGTTTAGGAAACTGATATTTGATGCATCTCTGTAAAGTTGCTTAAATATGAGCAGATCACATCAGTGGCATATAATGAAATCATTTTATGATGAGAATCAAGTACAAATGATTACAATAAATTAATGATGGATTTGCGAGCTCTGATTGTCAATTGTTTGTTTGTTGTATTTGTTGTTTAACGCCACACTCAGCAATATTCAAGCTATATATGATGACGGTCTATAAATAATTGAGTCTGGACCAGATAATCCAGTGACTGACATCATGAGCATCGATCAATGTGATGACATGCATCAACCCAATCAGCAATCCTGACCACCTGATCCCGTGAGTCGCCTCTTATGACAAGCATAGTTGCCTTTTACGGCAAGCATGAGTTGCTGAAGACCTATTCTACTATTCTTCACTGGTCAATTGTCAATGGGATATTGAGACTCATTTCTAGAGTGTGGTAAACAGAGGATCTGCATCTTCATTATTTTCCAGGATACTTAAGACTTCAGTTCCGTGTCTTTTGCCTTCATAGAGTTATGAAGAAAACACGGATCACAGATTTACCCACTATGCTCCACAGGTTTTACGTTTTTACGTTTTTACATCTATAAATGCAAAAATATATTGAGTCAACAATAATAACTTAAACAGGCTTATTTTATCATTAACTCAAAAAATTAACAATATGAAATCAGTGACTGTTCTGCGCAATAATGCAGCATAAGTCCCACCCACTATATCAGCCAATAAGATACAGTCGTTCTCTAGTGGGTGTGGCCTGTTTTGTTTTTTAGATTTATGGAACAAACCCCAAAATAACTGCTTGGTTAGCCAATCAAATGCTGTGGAATCACAGGCAATCTATTAACTAGAAAATAAGTTAATCACGGACAAGGCTAAAGTGAATATTCAGGAAGCTCTGAGCATGCCGAGTTGGGACAATTTCACTTTGGATGAAATCCTTGAAGATGGGTGTACAATTCTCATGGACGTGAACCTACATGACCTATGCATCTCAGTTTCAAAGTCTGAGACAGCAATGACTTCTGCAGTGTCTGATACCAACTATTATACAAGTAATTACTTTTGACGAGGTCAAGATGCGAAAACATTGACCCTCAGACCCGACCCCTAAGGTGGTCTGACCGAACAAGGCTGCATGACGAGGCCCAGTCAGACTACCGAAGGGGTCAGGTCCGAGGGTCCTTGTTTTCGTATATTGACCTCGTCAAGAGTAATCATTCGTTTTGTTACACCGAAATTCACTTTAAAGTTTATGAAGCCTTCAACCTGTCCTCTGTTTCATAACAGTAGCATAGCTGCGAAACTAAAATTTTGGTATACCAGACACCATCTTGTTTTCTAGCAGACGAGTCAATATTCATCACGTGACAGGTCAATACTGATCATATGACATATCAGTACTCGAGGTCAGTGTCAGTCACATGATTTGGGGGTCCACATTGAAATGTATTGTTTTGACACGTGGTACGGATTAACCAATTGTGAGATTCTGTAGAGGTATAAGAGTTGCCTATGTTTACACAGTGAGGATCTGATGTGCGAGTACAGCGGTGTGGAGACGTTGCGGCACACGGAGGGTACCAGCATCCTCCATATTGTCGTCTCCGTCAAACAAGATCAGGAGCTGGGCAGAGAGTTTGTCAAATATCTGAAGGTTTGGGCAGACACATTTCTCCATTCTTTTATCATGATAACACCACAGTCGAATGCATGTGTTTACTGTGAAACCTGTTCATCTAGTTGTAGCTTTCCATCTGAACTTGCTGTGACAAAAGTCAGGATTAATGAATGGGTATATACGTATTGATTAATGAATATATTAATTAATGAGTCATGGGTATATATTAATGAATTATGGGTCTGCAGGCCTCAAAATAATGACTAAAACGGTCGCCAATGCAACCTAAATTTCAGTTTGTTTACTGTCTAAAATTCAGTGGTAGCCAAATGACTACCTTGAAAAATATCTTGTGGCAACTAAATTCTATTGCTACACATCTGTAGACACAAAAATAAATTACAGGTGATCTGCCAAAAATCATACTCACAAATAATTCCTCCTATAAAGTTGACAATGAACCGTAATACATAAATATTAATGTAATTAGTACTTTATTTTAGTTGACAATGCTCATTAGATAAGCAAGAATATACCTATATAATCTGGTAACATAAATTGCATCATTGTTTGTCATGTTCGAGTCACAAGTATCAAAACCCAAGTACAGTTTAATATACAATTCCAAGACTAGTGCTATAACTTGTACCTATAATAGTTATTTGATAAAAGATGATTTCAAATGCTTTTGGCTTCCTACAATGTTGGCTTGACTTCTTGATTTTTACCCCTCGCTACCTGGAAAAAAAAATACTTGTAGCCAATGTAAATGTATCATGTGTAAATCTGGATTAATGAATCATATATTTATTGGGATTAATGAATCGTTGCTACATCTGGAATAATGAATAAATTATATTTCTTAAAGCTTCCATTTATGTAACCTTTTATAGTGATGTACACTTTCCTGTACATGTGAACATTGACAGCTTTTATAAATTGCTATACAACTCTTGTAACACGATGAATAGTTTTGTTCGTTGGCTGGATATATATGAACATATATTACAGGCCAGCCAGTTGTCCTGTCCAACGAGAGCTCTTGCCCCTTTCAACCTTGCCCTTGCCTTGTCCACAGCCCAGCTGCACAGATTCGAGGATCAGGTAATGTATGTTGCAGGAGACATCAACTTCCTGAATCATCCTAGTGTTGATGCATGTTGTAGGTTCATGTATGGTATTGTTGGAGTTTGGATGTGTCATCAATATTGTGATAACTTTTCTACATGTTCATGCAGGCTTGATAGGCCTTGAATTTGGTGGTCCTGCCTGACAAAAAGCCTTAAATTTGAAAGTGCCTTGAGAAAACCGTATCATCGATCAAATACCTTGAAAAATCTAAGTGGGCAACCATTGTTAACTATGCTGTTTTATAGATATGTTAAATTATGTTTTTCACAAATCATGCTTGATGACATGTGTCAAAAGATTGTCAGTGGATGGATAAATAATATTCATGTGTGAACCTTTCATTCTTGTTATAATGTGTATACGTGAATGGGTCCTGAGTATTGGTCATAACAGATGTGATAAACTTATATTAACTGAGAAATAAACGACTCGTGGTCGTTGTTTATCGTACAATAAAACTCTGCAGGGAGAATAAACCACGAGGGGCATGAGTCGTTTATTTCTTTAACAATGTTGATAAAATGTACAAGCTTCTTTCTCCTTATACTGATTGTGATATCTCTCCCGTTCAGCCACTGTGTTTATCTGTGAAGCCCAGCTACATCTATGGGGAACAACTTACAAGACACTTCCCTCTAAAAAATAAGGTCATCTAATATATGACTGCATCAAGTTAAGAGCGCTTATTCGAATCTCCAGAAATGATGGCAAGATAGAACAGTGTTTTATATAGTGAAATAAACCACGCTTTGTTTTTCATTGTTCGTTGCGATTTATCTTGTAGCTATCTTATATTCGAGGCTATTCAAGTCTGTGGTAGCACAAGCACATGTTAAGCTGGGCAGTGGATTTCACATGGATAGGATTGTCTTCTTACTGCAGTGACAGCACATGTATTCCTTCTTGAGCAAGTGTAGTGATTTCTTGTTTTTGTACTACCTCCTTAGTGTAGTGGATAGAGTGTCTGCCTTGAGAACATAAAGTCGGTGGTTTGATCCCCGGCCATGTCACACCAAAAGACATTAAGGGATGGTACTTGTTGTTACCCTGCCTGGCGCTCGGCATTAACAGGCTAAAACAAGGACTGGTCGGTTCGGAGTCAGTATGTTGTGTCTGTGTGAGGTGTTCATGTTAAAGGGGGCACGGGTGGTCCAGTTGTCTAAGGCGCCGGGAGTTGCATCCCTTGGGCACGCCAGAAACCTATGATTGTGTTTTACCGAAGTGGTAAACGTTTCAGACCTGCATCACTTCGGGCTTTCCTCCCACATTAAGCTGACACGCCGTGATATAACTGGAATAATGTTAAAAGCGGCGTTAAACGCAACTCACTCACTCACTATTCATGTTAAAACTGCGGCATGGTATCTCAGTGGGCTGGCACTATAAAACTAGCATTAATCTGAACCAGTACAGGCATGAGTGTCGCTTTATAAATACAGTAATATTGAAAGCGATGTTAAACCCAATTTCACCTCACCCCATGCTTTGTTTTCAGATATTTGATTTTCTAAAAAGTACAATACTGAGATGTTTTAAAGACACTGACAGGCAGCAGCAGTCTTACCTGGTGAGGGAGATCACACAGGAGAGACTGAACATAGAGCACATGGTGCTGGAGACTGTCAGTAACAGGTGAGATACAACATCACCATCTTGTAATCATCATCCCGAGGCAAGGGAGATAACTGACTATTAATGTCCAGTTTCCATCCTAGCCGAACTTGGCTGGAATTATGGAGTAACATTTTGGTTGGACAAATGAGTCTATGCATAGTCCAATCCAAATCGTGTAACGAACTAGACATCCAGTTTCGTAAACAACATGGTTTTCAACGTGCAGATTTCGGTCGACTGCAGGATTTGCAAAGCATGTGTACTGCCAACTGGGCATCGATAGATATTTTGCAAAGTCTTTCATGTTTTTAATCAAGGTGCTCATTTGATTTGATGCACTTCACAGGGTTAGAACCATTTTATTACAAGATAGATCTTGATTATCAACCAGATTATCTTGACAGGGTGCCGCCATTTTGTTTGAAGGAAATGCAAGTGATATGCAAGATAGAACCTGATTGGTCAGTAGGAGGAACATAGAAAGGGACATAACTCGTAGTAGCCACTGGTGGCACTACAATTGAGCCTGGAAATTCCATCCTAGTTGGGCAAGGGTGGAAACTGGACTTTTATAGTCATTTTTTTAGTCAGTTGCCTCGGAAAGATGGTTGTAATGGGAGTTGAAAACTCAAATTGCAAATGGAAAAGTGCGAGAAGCTGTGTTCCATAAAACTAGAGACTTTCCCAAAACATGTATAGTAAACAAACAATGCCATGTGTATTATATCAATATATTATTTATAAATTCATTTTCATATCACATTTATGATATTTTACCATGTTCTGGGGCAAGCTCCAACTGGCCAGACCTGTGAAGACCCGGGGTAGAATGGATCTTTAGCAACCCAGTCTTGCCGTAAAAGGCGACTATGCTTGTCGTGAGAGGCGACTAACCTGATCAGGTGGTCAGACTCGCTGACTTGGTAAATGCATGTCATCGTATCACAGTTGCGTGGGACCCGTGTAGACCAGGGGTAGAATAGGTCTTCAGCAACCCATGCTTGCCGGAAAAGGTGACTATGCTTGTCGTAAGAGGCGATTAACGGGATCAGGTGGTCAGGATTGCTGACTTGGTTGATGCATGACATCGTGTCCCAATGGCGTGGATCGATGCTCAAGATATCAATAACAGGATTGTCTGGTCCAGACTCAATTGTTTACAGCCCGCCATCATATAGCTGGATTAATTTATTTTTTAAATATTTTTATTTCAATTAAGTAGACATAAATGTAACATTGGTACATGAGGTATATAAGTGAGGCAATTCAAAGAATCTTAAAACATGATCAGATATGGGTATATACATTTATTGGATTGACTGATGAATTATAGCTGGAATATTGCTGAGTGCGGTGTTAAATAACAAACAAACAGACAAATGGCCAAAGCAGCCTGGAACCCCATTCCCTCTATGCAGTTTCCTCCTGTTCTACCCCCAGTGTGTACGGCTGGGACCATGTGATACAGAGCCTGGTCCAACTCGGCTTCACGCTGATGGACAGTTTTGGCCCCAAGGCCGTGTTTGGGAGGATTGAACCCACCAGCCCCACCACACAACTGACTCCAGCCCGGCAAAGCTGTAGACTTGGTGCAAGGCTCCTTATCAACACATTCAAGGTAAAGACACGTGAAGGACCTGAGCATTTAATGGCAACTACAAAAGAATTGGTTCTCAGGCAACGATTTCTGAAAATATAGTGCAGGCGGGAGGTGGTTTTTTGTTGTTGCTTGTTCAAACTAGTATGTAACCAAATAGACAATTGTGTACCATCAACCTGGAAAAAGGCCTCCCCACATAACACTGTCCATGTAAAGGGAAGCAACTAAGTATTTGATTTTCTTTATACATTTTTTTGAAAATGGAAATTAAAAACAAAGCGTGTGTCAGACTTTATGATGATGCGGGCAGTGCCTGAGAACCAAGACTATTATTTTTCTTAGCCTAAGTAACAGGTATAAGTTACTGTAAAACCTTATTAACCTGAAGTCCAGAGGAGCAGTGTAACAATAATACCAGGCATGTGTGAACAGTATTCCAGTTATATCATGGCATGTCAGCTTAATGTGGGAGGAAAGCCCTAAGTGATGCAGATATGCAACTTTGGTGAAACCAAATGCACAGGTATGGTGCTGACAAAGCTAGAAACATAATCAGGGAAAACCGGGATTCAAACCACAATCATAGATTTTTGTCATGCCCAAGGGATGCAACTCTGCACAGCGAATTCCAACTGGGCCACCTGTGCCCCCTTTATGAAGAGAGCACTGCGTATTGAGTATAATATCATCAGGTGTAATGCCTCACTAGGCCAGTGAGTCGTGACATCCCTAGTGGCTATAGATGGAGGCCTGACTTTTATTGTCACATTGTCCGGACCAAGGTGAGCTTACGCCATACCTTGGCGTCCGTCGTACTTCCGTCGTCCGTACATCAACAATTTTTTCAAACGACTTCTTCTTCTGAACCACTTATTGGACATTAACAAAATTTGACTGGAAGCATCCCTAGGTGGTGGAGATTCAAAATTGTGCAAATGGTGGGGCTGATCCCGCAAGGGGCTGAGGGGCAGAGCCAAATAGGGGTAATTTGGCTATAATGCTTTAAACGACTTCTTCTCTGGAACTAAGGATAGATATCAACCATATTTGGTTGGAAGCATTCTCCGGTGGTGAGGATTCAAAATTGTATAAATGGAGGGGCTGATCAACCCCCAAGGGGCTGAGGGTGGGGCCAAGTAGGGGTAATTTGGCATTATTGCATTTAATGGCTTCTTCTCTGGAACTAAGGATAGATATCAACCATATATGGTTGGAAGCATTTTCCGGTGGTGAGAATTCAAAATTGTACAAATGGAGGGGCTGAGGGTGGGGAGAAATAGGGGTAATTTGGCGTTTTTGCTTTAAACGACTTGTTCTCTGCAACTAAGAGATGGACATCAACCATATTTGGTTTGAAGTATTCTCAGGTGATTGGAATTCACAATTGTACAAATGGAGCAGCTGACCCCCCAGGGGCTAAAGGGCGGGGCCAAAAAGAGTTTATGACGTGGACACAGTATAATGAGATGATGCACATATGCTACAAGGACTGGCCCTTCTGTTCATCTGTACGGCACTCCAAAAGGAGTTAGAACCTTGACCATAACATGCATCCCAATCCTATAATAAACAGATACATTGTATACATTTGTTTGTTATGAAGAGAATAATACATTTATGCCAATAGGAATCGCCCTGGGGTCCAGCCTTGCCTCTGGAAACTTAGATCCTGGATCATAACATGGATCAAATCTTTATGCTACATTTGTATCTAGAGAAGTACACATTCATGCTGTCAGATTTGCCATCCACCCCTTTTAAATTACAAAATATTTGCAGTATTATATACATGTACAATGTAAATGTATATTTTGTCATGATGGCGTAAATATCAAGGTGAACGACACAGGCCCTATGGGCCTCTTGTATAAACATATAATGAAAGGTATCACTGTCCCTGCTGGCTTTTGAATCTGCCAGTCCTGGTGGAATGGCAAGTCTAAAAATTACCAGCCCCCCCCCCCCCCCTCCTAATTTTGTCAGTCCCGACGACTTTCAACAAATGAAAAAACATGAAAATTAACTGGTTTTAATTCTTTCAACATCATGTTTAGTGCAATGATGTCATCTCTGAAGTAACTTAGTTAGGTCTACACGTCATTCACACAAAGCACAGTTACAATTTTGAGACAAGTATATATTTTACCTCGAAGCAAAGTAAAATGTAATGTCCTTGCACCAGAAATGGATAAGGGGAAACCCTGATAGTAACAGACAAGTTCGAAAAATATTCTTATGTGAATAATGTCAATGTTTTGTTCATCAACAAAGATTTATAAGGTACTTTATTTGCTAGTCCACGGGGACTGGCAGGCACATGAATTACCGGTCCAAGCCTAATTTTACCGGTTAAAAACTGGTAAATACCAGTGAACGGGAACACTGGGTATTTCAGTGCCTGAACAGTGACAGTGTGTGACATCTTGTTTTCATGCCTTTGCTTGTTCTCCTTCAGGCTCATGAAGTTGTGAGACATGAGATTCTGGACCAGATCTTCAACAGAGTCACCATCAAGGCCACTTCACCAGTGTCTCATTACTTGGGTAAGGATGACAAGAAACATAACAGGTGTCTCATTACTTGGGTAAGAATAACAATACATCGCTGGTGTCTCATTACTTTTGTAGGAATAACAACAAAGGTCACCAGTGTCTCATTACTTCGGTAGGAATAACAACAAAGGTCGCTGGTGTCTCATTACTTGGGTGGGGATAACATCAAAGGTAGCTGGTGTCTCATTACTTGGGTAGGGATAACAACAAAGGTCGCTGGTGTCTCATTACTTCGGTAGGAATAACAACAAAGGTCGCTGGTGTCTCATTACTTGGGTGGGGATAACATCAAAGGTCGCTGGTGTCTCATTACTTGGGTAGGGATAACAACAAAGGTCGCTGGTGTCTCATAACTTGGGTAGGGATAACAACAAAGGTCGCTGGTGTCTCATTACTTGGGTGGGGATAACATCAAATGTCGCTGGTGTCTCATTACTTGGGTAGGGATAACAACAAAGGTCGCTGGTGTCTCATTACTTGGGTAACAATGACGATAAGAGGGTACTTCCAGAATTCAGAACGATACTTTCAGGCAGGGCCTAGTGTCATGAGGACTAGTTACGTCTACATCTGGGTATTGTCACTAAAATGACTGTTGCTTGCAGAGCTGCTGGCAGACACGGTTAAGTCTGCCCCTCAGCTTCTCCTGGAGTCTGTTCCCAAGGTGAGAGAAGCGTTTGACTACCTGTCATTCCTGCCGCCATCATCGGCCGAGGGACTTCTGAAGGCCATACAGCCGCTACTCAAACTCAGCATGTCTCTCAAAGACTCGCTCATACTCGTGCTGCGTAAGGCCATGTTTTCCAAGTGAGTACACCGGGACTGTGAGAACAGTTCACAAAGAATATTGTAGATCTGATACGAATATATAACTGAAAATACTGCAGTGCTTATTTACATCTGGTGATTGAATATGTCCCTTGCTGGAGATGAAGATCAGGTGATGACATTGTTTGACCTGGCTCCATGTGTCAACATGCCCACAGTTTTGTTTGTTGCTAAGGGGCGGTCGGGTAGCCTAGTGGTTTAAGCGTTCGCTCGTCACGCCGAAAAACCCTGGTTCGATTCTCGACATGGGTACAATGTGTGAAGCCCGTTTCTTGTGTCCCCCGACGTGATGTTGCTGGAATATTGCGAAAAGCGGTGTAAAACCAAACCTACTCACTCACTGTTTGTTGCTCATGCTGTCAACCAATGCTTTGTCTGTCCCAGGCTTGGTTATTGATATGATGCTACATAGCTCTATAGTTTGATACTGTAATCGATACAAACTTATGAATATTGATACTAAACTGAAAGAAAAATTTACATTTATTAACATTACCATAGTTAAGATAAACAATGATCTTTGAACACAGTCGATACCTCTAAGCTTTATGGGGCGGAGGGGTAGCCTCGTGGTTAAACCGTTCACTCGTCCCGCTGAAGACCCTGGTTCTATTCCCCACATGGATACAATGATATGTCTGAAGCCAATTTCTGGTGTTTCCTGCCGTGATATTACTGGAATATTGCTGGAAAATTGCTAAAAGTGATGCAAAACAATTCTCACTTTCTTGGGTTTAACGTCATCATACTGTAGAAACTTCAAGATTATGTGCACATGTTCCTTTTTGGTTTTACAGCAATACATCATTAATTTATGCAAAATCATTACAGTTATCAGGGATCTGAGAGTTTATTTTATTTAGACAAGTTTATTTTTTATAAACTTATGGGACCATGGTGCTGCTTGGTTTTGTCTGGAGCAACGAGGTTTTATTGTCCACATGCACCTGGTGCAAGTAAAATCAAGTTCCATAAATCGAGCCCTGCATTTGTGCATACTGTACACACATTTCTGCACTATGTGCAACCCTGTGACACGATGCAGTGTATCTTGTTCCCAGACAGTTAGACTCACGGAAGATCGGTGTGATGGGGTTCCTGATGATACTGAAGCACTTCAAGGTCCTGGGAGGCCTGGTGGCCAGTCAGTCTAGTCAGACTTTCTCCCTCAGCCAGGTGAAACATCTATGTCCTCTTGTCTATTAATGGACTGACCATTTGAAAATAATAATAATCTACATGAAAATTGTCAATACCAAACTTACACACATATTATCCGACGTTGCAGAGTTCAGATTGTATTCAGGGAACATGCAGTGTTTTATTGTATGATAAACAACTCCCACTCAATGTTTATTTCTTAATTAACCATAGTTTGTTTATATCATTTTCGACTGTCAGACATCTTGGATCAAGACAGAATATATCCCTTCAAAGGCTATAGTCTAATCACTGTTTTACTGTTGTCAATTGAGGACAAGGTGTCAGTGCTTGATCCAGTTGATGACTTGCCTACAGTCGTTTATTGCTGCTTGAACAGGATGTTTTGATAGGCTAATTGGTGACCCTTGAGTAGCTTCGAGATTAACAGTTAATCATCAGCATAAACACTGAGTAAGCACAGGACTACAAAGTGAGTTCATTATTTCTTTATACGATGTTCATTATATCCATCAGAGCTCCAGATAAGCTTCGTATCTGCGTGAAATACGCATCAGAAATGCAGAAATACACAGTAAAATATAATCTAAGCGTATCAAATACGCAACGAACATTACAGATACGCTACAAAAATCAAACTTGTGCGTATCATCAAAATATTGTGAAGTAACCCTGCGTATTGGATTAGCAAATCAGCAACTTATTTTAAAATTATGACGGGCATTCCGTCAACCTTGCCAAACTCCACGATGACAGTTACATCATGATCATTTGCCATCACACTTTCTTGTAGAAGTATTGTGGTATTTTTTAGTCCTATAAAGCTCTCGAACCCACACGACACCAGTTTGTAGGGACTAGATGAATGGTGTTTTTAAATATTTAACTTAAATACCCACATGTTTAAAATCTATTTTAAACTGCATGGGTAAAATACCCACAACACCAAAAGCTTATCTGGAGCTCTGTCCATCAATTCTGTATAATAAAATATACACCAAATGCCCAGGACCGAAACACACTTTGTTATATCCATCCGTTTGTTGTATGCGTGTTCGTTACAAATGTAATTCACTGTATTCCAGATCCAGGTGGACGTCCATAAGCCATACAATGCAGCAAGTAACGAGGCTCTGTGCCTGGAGATCCTGGGCAACCTGCGACGATGCTGCACCCAGCAGGCAGACGTCCGCCTCCAGCTGTACGAGGTAAGATGTCGCAACTTGTGTTACCACACCACTTCAACTCTTTGTGAGCATCCTTTACCTTGATGATGCACGTCTGTCATGAAAATTTGCTTATTGGCTGAAAACTAGAAGTATTCAACCTACACTGATTCAGTCTAACTGGTGGGTTGAATCAGTGTCTCATTATAAGATCTCATCCAAATTTTGTTGTACACATGCACCTTAAGTCATTTCGTTTAATATGTGAAGATGTTACAAGTATTTTACATTAAATATCATGAAATTCTCATATGAATTTTTTTTTTTTTAAATTCTGTCCAGTAGGGGTGACTTTTACGATAACTATTGATATTGAAAGAAACTATTGTGATAACTATTGATATTGCAAGCAACTATTGCGATAAATATCGATAGTTGTCAGTGTATCATTTTAGATGAATTTTAGAGTCGAATTAAACCATTGAACTGAAGTTTCCTTTGAATGTGATAACCATAACAACAAATAAAAAGTAAAGTTTGAGATATGACTGATTTGTTTTTTCTCTACCCTAATAAGTTAAGAAAAAGAAACTTCCACATTACCATGTGTAAATTACTACCACTCATGATCAACAGAAAAATTAAATTTGAACAGCATTGCATGTATTTTATTGATATGGTAAATACAATCAAAACTATCAATATTCCTAACTGAAATCAATACTATTGATCGGAAACTGATTTAACAATCGATTTATCGACTTTAAGTGCTTATCAATAGCAATATATCGATATTTTGATTTATCGTGACACCCCTACTATCCAGTATGTTCTTTTAGGGCCATGTTTGTTTTTATTTTGTTCTTGAAATTTTAAGATGCTATATCGAAAATTCAAGATGCTGTGTTGAAATTTCAAGATATCTACAAAGTTGAAATTTCAAGATAATAAGTTGAAATTTTAATATTTATAATTTCAATGTTTGTATCTTGAAATTTCAACATAGCATTTTAACAATTCAACTCACTATCTTGAAATTTCAACATCAAAATTGAAAAAACAAATGGCCCTGTAAGGCTTCTGTAAATATTTGAGCAAAGTATTTCCTGTGAAATAGTCCTGAAATTGTCACACTTTCCTACTTGTACAGGGTCTGTACGAAGTGCTGTGCCACAACTCCAAACTCCAGGCCCCGGTCCTCGATATGCTGCTTAATCAGGTAGAACATGTCAGTTTGTGTGTTGTTTAATGCTGCACTCAGCAATATTACAGCTGTATGAACGTGGCCTGTAAATAATAAAGTCTGGACCAGGCAAACCAGTAGTAATTGATATTAGTAACGATCCATGCCATCGATGACATGCAAGCAACCAATTCACAGTGCTGGACCACCCAATCCCTTAAATGTCTCTTACAACCAGCCTAGTTTGGTAGGGGTGGTAGGACCTGTATAACCACAGGGATAGAAATATATTTATTTATTACTCTTTTTCTTTTTACTTAATTCCTAAGTCTGCCATAGGACACTCATACAGGTGTTTGGGTGTGCCCTTTGAATGCAGGTTTTACCATGTGTTTTTCCAATGTATTCATTTGCCATCCCCCCATTTTTCAAAAAGGGGAGATGTTATGATCAATGTGTCCGTCTGTCCTCCGTCTGGTTCCTGAGGAAATCTCCTAAACTGTTGAATATTTCTTGCCGAAAGCGACTTTTGATGACTTGGGATTTATATTCTTTTTTATTTTTATGTTTTCATGATGACAAGTTGGGCTTATACTGAAAATGAGTGTAGTTCTTGTTTCCAGAGCAGAATTCCAAAACCCTTACATATTAAAGATGAAACTTGCTTTACAGATCAGTCTAGCGGTAAACTGGTGCCTGTTAATGTTTTGGGAATTTTAAAAATACTGAACAGCATTATTTTCTCCTTCACTGAACTGAACGTATCCAATGGCAATGAGCTAAAAGTTGGATAAAAGTAGATAAACTCCAGGTTGCTCCTGATGACTCTTGCATTTATCATTGGTTTCATTGAATAAAATGAAATTTAAATTGTTAACTCACTCACTACATGACTGATAATGTGTAATATTCCTTTCTTAGATCAAGCGTTACTACGAGTCAGACAGCGACATGACGCCTCCATTAAAGCTGGACCCCTGTATCCTGGCCCAGGGGGAGTCTGTGTATCTGGCAGAACCCATGGTAGGTTGGATATGCAGGGATGTGGATCAGTACGGACAAAACTTACATTACATTAAAAAAGTTCTCCTCGAATACGAAACTGCCTACTCTGCTTTGGGAATGACTTTACGGCGGCCATCTTGGCTTGCTTTAGGCTGCTAAGTGACATCAGTGCAGGAGGTGTATTGTGTTGGCTGACGAATACAAGTGTATATGAAGTCCTGGTGTCTGTCTATTTTAACATTATCCCGGGAAACAGGATACAATATAGTCTGTACATTTGTTCGACTTCTACTTACAATCAGCAGATCAGCTGACAATAAGATACAGACACACACGATGGGCTCAGCCCTCTGGAACAGCCATCCGTCTCACACTCGTTACCCAAATCCATCCACCCCACCACATAACCCACTTGCCATCACAATCTCATAGAATATAAATATAAATACAAAACACAGAATGTAAAGAATCCATACTACGAAACCCTGAACATTAAAGACCCTGGAAGTAATATCCTGGGAATGCAAAGGGAGGTAACCCTGTAATTGTGTAGACCACTAGCAAATGTGGCCAAACATATAACTAAAATACCAAATACCGTTTTCCTCCACAATGGATAGCAACACAAACAGTGGATAATTGCATCAGTACAGGGTAACCAAACATCATCTGTTATAATTAATAAACTGATTACCACTACAAATTATTTTTGAGACAGGTCTATTTTTATTGAATCATAAAGTACCTACAACCATACCATGGACCTAGAATGTGTTTTCCACACTTTGTGGGGTTAACTTTAAGATGACACTGTGAGAATTCTTTGGTTCATTTGCACAAAGTTATTGTTAAAAGCGACTATGTTAAGGCACTGGAGTTATAAAACTGGAGCGGTAAGATCACTTGGTGCATGTGGGCCCCCACATGATTATGTCCCCGCTACTCTATAGGGTATTCATGTCTGCTTACTGGAGGGACCGCCTCCGTAGTCTTGTGGTAGAGCGTCTGCATGGAGAGCGGAAGGTCCGGGGTTCGATTCCCGGCCACGTCATTCCAAAAGACATTAAAAGATGGTACTTGTTGTTACCCTGTCTGGCGCACAGGATTAAGGGGCTAAAACAAGGACTGGTCGGCTTGGAGTCAAATCAAAAGATCTCAATTTTAGCTCACCTGACTGAAGATGAACCTGTGTCATGGTGCACTGTCTATCATCTGTTAATGACCGCCTCCGTGGTCTAGTGGCAAAGCGTCCGCCCGGAGAGCAGAAGGTCCTGGGCTCGAACCCAGGCCGCGTCATACCAAAAGACATAAAGAGGTGTAAATTGTTGTTACGCTGCCTGCCTGGCCATTAAGGGGATAAGACAAGGACTGGTCGGCTTGGAGTCAGTATACTGTGTCTGAATAGGGTATTCATGTCAAACTATGGCGTGGTATCTCATTTGGCAAGCACTATAAATCAGCATTAGTCCGGACAAGTACAAGCAGCCATCCCTCCTTACACACAAATGCATGCTCGCGCTATATAAGTGCAATAATCCTTAACACGACGTTAAACCCCAATTCACCTCACCTCACCTCACCTCACCTCACCTCACCTCACCTCACCTCATCTGTTAACTTGTACATGTGTTACATGTCCTCTGAAACCACTAGTCTTCTGAATCGGAACCGTATTGCAGGGGCACCTGCTCGGCTGCATCCAGCAGTGTGTTGTGAAGACCAGAGAGTTCCAGAACCAGGCAGGTGGGGAGGATGACGATGAGGATGAGGACTGTGTGACAGCCTTGACTGAGCTGGAGGAGTTGCTGACGTCCCTGACGACCAGGATGATTGCATGTGAGATGGAAGACTTCGAACTGGTATGTGCAACAATCTGTAACTTCATTAGGTAAAAGCCTCAAACAGTGAGATATGTACTGTTTCCTCTTGTGGTGATTTAATTGATTGGGTGGTCAGGCTTAATGACTTGGCTGATTGCGTGGCATCATACCCCAACAGTGTGAGCCGTTACTCATACTATCAATAATATCCAGACTATTTACAACCAGCCGTCATGTATGTGATATTGCTGAGTGTAGAAATATACAACAAACAAACAATCAAACAAACCCAACAAATACCTATGTCCAGTGAGAGTATCAACTGTTGGATCTGTGTAATGTGTGCAGATAAACTTATTTATACTTCCTAATCAGATAAATCAAACTAAATCATGTTCATTATCATTAAGATAGGTGCTTCAATCCTTGGGGATTTGGAAGCGCAAAATATTTTCTTTCTTCTTACTCAAAGATCCGGGGTAGAATAGGTCTTCAGTAACCCATGCTTGCTGTGAAAGGCGACTATGCTTGTCGTAAGAGGCGACTAACGGGATCGGGTGGTCAGGCTCGCTGACTTGGTTGATGCATGTCATCAATCCCAGTTGTTAGGATCGATGCTCATGATACTAATCACTGGATTGTCTGGTCCAGACTCGATTATTTACAGACTGCCTTCATATAGCTGGAATATTGCTGAGTGTGGCGTTAAACAACAAACCAACCAACTTTTACTCAAAACATCCACCATGTCCCAGGATTTTACATTAACTTACAAAAGTGGGGGTCCAAGGGACCCCCCAATAATTACTTTTAAGGGTCCTTGCAGGCATCACAGCGTGATATGCCAAAGGTGAGGATGTCTTTGCCTATAAGATCAACACGAGAGTGGATGAAATGGTCGAGGGTGTCCTGGTGCCAGTGGGCTACTGAGCTGCTAGTTGAGTTGCTACTGTTGCCATGGTGATTTGCAACTGGCCTAAAGCAACTGCCGCTGCCAGGCTCTCGCAGCATGCTTAACTACAAGAAAAGCTATCGTTGCTTGGCAACTACCCTGCTGACAAAAGCAGCTACCGCTGATAGCATAAGGCAACTACATCAGCCAGTCCATATGTCAACTACTGCTGACATGACCACTGCCGCCACCGGGCCAATATACGTGGCAGTTGGTAGCCCAACGTAGGCAATTCCACTGCTGAATGTACATGTACAGGTTTATTTACATATAAACATGCTGCTCTGCTGGTACCTGAAAAAAACACTTGCTGAAGAATAGAAGGAATTAAAATTGAAAATGAAAATGCACAAAACAGGTTGAAATATGGAGAGAGCAGGGGTGAGATACTTGGCAGGGTGGTAAAGCAATTAGATACGGCGAAAAAGTTGTGTACTTGAATAACAGGTGTGTACTTGAATAACAGGTGTGTACTTGAATAACAGGTGTGTACTTGAATAACAGGTGTGTACTTGAATAACAGGTGTGTACTTGAATAACAGGTGTGTACTTGAATAACAGGTGTGTACTTGAATAACAGGTTTGTACTTGAATAACAGGTGTGTACTTGAATAACAGGTGTGTACTTGAATAACAGATGTGTACTTGAATAACAGGTGTGTACTTGAATAACAGGTGTGTACTTGAATAACAGGTGTGTACTTGAATAACAGGTGTGTACTTGAATAACAGGTGTGTACTTGAATAACAGGTGTGTACTTGAAAAGGACCAGTGCACAAATGAGTGACTGATGGATGATGCTTGTGGCCCCAGAATATCGAATGATCGGCCCGTTAGTAGGGTCTTTGTGAATGTTGACGAATCCTGTCTTCATTGTATACAACAATAATGGTGTCTTCCTTCTGTGTGAACTCAGGACAAATCAGCGGACTTCTCGCTGGCGTCCAGTGTGGGGGTCAAGAACAACATCTACGCCATCCTGGTGCTGGGGGCCTACGAGGTGCTGATGGAGTACACGTTTACCGCCGGGCAGTTCAGGTCAGTCACACAACATGCCCGTGGAATGGAAAAACAGTGTTAGAAAACATTTGGAAAGACTAATTTGTGGTCCGTTTTTGTTGCCACATGATGTCAATTAAGACTTCTTCAAAATTGAGTAAAATAAGATATGTTCTCACAGTTCATTTGAGCAAAGGTAGTTTAAAAAAAACACACCAAAAAACCATGGTTCAGGCGACACTTTTTTTATTTCTTGCTTTACTGATTTCAAACTCATTTCAAAAGTGAGGTAGGCCAAATAAAAAATTAAAAAAAGCCTCAGAGATACATTTTACTTAAATTTTGTCCTAAAAAGTTAGGTAGGTATAAAAAAAAAAATTCTAGAGTTAGAAAAGTAAAACTCAATTTTTCAAGACAATTTTATCATATCCCTTTAACTCAGCTTGTGCACAAATGGCAATATAACACCAATAACACCAATAACACCAGCCAACCAGAAGATTACCGCTGTGACACCAAGTTCCCAGAGACTCTTGTGTGATAGATGAAGCCAACATTTATCAAGGAAATTATCTGCTTGTAAAACATCTTTGCTACTACATGTTTGGCTATACACAATTTGAAAGGTATAATTAATCCTATTGTTTATAAATATGAAAGTTATGTGTATTACATTATTTAAATAATTCATTAACAACTTAATTAAGTTCATTTTAAATTAAACTAATGTAAGCTAAAACATTCATAACGTCAAGATTTAAGTACTAATGAAGCGAAAATTTGACTATTTTCGGCAAATATAAGATTTAATAAAATCCACTTACCTATTTCTTTTTTTATTGTCATTTGTTTACGTAGTTGGAACGTTATTCTTAAAAGAATTTTAGATAATATCTGTCATCACTCATTTCCCGATGATAGTGGCTGTCCGCTCACTAACATGAGGAAATAACTCTGTTTTTGAAGCTTCGTATGAATAACACGTACGTCGAAGGCTGTCATGTCATTAAAAAAACTTATATTGTTTCACCGACATAATCTGCTACAAAGTTTGTAATTGGTCAAATTTAAGCATGTGACCTAAGGCAGCCAATCAAATTACAGCAACGGTACTGTCCTCGTGTGTGATAATTTGGACTTTGCGAAAGGCTTGGGTTAAATCATGTTATTCTGAGCGTTTTAAGCATGAAATCACAATCTATATTTAAAATATGGAAGTTCATGGATGTATTGTGCTGGGTTATGAGCTGTGACAAAGATTTCTTATGCATATATCTTGGCATTTAAGTCACCGTGTCCGAGCCGAGAAATCGAGGCGACGAAAGCCGAGATGTCACTTGACTTACATTAAACGCGTTCACATGAAAAGATGGAAATAATAACTTAGATGTCAGTTTGGCAATTTTGACATATATTTTTATTGATTTTATTACTTTGTATAATATATTTAAAGATTTGCTTGAAACATCTTCATCTTTCTGTTTGACATGTTCGATGAGGACACGTCGAAGTGTGTCTGAGAATATTTTTTTTTAAAAGTGAATAATTTTTTAATCTATTGATAAAAAATGATAAAATCAAATGGAATACGTATTTCAGACATTGCGAAATGTGATAGATTTAATAATTGAATGATATGACAGGTAGGTTAATAAAATTATTAACTATTTTGACGTGACTTGGCCGGTCAACCCTGCGGTGTCTGGTTACTCTTGGCTTCATGGCTGGTGTACCGGCCAACAGTGTTGAAAGGGTTAAACTGGTCACCGCTGCGCTTTGTGTTGACAAGCTTTGATGGTACAAGAGAAGGATCCCTGCGAGAAATATCAGAGTGACTTCCTTTTGCATTACACTAGTGGAGCAAATAAAATCATTTTGTTTGTTTGAACTTTTTATGCATTTTATAAAGTGAAGATCTGCAATAATAATCTGCAATTTTTTTTTCATCATTTGGACTTTGAAAGAGCGGCGCATCCATAAACCAAGTAATAACAAAAATGTCGCCTTAGGGATCTGCTGTTAAGTTTTACAAATGTGCAAAGATAGTAAAGTCGCTCAGATTCTTTCTTTGTTACCACCAAGAATGTTAACTAATTCCGATTGTGAAAATTTGGCAAATAGAGGAAGGGAATTGACACTTTGACCTCTTGATGCCCCAAAACATTTAATTTTTTATGTATTTTCCATATTTATAATTGAGTTCCATCACATGGTTTGATAAAAATATCTGTAAAACAAATAATTAAATAAAATAGCCCTATGAAGACACCATCAGGCCAGTTTTGCAACTTCTAAATATAGTATTTTTAGACTGTAAGAACTTTCTCAAGGTACATGTTTAGGATTGTCTTGTTTCTGTAGTGTGAGCAGCTGTGAACAAGTTCTGAAGCTGTATGACAACTACCACAAGCTGAGCGATGTTCTGAAGGAGAAGACGACTGCAGGTGCTGGGAAGAAAGTTCGCCCTGCAGCTGGGAAGTCCCCCCACAGTCTGCTGTCTCTCCCCTTCGTAGTCAACATCTTGAAGGCACTGATCAGGTCAGTTGAAGGCACTACTGAGGTCAGTTGAAGGGACTACTGGGGTCAGTTGAAAGCACTGCTCAGGTCAATTGAAAGCACTACTCAGGTCAGTTGTAGGCACTGCTCAGGTCAGCTGAAGGCACTGCTCAGGTCAGTTGAAGGCACTGCTCAGGTCAGTTAAAGGCACTACTGGGGTCAGTTGAAGGCACTGCTCAGGTCAATTGAAAGCACTACTCAGGTCAGTTGTAGGCACTGCTCAGGTCAGTTGAAGGCACTGCTCAGGTCAGTTGAAGGCACTGCTCAGGTCAGTTGAAGGTACTGCTCAGGTCAGTTGAAGGCACTGCTCAGGTCAGTTGAAGGGACTACTGGGGTCAGTTGAAAGCACTGCTCAGGTCAATTGAAAGCACTACTCAGGTCAGTTGTAGGCACTGCTCAGGTCAGTTGAAGGCACTGCTCAGGTCCGTTGAAGGCACTGCTCAGGTCCGTTGAAGGCACTGCTCAGGTCAGTTGAAAGCACTACTGGGGTCAGTTGAAGGCAGTACTCAGGTCAGTTGAAGGTACTGCTCAGGTCAGTTGAAGGCACTGCTCAGGTCATTTAAAGGCACTACTGGGGTCAGTTGAAGGCACTACTGGGGTCAGTTGAAGGCACTGCTCAGGTCAGTTGAAGGTACTACTGGGGTCAGTTGAAGGCACTACTCAGGTCAGTTGAAGGCACTGCTCAGGTCAGTTGAAAGCACTACTGGGGTCAGTTGAAAGCACTGCTCGGGTCAGTTGAAGGTACTGCTCAGGTCAGTTGAAGGCGCTGCTCAGGTCAGTTGAAGGCACTACTGGGGTCAGTTGAAGGCACTACTGGGGTCAGTTGAAGGGACTACTGGGGTCAGTTGAAGGCACTACTGGGGTCAGTTGAAGGCACTACTCAGGTCAGTTGAAGGCACTGCTCAGGTCAGTTGAAGGCACTACTCAGGTCAGTTGAGGGCACTACTCGGGTCAGTTGAAGGCACTACTCAGGTCAGTTGAAGGCACTACTCAGGTCAGTTGAAGGCACCACTGGGGTCAGTTGAAGGGACTACTGGGGTCAGTTGAAGGCACTACTGGGGTCAGTCGAAGGCACTACTCAGGTCAGTTGAAGGCACTGCTCAGGTCAGTTGAAGGCACTACTGGGGTCAGTTGAAGGCACTACTGGGGTCAGTTGAAGGCACTGCTCAGGTCAGTCGAAGGCACTACTGGGGTCAGTTGAAGGCACTACTGGGGTCAGTTGAAGGCACTGCTCAGGTCAGTTGAAGGCACTACTGGGGTCAGTTGAAGGCACTACTGGGGTCAGTTGAAGGCACTACTCAGGTCAGTCGAAGGCACTACTGGGGTCAGTTAAAGGCACTACTCGGGTCAGTTGAAGGCACTACTGGGGTCAGTTGAAGGCACTGCTCAGGTCAGTTGAAGGCACTGCTCAGGTCAGTTGAAGGCACTACTCAGGTCAGTTGAAGGCACTACTTGGGTCAGTTGAAGGTACTGCTCAGGTCAGTTGAAGGTACTGCTCAGGTCAGTTGTAGGCACTGCTCAGGTCAGTTGAAGGCACTACTCAGGTCAGTTGAAGGCACTACTGGGGTCAGTTGAAGGCACTACTGGGGTCAGTTGAAGGCACTACTCAGGTCAGTTGAAGGCACTACTCAGGTCAGTTGAAGACACTGCTCAGGCCAGTTGAAGGCACTGCTCAGGTCAGTTGAAGGCACTGTTCAGGTCAGTTGAAGGCACTGCTCAGGTCAGTTGAAGGCACTACTGGGGTCAGTTGAAGGCACTACTGGGGTCAGTTGAAGGCACTGCTGGGGTCAGTTGAAGGCACTGCTCAGGTCAGTTGAAGGCACTGTTCAGGTCAGTTGAAGGCATTTATAGGGTAATAAATGCACAATGCATTCACAATGGCAAATCATGACATACCTAAGCAAATCATGAGGCTATTACTTTGAAAGATTTGTTTTCAATTGGACACTGATGCTATAATCCTTATAATGTTGCAGTGACACCAGCACAGTTCATGGGGACAGCCTGGCTGTGCTTCGTGGGTGTCCGGAGTTCCTGCAGTACATCACGTCCGTCGCACTCCAGAAGGTGCAGCAGATTGCAGACAAGGGCACGTGTGACGGCGCTGCTGGCATTGGCAAGGAGAGACTGCTCTCACACTGCTACTCTCTAGCCAGGTGAGGAGGGAGAAGGCATTGGTTTCAGGTCTGACACCCTGTGGGCTACCACTTTTACCATCATGTAGTTTTCAACTATATAGCAGATCTTTTTTGCTGTCTGGTGAAAATATAAATTAATTTCTAACCATGATAGAGGTGAGGGGGTGGCATTATTTTACCTCATGTGGTCTACAGATCAGAGCATCGTTGCATTTGAAATTATTTTCCAACACATATATTTGTATTGGAAATTGGATATAATAGTGCCCTTAGGCGTGTTGTGACAATAGGGTTAAATAGGTACTATACAGGGGTCCGGAAAATTTAAAATCCCAATCGGACATTTGCATTTAGGCCACGCCCCCTTCGAATAGCGTATTTTAGTACGACTTTTCACACACATTACAAGTTTACGTATTCATAATATGATGAATTATGTTTCAATTTAAATTGTTTAATTCACCGGACAATTAATAACAAATAATATCATTTTAGATTTACATGGAAAACAAACGTTTGTTTCTGTTATAATATCGATCTGTTAACGTAGTGAACGGTCTAATTAATATTCATGAGTTATATTCATGAGTCTGCTCAAGTGTACGCGTTGTAACATTTGGATCGAGACTATTATCCCATATTTGGTTATCACGTGACCTCACGGGAAAAGTTTTTTTTTAAACTAAAGATTTTTTTAAAGACAAGACAGATAGTTTAATCACAAATACTAAAATATCGTTGATAGCAATAGTTATTTGAATACTTTTTTCATCTGTACTTAATTATTGACCATAAAAAATTGGATATCGATCGTCCGAGAAAGCAAAATGGCGGTCAATCAAGATTCAATATATGACTAGCTACTGAAAACAATAAAATCTGCAAATCCTCATTGTATGTCAACCAAGTGAAAGTCGTTAGCAAAATGATCGTCCAGACTTTGAGGGTTTGGCAGATCCGGTCGACTGGCTGTCGTCACGCTTTCGCTTCTTGTCTGAGGTTACGTATCGTAGCATTGTGAGGATAATGAGGTACATCGATGATGCAAGGTATTAATGTACAGTTGTAAACACCTTTCACTCAAATTAACAAGATGTTCTCAGTAATGAATCCTCGATTAATCAGTGTCAACTCAGTTTATTGCCTATTACAGTGATTGACCGATTGGACTATCATGTAGGTACGATGTATTTACAGCAATCAAAACAAACAAAGCTTGTCATTGTAGTTAATCTTCATTGTGTTGCAACTGCAGACAGAAACTGCTCAGTCCTAACTGTTGATCATGTCCGGTCAAAATTTAAGAATGTCCGGACAATACTTTTTAAAATGTCCGGTAAGCAATATTTTAAAACGGACATTTGAGATTCCCAATCGGACATGTCCGGCGCATATGACGGTTTCCGGACCCCTGGTACTATAGCATGGTTTTCAGTTATGAAGCCTATTGTTTTTGCAGGGAAATTTCTTCAGTAGGGTTTCTTGGAGAACATTAGATCTTAGGAGTTGGCTAACAGGGGCTGAATGGTTACAGTGTGTGACCTGTCTGATTGTGCGTTATCTTTAGCGACATAGAATTTGCTCATGATATTTCAGCTATGTTGGTTGTTGTCTGTCGTTGCCATATTACTTCATGGCTGTTTTGCATACTTGTGTAAACAAACATGGCGTCTGACTGTATCAATACTTCTCTGTTGGGAGACTGAGCAAATGCCTGACGAATGGACTGATGATATGGGTCAATGATTATCACATCTTCCTGAGGCAAGGGAGTTAACTGACTATAAAAGTCCAGTTACCCTTGCTGATCTAGGCTACAATTTCATGGCAGGATTGTATCGCCACTGGTGGCGATTATGAGTTATGTCCCTTCTATGCCCCGTCCATTGACCAATCAGATTCCTCCTCTCATATCACTTGCATTTGATTCAAACAAAATGGCTGTGTCCAGTCAAGACAATCATATCGATTATCAAGATCTTTATTGTAATAAAATGGGTCTTACCTTGCGAAGTACATCGAATCGCTTGAGCACGTTAATAAAAAACATGAAAAGATTTGATAAAAACATCTGGTGGTGCCAATTTGAAGGTACACATGATCAGCAAATCCCTCAATCGACTGAAATCTGCAAGGGAGTCATGTTTTTTAATTGAATGTTAATTTCGTTTTGTGAGTTGGATTGGACTTTGGACTCGTTAGTCCAGACAATATGTAACCGGAATGCCAGGCTAGTTCGGCAAGAGTGGTAACTGGACTTTTATATTCAGGTACCTTCCTTGCCTCGGGAAGATGTGATTATCGTTGAGCAGTTAATGGCAAACCTCAGACTTCTTCAAGTGATATAACAATGGTTATCTAACTCTCTGTTGTTTTCAGACTGTTGATGACGTACTACACAGAGAATCAGATTCTGACAGAGGAGCACAAGAAAGAGAGGAAGAAGAATGTCTGCAGCCAGAGTCTGGAGGGGCTGGTCGGCATCATGTCCTATGTCGGTAGTCTGGGTCAGACACCCCTCTGTCAGTGTCTGTGTAATATAGGTTAGTTCAGACATGGATCTGGTTCAAACAGTACCAAGGTCAATACAGACAATGATTGGTGAGTTCAGACTATGAACTTGTAGGTTCTAACAGTGGTCTGGTGAGTTCAGACAATGAACCAGTAGGTTCAGACAGTGGTCTGGTGAGTTCACACAGTGGTCTGGTGAGATCTAACAGTGGTATGGTGAGTTCAGACAATGAACCAGTAGGTTCAGACAGTGGTCTGGTGAGTTCAAACAGTGGTCTGGTGAGTTCAGACAATGAACCAGTAGGTTCAGACAGTGGTCTGGTGAGTTCACACAGTGGTCTGGTGAGATCTAACAGTGGTCTGGTGAGTTCAGACAATGAACCAGTAGGTTCAGACAGGGATCAGTGTCAGTTCCAACTGTTGACACAAACAGTGACCAGGTGTCACACAGCTCTCAACCAGTCTCTCTGCTGGGATCTGGTCCGTTCAATTTTGGTCTGCTAAAAGATGCTTGACAGACAATGCTAGTTGTTCCTTTCATGCATTTTTGTTGTTTCCTTCCTCTTGTATTATTGTTTCTCTGAATGTATCCTGATGATTCCAGAGAAGGACTGTGAGGGGGAGGAGGTGCGTGTCTCCAACAAGCCAGACAAGATTCACACTCACATCAAGGCCCTCCAGGTGAGTCACAGAATCTTCCCCTGTCAGTCAGGGTGCCAGTCTCGTCTTCCTGGAGACAGACTCAGTGGTCTAGTGGTAGAGCGTCCACCCGGAGAGCAGAAGGTCCGGGGTTTGATTCCCGGCCGCGTCATACCAACAGACATTGAAAGATTGTTGGTGTATTTGTTGTTACCCTGTCTGGCGCTTGGCATTAAGGGGCTAAAACAAGGACTGGTCAGCTCGGAGTCAGTATACTGTGTCTGAGTGGGGTATTCATGTTAAACTGTGGCATAGTATCAGTGGGCTAGCGCTATAAAATCGGCATTTAGTCCGGACTAGTACAAGCAGCCACACACACACCCATGCTATATAAGTGCAATAATCTTGAATGCGACGTTAAACCCCATTTTACCTCACCTCACCACCTTTTTCCTGGAATCTCATTATAAGCTAATAGTGATCATACAATAACATTATTTCATCAACTGAGAGTGAGTGTGTGAATGATATCAGTGCAACAGTAGCCTCTAGTCTTGTGACAGCAGCCTTAGTCTGAAGCAGAGACACCAGTGACTGAAAGCTTGAGCACAATGACCCACAAACCAGGGCATGATGAATGCAGTCAACCAAGTAACCGAGTCTAACCATCCGTTGAATTACTGAATGTCACTGAATAATTCTGTGAAGTTATTCCACTGACTATCATTTATCACATTCTAGAACTAATTCTTTTACTTTGCACCACGTAACATGACTGTCGTGTTGCAGCGACTGATCGCCAACATCCTGGCGGCGGAGGACGAGGCCCAGAGCTGGAAGGAGCTGATCTCCTTACTGACCATCATCACCCAGCTGACCAAACACCTCCCCACTAACAGCCCCAACTACGAGCAGGTCCACTCCTGGGTCAACAAGATCTGCACAGATCAGTCAATAGGTACGATATTGGAGTGTCAGTTGTCTAAACACAGATTACCTTTGGCTGTGCTGGAAGCTAGTGGTTTGTCATTGGTTGTCATGCTAAGCAACCAGGGATGGATTTCCTCCATTTGTACAATATATGAAGACTAATTTTGATGACACTGTGATACCCGTGAAGATATGGGTTAGAATAGGTCTTCAGCAACCCATGTCATGCTGGATAAGGCGACTATGCTTGTCGTAAGAGGCGATTAACGGGTTTGGGTGGTCAGCCTTGCTGACTTGGTTGATGAATGTCATTATATCTTAATTGCATGGATCGATGCTCATGATATCGATCACTGGATTGTCTAGTCCAGACTCAATTATTTACACTCTGCTGTCATATAGCTGGAATATTGCTGAGTGTGGCATTAAACAAAAACAAACAAACAAACAAACAAATCATTAAAGCAGTGTAAAACCATGAGTGTTCATGCCCTCATCTATTCCTCACTGTTGATGGTTTGTTTGTTGTTTACCGCCACACTCAGCAATATTCCAGCTATATGATGGCTGTCTGTAAATAATTGAGTCTGGACTAGACAATCCAGTGAGCATCGATCCACACAATTGGGATTCGATGACATGCATCAATCAAGCTAGCAAGCCTGACCACCCGATCTGCCCGACCACCAGTGCCCATCACATGTTGGTATTTGTCCTGAAAGTCAATGTCCTGTCTTGTAGATGACATGGCCGCCTGCAAGCATCTCCTAGGGACACTCCTGTCCCTCACCCAGCAGATGAAGAACCTACCCCTGCTGCTTCGTGACCTGGCCCAGGACATCCACAGTCAGCTGGGGGACACAGACCAGGTAGGAGTGAGTGGGGATATCCACAGTCAGCTGGGGGACAGAGACCAGGTAGGAGGGGGGTTGGGACATGTACAGTCAGCTGGGGGACACAGACCAGGTAGGAGGGGGTAGGGACATCCAGTCAGCTGGGGGACACAGGCCAGGTAGGTGGGGGGACATGCACAGTCAGCTGGGAGACACAGACCAGGTGGGGGTGGGGATCTCTACAGTCAGCTGGGGGACACAGACCAGGTAGGAGGGGGTGGGGACATGCACTGTCAGCTGGGAGACACAGACTAGGTAGGTGGAGGGACATGCACAGTCAGCGGGGGGCATAGACCAGGTAGGTGGGGGATGGGAACATCCAGTCAGCTGGGGGACACAGACTAGGTAGGAGGGGGATGGGAACATCCAGTCAGCTGGGGGACACAGACCAGGTAGGTGGGGGATGGGAACATCCAGTCAGCTGGGGGACACAGACTTGGTAGGTGGGGGATGGGAACATTCAGTCAGCTGGGGGACACAGACCAGGTAGGAGGGGGATGGGAACATCCAGTCAGCTGGGGGACACAGAACAGGTAGGTGGAGGGACATGCACAGTCAGCTGGGGGACACAGACCAGGTAGGAGGGGGATGGGACATCCAGTCAGCTGGGAGACACAGACCAGGTAGGTGGGGGATGGGAACATCCAGTCAGCTGGGGGACACAGACCAGGTAGGTGGAGGGACATGCACTGTCAGCTGGGGGACACAGGCCAGGTAGGAGGGGGATGGGAACATCCAGTCAGCTGGGGGACACAGACTAGGTAGGTGGGGGATGGGAACATCCAGTCAGCTGGGGGACACAGACCAGGTAGGTGGAGGGACATGCACTGTCAGCTGGGGGACACAGACCAGGTAGGTGGGGGATGGGAACATTCAGTCAGCTGGGGGACACAGACTAGGTAGGAGGGGGATGGGACATCCAGTCAGCTGGGAGACACAGACTAGGTAGGTGGAGGGACATGCACTGTCAGCTGGGGGACAAAGACCAGGTAGGAGGGGGTAGGGACATCCAGTCAGCTGGGAGACACAGACCAGGTAGGTGGAGGGACATGCACTGTCAGCTGGGGGACACAGACCAGGTAGGAGGGGGTAGGGACATCCAGTCAGCTGGGAGACACAGACCAGGTAGGAGGGGGTAGGGACATCCAGTCAGCTGGGGGACACAGACCAGGTAGGTGGAGGGACATGCACTGTCAGCTGGGGGACACAGACTAGGTAGGAGGGGGGTGGGACATCCAGTCAGCTGGGAGACACAGACTAGGTAGGTGGAGGGACATGCACTGTCAGCTGGGGGACACAGACTAGGTAGGAGGGGGATGGGAACATCCAGTCAGCTGGAGGACCAACCTGGTAGGTGGGGGATGGGAACATCCAGTCAGCTGGGGGACACAGACCAGGTAGGTGGAGGGACATGCACTGCCAGCTGGGGGACACAGACCAGGTAGGAGGGGGATGGGACATCCAGTCAGCTGGGAGACACAGACCAGGTAGGTGGGGGATGGGAACATCCAGACAGCTGGGGGACACAGACCAGGTAGGTGGAGGGACATGCACTGTCAGCTGGGGGACACAGACTAGGTAGGAGGGGGGTGGGACATCCAGTCAGCTGGGAGACACAGACTAGGTAGGTGGAGGGACATGCACTGTCAGCTGGGGGACACAGACCAGGTATGAGGGGGTAGGGACATCCAGTCAGCTGGGAGACACAGACCAGGTAGGAGGGGGTAGGGACATCCAGTCAGCTGGGAGACACAGACCAGGTAGGTGGAGGGACATGCACAGTCAGCTGGGGGACACAGACCAGGTAGGAGGGGGATGGGAACATCCAGTCAGCTGGGGGACACAGACTAGGTAGGAGGGGGATGGGAACATCCAGTCAGCTGGGGGACACAGACCAGGTAGGTGGAGGGACATGCACTGTCAGCTGGGGGACACAGGCCAGGTAGGAGGGGGATGGGAACATCTAGTCAGCTGGGGGACACAGACTAGGTAGGTGGGGGATGGGAACATCCAGTCAGCTGGGAGACACAGACCAGGTAGGTGGGGGATGGGAACATCCAGTCAGCTGGGGGACACAGACCAGGTAGGTGGAGGGACATGCACTGTCAGCTGGGGGACACAGGCCAGGTAGGAGGGGGATGGGAACATCCAGTCAGCTGGGGGACACAGACTAGGTAGGTGGGGGATGGGAACATCCAGTCAGCTGGGGGACACAGACCAGGTAGGTGGAGGGACATGCACTGTCAGCTGGGGGACACAGACCAGGTAGGTGGGGGATGGGAACATTCAGTCAGCTGGGGGACACAGACTAGGTAGGAGGGGGATGGGACATCCAGTCAGCTGGGAGACACAGACTAGGTAGGTGGAGGGACATGCACTGTCAGCTGGGGGACACAGACCAGGTAGGAGGGGGTAGGGACATCCAGTCAGCTGGGAGACACAGACCAGGTAGGAGGGGGTAGGGACATCCAGTCAGCTGGGAGACACAGACCAGGTAGGAGGGGGTAGGGACATCCAGTCAGCTGGGAGACACAGACCAGGTAGGAGGGGGTAGGGACATCCAGTCAGCTGGGAGACACAGACCAGGTAGGCGGAGGGACATGCACAGTCAGCTGGGGGACACAGACCAGGTAGGAGGGGGTAGGGACATCCAGTCAGCTGGGAGACACAGACCAGGTAGGTGGAGGGACATGCACAGTCAGCTGGGGGACACAGACCAGGTAGGTGGGGGATGGGAACATCCAGTCAGCTGGGGGACACAGACTAGGTAGGAGGGGGATGGGAACATCCAGTCAGCTGGGGGACACAGACCAGGTAGGTGGAGGGACATGCACTGTCAGCTGGGGGACACAGGCCAGGTAGGAGGGTGATGGGAACATCCAGTCAGCTGGGGGACACAGACTAGGTAGGTGGGGGATGGGAACATCCAGTCAGCTGGGGGACACAGACCAGGTAGGTGGGGGATGGGAACATTCAGTCAGCTGGAGGACACAGACCAGGTAGGTGGAGGGACATGCACTGTCAGCTGGGGGACACAGACCAGGAAGGTGGGGGATGGGAACATTCAGTCAGCTGGGGGACACAGACTAGGTAGGTGGAGGGACATGCACTGTCAGCTGGGGGACACAGACCAGGTAGGAGGGGGATGGGACATCCAGTCAGCTGGGGGACACAGACCAGGTAGGTGGAGGGACATGCACAGTCAGCTGGGGGACACAGACCAGGTAGGAGGGGGATGGGAACATTCAGTCAGCTGGGGGACACAGACTAGGTAGGAGGGGGATGGGACATCCAGTCAGCTGGGAGACACAGACTAGGTAGGTGGAGGGACATGCACTGTCAGCTGGGGGACACAGACCAGGTAGGAGGGGGTAGGGACATCCAGTGAGCTGGGAGACACAGACCAGGTAGGAGGGGGTAGGGACATCCAGTCAGCTGGGGGACACAGACCAGGTAGGTGGAGGGACATGCACAGTCAGCTGGGGGACACAGACCAGGTGGGGGTGGGGATCTCTACAGTCAGCTGAGGGACACAGACCAGGTAGGAGGGGTGTTTGGACATGCACTGTCAGCTGGGGGACACAGACTAGGTAGGAGGGGGATGGGAACATCCAGTCAGCTCGGGGACACAGACCAGGTAGGTGGGGGATGGGAACATCCAGTCAGCTGGGGGACACAGACTAGGTAGGAGGGGGATGGGAACATCCAGTCAGCTGGGGGACACAGACCAGGTAGGTGGAGGGACATGCACAGTCAGCTGGGGGACACAGACCAGGTAGGAGGGGGTAGGGACATCCAGTCAGCTGGGGGACACAGACCAGGTAGGTGGAGGGACATGCACAGTATGCAGGGGAAACAACCCAAATAGGGAGGGGCTAGAGTCAGTGTACAGTCAGGAGGACATGGACCAGGTTTGAGAGAAGGGACATGTTCAACCAGTTGTCACAAAACAAAATCACAATTACCGTGACAAAGTTCTAAATTTAAATAAAAAAGTGTGATACTGTTGATACTACTGGTAATCAAGCCAAGAACTTGTAAGATTACATGTTAAATATTAGTCCAGAACTAGCTCAACAACGTCCCTCACAAAAAACTTGTATCATTAATGGCAACAACAAAAATAATATGGCAACTTGTAAGACTCCATAGGGTTATACACAAATTATTACATCAAAGAATTGACTCTGAATTCAGATTTCATTTTCAGCCCACCTGTGAAGATCCGGGGTATAATGGATGTCCTCAGCAACCCATGCTTGCTGTTAAAGGCAACTGGTGGGGTCGGGTTGTCAGGCTCGCTGACTTGGTTGATGTATGTCATCGTATCCCAATTGCGTGGATCGATGCTTATGATGTCAATCACTGGATTGTCTGGTCCATACTCGATTATTTACAGACCGCCCTCATATAGCTGGGATAATGCTATAGTGCGGTGTTAAACAACAAACAAACATTCTCAGCCCCCTTGAGGGATTGATGCTAAACACATGTACTGTTTGTGCAGGAGGTGGAGGTGGAGGACAAGACACACATGGCCCTGGTGACACACCGCACGGCACCCACGGTGTTGTTGATGGTGTTGTCCAGCACTGACCGGGAGCTGGACGATATTGACTGGTGTCTCACCTGGATGAAAGCAGACATTCTCTCGAAGCACAGACAAGAGGATGGTGAGAAAGTGGTGGATTTGTTTGTTTTTTGTTTTGTGCCTCTTTCGGTGACATTCCAGCTACATAAGTAATTGAGCCTTGACCAGACAACCCAGTGGTTGATATTACGAGCACAATACAATGGCAAAGAGGTGTTATGACAAACCAAAGACACATATCTAGAGGTGTGCGGCGCGCGGTATAACCGGTATACAGTTTCAATATCGCAATAAATTGCGGCCATTTAAAAAAAGTATTTCTTTTCATGTTTTAATTTGTTGTTTCAAAGGCGATCGATAAAGCTGATGTCATGTTCGATTAGAGTTACATCCCTTCCTATATTATAACGCGATATGCTACAAGATCTCGCCATATCCGTGGTAACAAAATGGCGGATCACGACTGGGAAATCGTGAGAAATACTCGCGGTAAATCCGATGTGTGGCAGTATTTAGGGAAAAAGCGTAACATCGATCAAACCATCGAAGAAAATGTTGCTGTTTGTAGAAAATGTGAATCGTTTGTGAAATACGCCGGCGGAATAACAAACTTAACCACACATCTTCGAAGACACCATCCAACCTCTGGCAGGAAAGATAGATTCAGATGAATATCACAAAGTTCTTGTGCAATGTGCATTTTTATTTGATTTTTAATTGGATTGTTGTTTTTAATATTACTTCATTCATTATGTCATAAATTGTCAATTCAATTGACACACATAGACTATTATTACTCAATTTGCATTTGACTAGTCACACAGAAATATATCATTTTGACTTTTGGAGCTAAATAATAACACTTCCATTAGTTATTCTGACCTGGGATGAGGTAAATGTGGAAATAACAGATTCTAACAAACATTTACAATCAGTGGCAATTAACTAGACATTTAGAAAGGAACATCTCTTTGACCTGATCCAGCTAAGGTGAACTTTGACCTTTTAGTTTCTATTAGGTCATGCACAGAAAACTTGTATTGTGGGTGTACAAGATGATGGGCTCTGACTGCCAACACAAGCTCCTGCCATGTTAATTAAAAAAAGAGAGTAAATTTAGAAATATGTTGTTTTATCAGCCACCTGTACTGAAAAGCACTATTACAAATCATATGTCGCATCATGTAGTTAAAGGGACAAGAATTGTGAAGTTTTATGATTTCTGAGAAAGAATGTAGAAACATTTGGTGCTGTGTTCCAGACAACATGTCCCAGGCTTTGACCCAGCGGGAGAACCATGAGAAGACAACGTGTATTCGACTCGGGCATCTTGTCACTGGCTACCATGAACTTGTGCAGACAGCAGTGCCGTACGGGGCATGTGTGGAGGCCATTTTGAAAACTCTGACCCGATACTACACTACTATCACAAACTACGTCAAATATGTGAGTGATGCTTTAATGAGCTGAAATGGGTTGATCTTAATGATCACTCTATAAAAGTTTTAGCAGATCTTGAATTACTACACATGATATATGACTTCTTTGAGAGGCATTTAGAAGTTGGAGCACTAAGTATTCATCAAAGACCCCAATCAGTCATAATCCTTTTGTTGTTTATAATACTGGCTTCACCCTTTTGTTTATATTACAGCCTTCACCGGCCAATATGTTTTACCCTTCCGTGTACATAACGGGCTTCTCCACTCCAGCAGTGTAACTGCATCTTAAACCTACTCAACTGTATAAACACTGCCTCCTATCCTGTATATATACTTGTCAAACATACTCTGTACATCCCGTGTGCGAAATACGCTACAGTCGGAAAGCGCACGTTAAATCTCCTATATCAGTCAGTCAGACTCTGTACATCACTTGCTTGATAACAGTGTTAGAACCTACACCAAAACGTCTCTCCTAATTGTAATAAAGAAGTTGTTCATCCATACATCTCATTTTACATGATATATGAGTTTGGCATATTTTTGTCAGTATTTCATGACTACATGACTACAAGTTATAACGTGTTAGTGGTCACTTTGTCAATGTTTTACAGCAAGTCATTACATTTCTTCATTCACAACACGTGACTGTATGAAAAGAAAGAAAACAATCATCTTTTCTGTGGTATCCATGGTAACTCATAAACCAGCTTTTGATAGTGTTTTCTTTTTCCGCCTGTTTTTCTTCAAGCCTGTTTAAGCCATCACACCAACCTGGGCTTAAAATATTACTATAATCGACTGCTTAACATTGCAGTATCTGTCCCTGTATGCCAACAAGATTGGCCATTTGACTGCTCGGTTTGAGAAACTAGTGAAGCTGGTTGGGCGAGAGCTGACACAGAATGTCTACCCCTTCATAACCTACATACAGGTGAGTCTTAGCATACCTACGAACCATCTCTGTGGTCTATTGGATAGAGTGTCCGACCAGAAAGATGAAGGCTCAATCTCATTAAAATCAGATCTAAACAAAGATCTGAGGACATCCCATTAAGGGTCACGTCAGAATGACCTTTATCCAACCAATCAGACCGTCGCTTACCAGATCATGAAAGTGACAGTCGGAATGTGTTTTTTAATCATATGCAACCACAAAATATTTAACACTGGGTATTCCGAACGACAGTTACGGGTTTTATGATTATATCCATACAATCCAGGCCATCTATAAGCCATTCCAGAATGTTCTTCTTATCAGTTTTAATTTTTTTAATCGAGAACATGTCAAAATATGTTTTGAAAGCCTAGTCGCCAGATTGAAACTAGTGTCGTAAAGCTCGAGAAAGCTGCCTTCTGATTGGCTAATGTTGATTTCTTGTCAGTCATTTCATTGGTCGGTCAAAATTCGCGAAAAGGTCGTTCTGACGTGCCCCGTCATAGGATGTCCTCAGATCTTTGTTTAGCGGTAGCGAAAACTAAGATCTGATTTTAATGAGATTGGCTGGTGCTTTGATTTCTGTCTGTGTCATACTACAAAACATTAGAGGTGCCTATTCTTACCCTGTCTGGGTTCAGCATAAAGGGGATAAAACAAGGAGTAAGCGTACTGTGTCTGAGTGGGGTATCCATGATAGACTGCGGCATGGCATCTCGGTCATCTAGCACTATAAAACTGCCTTTGAAATCCAATTCCTTACCTGGACACACATTAGTGAGTGATTCATTTCATTTTGTTGTCAGCAATATGCCGGCAGCATCACGCATCTTGAAGACTTTTATTTTGTCTGTGCTAGATGACTTGAATCCCATGCCGTATTCTTAAAAATATTTCATTCTTTACGATTTTTTCAACGTATTAACATTCCCTGAATTACACTGAAGATGCATGAGCCTGTGTACAGAGTGGTCAGATTGACTGTGGTTGTTGTAGACGTGTGAGCACGAGCACATGCAGCAGGCTGTCGACAAGGTGAAGAAGGACAAGAAGAAGACTGGGGCGGCCGTCCAGGCAGGGAAGGTGAGGAACAGACCACGCCCATGTTTTCCATCTTCCTGAGGCAAGGGAGTTAACAGACTGTACAAGTCCAGTTTCCACCCTTGCCGAACTATGCTGGAATAGTTATGTCCCTTCTGTTGACCAATCAGATTCCACCTCTCATATCACTTGCATTTGCTTCAAATAATATGGCGTCGCCCAGTGAAGACAACCTGATCAATACTTCGAGAAGGGCATGAAATCATGTGAGCACCTTGATTAAAAACATGACAAGATTTGGAAATTATTGACGGTACACATACTTTGCAAATCCTACAATCGACCGAAATCTGCATGGCAGTTTATGAACTGGATGTCAATTTCACTACTTGGTTTTCATTGGACTAATCAGCCCAGCCAAAATATAACTCCATAATTCCAGCCTAGTTCGGCCCTGGGAACATGATGTATACTGACAGCAGACTTTTCTATACTTTCTTGGTTTGCAGACTTGTTTGAATGTTTATTGCTGGTAGGTAGGAAAAAAAATAAATATGGAAACTACATTTCTACTTTGTTCAAGAAGTTATATGAATATGCTGTCATGTATCAGTGTGTATGAAGCTAGTCCTGTCTAGTCTTAGCCAATATTTAAATACTTGTGATTTGATAGACCTTTTCTTGATGTCACCATACATGCCAATCTCATTAAAATCAGACCTCAGTTCTCGCTACCGCTAAACAAAGATCTGAGGACATCCCATTAGGGGTCATGTCAGAACAACCTTTCATCCGACCAATCAGAGCATGGCTTACCAGATTATGAAAGTGACAGTCGGAATGTGATTTCTAATCATGCAACTTCGAAAAATTTAACTCTGAACGATAGTTACGGGTTTAACAACTGAATCCATACAATCTAGACCATCTATTAGCCATTCCAGAATGTTCTTTTGTTCAGGTTTCAAATTTGTAATGGAGAATTTGTCAAAATATGTTTTGAAGCGTAGTCGCCAATTTGAAATTAGTGCCATAAAGCACGAGAAAGCTGCCTTCTGATTAGTCATTTCATTGACCAGTCAAAGTTTGCGCAAGGTCGGTCTGACATGACCCATAATGGGATGTCCTCAGATCTTTGGTTAGCTGTAGCGAGAACTGAGATCTGATTTTAATGAGATTGCCATACATGCCATAAACTATAACATCCAAAAGACATTTTCATGTGGAATCCGAAATTTTACAAATGGCTTCTTACCAGTAGAGTCTGCAAGCTGGAGTGACTTTGTTGAAGGAAATGGTCAACTTTGATTCCAGGTCTCATTAATACCTCTTTGATAATCAGCCAGCTACACATACTTTGTCCCACTACAGGGATATCTCTAGACCTGCTAAGACTGACATTTGGCCCCAAGTCTGAAGGAGTTACAAGTAAAAATTTCCAAATTGGAATAACAAATTGCCAAGTTATTGAAATGTCCCTCAAATTAAGAAATTAAGGACTTTTGAGCAAATCCCAATTTGAACAAGATTATGTATTTTCCCATTTTGTCACTGAATGAACAACTGCATCAGAAGTTTGTGGAGAAGTTCATGAAGGGAAACATGAAGATATGATGCTGGGTTTAGTCTATTTATGATTTGCTGTCAGTATCGTCCTGTGTGTATGTCCATGTGTCATGTTTCAGAATCGGGCCATGAAACAGACCAAGACAATTCCAAACTTGATCTATGCTATTGAGCAGTTTGAGAGGTTCATTATACAGCTGGGCAAGAAGTCCAAGGTGAGAGGCTGGCTGCATGGGAGTGAGTGAGTTGGTTGGGATTAAAGCTCTTAATAGTAACACAGGGTGCTCATTTCATGTGTGGGGTAAGTTGCAGCTTCAAGATATTTCTCAATTGCTGGAACCCATAAGAATGGTATGCTGGAAAACACCCCAATTATCCTGATTATTATTGACTCAGAATACAAGATAGCTACGCAGTAAATTGCAAAGAACTACGAAGAACGAAGCGTGGTTTATGTCATGATAAAACAATTGTTCAATCATGGCATCATTTCTGGAGATTCGAACATGCGCTTACAACTTGATGTTGTAATTTGGAAGACACTATTTTTGAGGGGGAAGTGTTCCTCATAGATGTAGCTGGACAGTGCAGATGAACGCAATGGCTGAAAGATCGCACCCAAAAGTGGGAGAGATATGACAATCAGTATTAGGAGAAACGGTGCAGATAATTGACATGAAAATTGTGACAATACCAAACTTAACCCCCCTGTACATCAAATGGTGTTGTCCTACATTGTTGAGGTCGGATTGTATCCAGTGAGTCATCATTATTTAAATACGGGTAAATGTTTATAAGCTTGTACAATTTATTGACATCATTAACAACGCTGTACAAAATATTGATATCACACATAAGAAATAAACGACTTGTGGTCGTTGTTTATCATACAAGAAAACACTTCAGGGAGTATAAACCACACAGGGCAGCGCCCCTCATGGTTTATTCTCCCTGCAGTGTTTTATTGTACGATTAACAACTTCACCTTGTAGATTATTTCTTAAATGTGACGTCAAATGTGATCTAGTTCCTTCCAGAGATTCAAGCGGTGTTTTTAGCTGAAACAATTAGAATAATGGACACACATCATTTGAAAGTAGATTTTGCACAGGCTGTTAAAACTAGTTCATGGCCTAATGTGCTTTGATCAATGTTAAATGGACCCCAGATTTTCCAATGGCAATTTGAAAACCTTTTGCATTTCTAAAGGTGAACTTGATGGACTACATGAAAGTAAGCACATCACGCGACTTCCGCATCAACGTCGCAGCGGTACAGGCAGTGATGGAGGATGAGTCTGACGAGGACGAGGAAGAGATGGAGCAGGAGGGAGAGGCTGGCGGGGAACAAGAGGAGGGGGGCCAAAATGGGGAGGTGAGACAAAACTCTGAGACAGGAGATTGAACATGACATTGTTTCAAGATTCGGGTTAACATGGAGCTACCTGAATAGTTTGTTGTGTTTGTAGTTTAACGTCACACTCAGCAGTGTTCCAGTTAAATGATGGCAGCCTGTAGATAATTGTGTCTGGACCAGACAATCCCCTGATTCATATTGTGAGCATCAGTCCATGCCGTCACGGTATAATGACACACAATTCATCGAGTCTGACCACCTGATCCATTAAGTCACCACATACAACAAGCTTAGTTTGCTGAGGACAAATTCTAATCCAAAATAGGACAAGTCAGAAGAAACATTGTTTTATTTTCATTTACCAGAGGACACCAAAATTCAGTAATCATGATAATTGTACTAAAACTGTAGATAGGTACTGTGAGCAAATTAAAATTTAACGTGGCATCAGCATTATAGGTGAGGTGAAATTGGGTTTAACGTAAGATTATTGCACTTATATAGTGACGTGCATGCATGTGTGTGCGTGTGTGCGTGTGCGTGCGTGGGCAGGCGCTAGTCTGGACTCATACTGATTTATAGTTCTAGCACACTGAGATATCATGTCGCAGTTTAACATGAATACCCCACTCAGACACAGTATAGTGACTCCGAGCTGACCTGCCCTTGTTTTAGCCCATTTATGCCGAGCGCCAGACAGGGTAACAACAAGTTCCATCTTTTAACATCTTTTGGTATGACGTGGCCGGGGATGGAACCCCGGACCTTCAGCTCTCCAGACAGATGCTCTACCACTAGACCACAGAGGCGGTCCTGAGCAATATATAGCAATGTGGACACTGTGATAAGCAACATTCACTCTCGAAAAAATAAATAAAAATTCATTTGTCTTTTAAAAGAATTGTGAATAAGTAGTTATGAGATTTAGCATTTATATTTTACTTGCCCCCGTGGGGATTCTGGGTTAGAATTGGTCCCCAGCATATACTGGTCGTAAGTTGACCTAATGGACCAGGTTGGTTAGACTCAGTGACATGGTCAATTGCATGTCATCGTACCCTGATGGTGTGGATCGTTGTTTCCAATAACAATCACTGGATTGTCTGGCCCACGCTTGATTATATACAGGCCACTGTCATATAGCTGGAATATTGCCGAGAGCCACATTAAACAACAAACATATTTTGCTTCATAAAGTGGAAGATGTTTACTATTATAACAGTAACAAGTATTCGAATGCATGAGTTTTGATCAGTTACTAGTAACTTATTAGAATTGCTTCTACAGTCGCATCTTTTCTAATCTATATAATCGTCATGGGTATTCTGGAAGCAACCTAGGCTTCTCGTACTAGGTGACTTAACATATCGGGTAGCCAAGCTCAGTGACTTGGTTGATATGTCTCATTTTAGCCCAGCAGCGAGGGATTCTGCTCACTATCAATCACTGGCTTGTCTAGTCCAGAGTTGATTGTTTACTGGCTGCTGACACAGCTGCAATATTGCAGAATGTGACATTAAACGACAAACCAAATAAATCCAGATTATCTTAGTTTGTAGCTTTCAGGTGGATCAGGTCGGTAATTCTTTGTTCTTGATCCCAGCAGGCTTCAGAAAGTGAAGGCAGTGACGAGGAGAACCACGCTCCACACAACACAAACCCTGCTGATGAGGATGAAGCGGCGCCTCCTACCAAGAAGAGTAAGCTTGGCCGTGCAGCAGGCCGGGGGAAACGCAAGACAGCCAACTGAAGGGGATCTATATATCTCAACGGAAATAATTGGGGTGAAATAATTAATGTGACATAGAGCAAAGTAGGAAGGAAGTTAAAGCTGTCAACAATTTTGGGATCATTGGCATTATTGATGAAAGTGCCTTTATAACTTTGATGGAAACATCCTCCTGGTTCAAAAAAAGAGTGTCATAATACCAATTCTGGTCATATGCTTTTCTGAACTGGTGAGGTGAGGTGAAATTGGGTTTAACGTCGCGTCCAAGATTATTGCACTTATATAGCGACGTGCATGCACGTGTATGTATGTGTGTGTGTGGCTGCTTGTACTAGTCCGGACTGATGCCGATTTATAGTGCTAGCTCACTGAGATACCATGCCGCAGTTTAACATGAATACCCCACTCAGACACAGTATACTGACTCCGAGCCGACCAGTCCTTGTTTTAGCCCCTTAATGCCAAGTGCCAGACAGGGTAACAACGAGTACAATCTTTTAACGTCTTTTTGTATGACGCGGCCTGTGATCGAACCCTGGACCTTCCCCTCTCTGGGCGGACGCTCTACTTTTTTCTGAACTGGCATCAGCTGGTCTGTGGAGGGAGTTGTGATTGTGTGTTCTATCTGGATGTGGTGGACACCAGCTCACACTATCCACCACCAGTTGTCTTCTCCAAGCTCTACTTGTAGGCTGTCAAGTTATACTGGTATGTTATCGGTAAATAATTTATTACCTTGATCCCCAATTGTCCATATTGGTTTGAAAATGATAGGTCCTTTCCAATCAAATTTCTTTAATAACTGCTGTTATTGCTTAATTGTTCAGCTGTGGTGTGCCATCGTCATGACTATTAGTGTGCACCAATGATATGTATTAACATGATTATGCTTCCCAAAATAGTGCTGTTATCACTTTTATTATCTATTGTAAAATATGTAAATATATTGTACACACGATAAACTTTTTATCCTGCTTACAGGGCTTTTGTTGATCTTGTATATTGTTGTCCAACTTGTATATTTTTAAGTCAACTTGGAACACGTGTAAAGACATTTGTTTTCTTACTTTCTTACAAATTACGCAATGTTCCCAACCTTCTATTGCTTGTTGTAAGCGGCAGCTAATCAGGTGACCTCGTCACTTGATGTCACTCATGATATCAACCACCGGTTTGGTATCAACTTGATTGTGCTCACAGACACTAAATACTGGAGAGAGAAAATTTATCTCGCTTTGTCCGATCTTTGCAACATATAACAGAAACTTCCAAATATTGCTTGTTGATGTGGTATGAACCATTGGTGCAATTGTCCGTGTTTGGACTCAACTTGATTTTGCTTACTGCAACACCAAATAATGGGAAAAAATTATGTAAGAGGTGACTAACGTGATCAAGTGATCAGGCTCGCTGACTAGGTTGATGCATGTCATTGTATCCCAATTGCATGGATCGATGCTCATGATGTCCATCACTGGATTTGTCTGGTCCAGACTGGATAATTTACAGACCACCGTCATATAGCTGGAATATTGCCGAGTGTGGCATTAAACAACAAACTGAAGCTTATTTCGTCAGATTTTCGCAACATGAAACTCCTAAATATTGCTCTTGATTTGGTATGAACGATGGGTGGAATTTCTGTCAGCTGAACTAGTCTCGGCACTCACAACTCAACACACAAGAATGTGTCAAACAAATGGTTTATTTCACCATAACAAAATAACCATCAGTTCAACTGATAACTGTCAATATTTGTTTTGAGCAATAATTATTATGGAAAATACAGGCAGCCCATGGAATGGTAATTTGGTAAGCACAGAAACAAGTAGGGAAGTTTCAATGAAATGAATTGAAATGGAAACCTTTGTTTAACTTGTGTGTTACCCACAATAAATGAATAAAGAACCAGATTGTACTGCAGGAAATGCATATCCTACAAAAGAAATATGTAACATTACTGAGCAATGAATTTAATTTAAACTAAACAGTTTGTTTCCATGTTTAGCTGGAGACAGCAGTTAAAGAAAATTAAACACATTTATTTTGCATAACATAATTTAACAGTATACTTTGTGGCAAGACTTTTGTTGCATGTTATGAAGAAAGAATTAACTTGCAACCCTCAATCATAATTATGAATGCTCTAAAGATTTTCTGACATATACTAGCATACTGAGGAAATCATGCATGCATTGAAAATGAAAAATTACACATTATCTTTTAAGGAACCCATATTCTAAATATACAGGAAATTAAGATTCATTTTTGATGATTCAACAGTGTTCACAAATCATAGTTTAGCCATACTTTCACATTTTGTTTATCATTATGAAAAAATTTTGGAAGAGAAGATGAAGGATAAAAATCTACCTGTGTCCAAGTTCATGGGTTCAATAAACTTGTCCGTGTGTCTATGAAACATGGTCTCATTTTTAGTGAATCATAACAGACAAAAATGATCACCATACAAATGACGAGAGGAGCATGGATTGACTAGGTTGAGTTCACAGACTAGTCTAAAAAGAAAAATTGCATAAATAATAAATATAGAACATATTTTGAGAATTTTATAAAAACAGAACTTAGATGGAATGTTCAGTTCCAATTCTCATACACATTTAAAGGTAGTCTTCAAGCAGCCATTTCACAAACACCTTTGGTGTAGACCTGTGTTACAAAAATACAAGCAAATGTTTACTCAGTTAGTTTTGTGAGATACACACAATCAGGTACTGCTGGCAAGATACGACCAATCACATACTGCTGGCAAGATACGACCAATCACATACTGCTGGCAATACGCACAATCACGTACTGCTGGCAAGATACGACCAATCACATACTGCTAGCAAGATACGACCAATCACATACTGCTGGTGAGTTACGCACAATCACGTACTGCTGGCGAGATACGACCAATCACATACTGCTGGCGAGATACGCACAATCACGTACTGCTGGCAAGATACGTACAATCACGTACTGCTGGCGAGATACGCACAATCACGTACTGCTGGCGAGATACGCACAATCACGTACTGCTGGCGAGATACGACCAATCACATACTGCTGGCGAGTACGCACAATCACGTACTGCTGGCGAGATACGCACAATCACGTACTGCTGGCGAGATACGCACAATCACGTACTGCTGGCGAGATACGACCAATCACATACTGCTGGCGAGTACGCACAATCACGTACTGCTGGCGAGATACGCACAATCACGTACTGCTGGCGAGATACGCACAATCACGTACTGCTGGCGAGATACGCACAATCACGTACTGCTGGCGAGATACGCACAATCACGTACTGCTGGCGAGATACGCACAATCACGTACTGCTGGCGAGATACGACCAATCACATACTGCTGGCGAGTACGCACAATCACGTACTGCTGGCGAGATACGCACAATCACGTACTGCTGGCGAGATACGCACAATCACGTACTGCTGGCGAGATACGCACAATCACGTACTGCTGGCGAGATACGCACAATCACGTACTGCTGGCGAGATACGCACAATCACGTACTGCTGGCGAGATACGCACAATCACATACTGCTGGCGAGATACGCACAATCACGTACTGCTGGCGATATACGCACAATCACGTACTGCTGGCATCTTAAAGACTGCATTCTGTTGTGATGTCACATTTCACTTCACATCTTCCAGCTTTCTAATATGACTTGATGACCATCTTAAAGCTCAAGGAGTCAATGAGAAGTTACTGTATTCAACTCCAACATCATTCCAGTTGCTCCAGCATGTCAGCAATGTGGGCACATACCTGTAATATGCCTAATGAGAGCAACAGTGACTCATGCTTATCTAAGATCAGGGCATAATGATTCCCCCAAACATTCGATGCATCATGATCCTCTGTGCCATGATATACATATTGTATCAGTAGGTCATGTATACTAACCAACAATACAAGTACAAATGAAGGGAAATATCTAAAAAGTTAGTTTTCACATATATCGCATCCTCATTATTGGGATGCGTATCATGTTGCAAGGAAGTGTATTGCTGTGGTCTTACTTTGTGGCAGAGGTTTGGACTGGGCTGCTGGCATAGCAAGAGTCATGTTTTCACGTATCATGTATTGTATTGCTACACACTATTACCATGATTACAGCCCAATTACATATACTTTCGCAGCACCTTCCTTATCAGCATATTAACTGGAACCGGAGATCTATAGCATGAGAGAGCACTGATGATGTTTAGGTTGAAAATGATAACCAATACCAATGTAACAAGATAGTCTTGATTAGGGCACATTCAATTAGTTCCAAATAAGCAAAAGCACTAACATTCAAAAACATAATGAAGATGGTTGAGAAGATTATTCAGCACAATCACAAAAAAATTCCGTTAAAGTATCTGTAACATAAACATGGCAATGCTAAAAGTCACTTACACACAAATGTTTGCTTGACTTGACTTATTCAAACTGAAATAAATACTCAACATTAATGAAATCTTACATCAACATTACATCCAGCACTAGAAAAAGAAAGTTTAAGATAGCAAACCAAAGACAAAACATGGCTTGCAGTGAGGTAACATACTCAAACCTGCCTGTATACAGAAGTCAAGTATACATACATGTATATTCGATATATATATATATATATTCGACATATAACTTTTTGTTCGTTATTCAAACTTACATGAGCAATAAGTCCCATTTCCCAATGAAATACTCAAAAAAAAGTTAAGGGACACCCGATTCTTTCAAATTACTAAGGTTAATCTATCAGAACAAGGCAAATTAACTGGCGTAAAATGAAAGAATCGGGTGATCCTTAACTTTTTTGAGTAGTATATTTAAAAAAAGTTTTGCTTAATATAAAAACATACAGGTATGAAAATAAATATGGTTCCTACTGACTATGAAAATAAAAAGAATTCATCACAAAAAACAAAACAAAAGATAATATTAGGATGCAAAAATAAATCGCACCTATCTGCCTATTGAGAAAAAATCTATTGACCAAGTAATATTTATATATGTGTTGTATGCATACTTTACCGTATTAACTGAAACACAGCATGTTCTTAAAGTCACATCAGCAAGGTCAGTTAAACAGGCACGCATTAAGGGCATGCCAGACAAGACAGAAATCCAAGGAAGTAAGGAGAGGCCAGACAAAATGTCAGGTCACTATCAGTACTTCAGAGTTTTGTATACATTACATTCATCCACCAATACAACTGTGAATATGTGTGTCACTTTGTGGTGTAGTTGCCACTTTTGAACAATGAATCATGTAAAGGATAGGTTCGAGCAGGAAGTCAGCGAGTGCTTTGACCAATGAACACCTAGCTGACATCAAGGTCTGGTCACATAGCAATATTCCAGCTATATGACAGCAGTCTGAAAATAATCAAGTCTTGACCAGACAAGCCAGTGATTGATATCATGAACATTGATCCACCCAATCGGGATCGATGACATGTATGAACCAAGTCAGCGAGCCTGACCACCCAATCCCGTTAGTCGCCTTTTACGACAAGCATAGTCACCTTTTACGGCAACCATGGGTTGCTGAAGGCCTAGTCTACCCTGGATCTTCACAGGTCCTGACATCAAGGGTAATGTTTCTCTCTCGACAACATGGATAACGTGTTATGGCCTTGGGACTATCTGCTCCAGACAGTATTTCAATGTCAGGCATCCAGAAGGGCTAATTGTTTTCTTTGGGTTATACATCCTCATTTCGGTAATATATGAAAAAACAAGCATGAAATACTTATATCCCCCGCCAAGTCAAAGTCGTTGCTTTGGAAATTTGAAAAATAAATTTGTAAAAAATCCCAAACTATCAAAGGGCACCAGTTTGCCACTAGACCTATCTATGTGCCAAGTTCGGTTAAGATATCTCTCATGGTTGTTGAGTACTGCTCCGGAAACGAAACGAAATGGATGGACAGATGGGAATGGCTCCCATTCATATAATATCCCTTTCAGTTTATGGTCGGGGATAATAAACGTGTCATTACTGCACCACAAAGCTACAGTATGTATTCACGGGCGATGGAGGGACGTAGTGTGTAGACACCTGTGAAGTACTGACAATGTGGGCAGTCAGATGCCAAGTACACTGAGACATGGCATCTTTCAGAGGATGGATACTGATGACAGGCAAACACAAGTATGATGGAAAAGGAAGACAGATCAGACACGATAGAAAAACATGGACAGAGGTCAGACAAAAGGATGTGCTAAACACTGATATAGCATAAATACACTACAGGGTAGGTAGACACTTATGACATACTACTCTCATGACTTATCAGAGGCAGGGGACAATCTGATTGGTCAGAGAAACAGACGAAGGAGAGTATGTGTCAGACAAGGAAGTCTTTTTTTTTCTTCTTTTTTTTTTAACAAGTAAGTCATGGTGGACATGGCAAGGGAAGAGATTCAACCTATCCTGTAGACTTTGACAGAGTGAGTGAGGTAGTTGACAACTAGTAAGTGTCTGTCCCGCGTCAGCATGATGTCGGACGGTCGGTAGATTGGATCGGACAGCTTGATGGGAAACAAGTACTGCCCGTCAGGAGAAAAAACCTGAAGCAACAGAGTCAGCAGTGATGAAGGGTTTTGGTTTGATTTGTTGTTTTACGCTGCACTTAGCAATATTCCAGCTATATGAGGACAGTTTGTAAATAATCGAGTCTGGACCAGACAATCCAGTGATTGATATCATAAGCATCAATCCATGCATGCTTCAACCAAGTCAGCAAGCCTGACCACCCGGTCCCGTTAGTCGCCTCTTATGACAAGCATAAGTGATGAAGGGAGGTGGTAGAGAACCATTACTTACCCATATCTATTAGTGCGTAAAAATAAATCAACAATTAGAAGTTAACTTGAAAATGATTGTGATGACACCAAAAAAATTCATATGAAGAAATTAGGCCTGGTCTACAGTATTTGGGATGATTATATATATATTTTCATGGCTCATGAACTGGATCTCTGGCAATCTTAATTCCAAACACCCCATACTCAGCGTTGACACAATGCATAACCCTCCACCACATACCTGTATCCTGTCATTCTTGCTGTCGGCTATTATCCAGTTCCCGGCAGAGTCTACTGTCACACCTGATGGTTCACGGAAGAATCCTGGATTGGTTCCGTAATGGCCGAAACAGTGGAATACTTGTCCACACAAGTTGCCCAGGTACATCACACTCAGGCCTAATACAGAACACAACTTAACATGGAGCAAACTGCGATAAAATAACACATCCAAGCCTCCGAGTCATACAATCTGTAAGGCTAAAAAAAATAATAGTCTTGGTTCTCAGGCACCACCCGCATCATCATAAAGTCAGCCACACATTTCGTTTTTATTTCCATTGTCAAAATTTAATTTAAAAAAAACCTTTATCACTGTTTATATATTCCACAACTTGAACAGACTACCCCAGCAGTGAAATGCTTCAATACTACAAAATTTAGTTACATACTAACTAGATCTCCCCAACAAAAAGAGCCCCCCCTCCCCCCCCCCCCCCAACCTGCCCCTATATTTTCAAAAGCAATTGCCTGAGAACCAGTTCTTTTATTTTTTTAACCCTCTGGCTGCCACCTCAAAAGCCTGTGTACTATCGCTGTGCCAAGTTTATTTTTTGTGATGTTGCAATTGCTATGGGCTTGGGGTAATCCAAAAATATTTTATTTCAATTCTTTTAACATGATGTTTCAGAAGGACATATATGTCCCTCTGGCACAGCAACTGTGCTTTGTGTAGGGACATATAAATTATTATTATAATGTCCAAATGGCATACAGGGGGTTAACGCCGCACTCAGCAATATTCCAGCTATATGACGGCGGTCTGTAAATAATTGAGTCTGGACCAGACAATCCAGTGATTAATATCATGAGCATCGATCCGCGCAATTGGGATCGACGACATGCATCAACCAAGTCCGCGAGCCTGACCACCCGATCCCGTTAGTCGCCTTTTACAACAAGCATAGTCGCCTGTTACAGCAAGCATGGGTTGCTGAACACCTATTCTGGCCTAACATCATGATCATGGTACTGTTCATATACGTTATAAGGACATACTTTGTTACACAGAATCTCGGGAATACCCCGCAATGTTGCTCACAAGGAAATTTTTATCATAGCCGTACAGTAGCAATATTACCGATATGTACGTAATCCTGATACCATGCAATAGCAGTATTTACACCTACCAAGATCACTGACAAGGACCCTGTCTCTGAAGACCTCCAGAAAGCGGCACTTGGAGCCTGCCATATTGTTACTGAGGGGACCAAAGACACTGCAGCGGAACACTCCACCGTTCTGCTTGAAGAGATACAGCAAGTGGTCGGACCTCGTCACATCTAGGGTCACCAAGTGTCCGGTGTAGGTCAGCGCAAGTCCTGTTGGCACAAGAACACAATCAGACACAGCCCCATGTCTCTATTCCATAAAGTGTGCACCCCAAAAGGTGTCCATGGGGCCTTGAGATTTCCTCAACTTACTGGTAGGAGGATTACCATGCTAACATATTTGTGATTCTAACCAGGATGTGGATGGTGACTGTTTGAAGTACCGACATTCGAAGTGGAATAATCTCCTTTCTTATTGTGTACTCATTGGTAATGTTCCATATTTTTTACTACAAACATTTCTGTGAAGAAGCAATAAAAATATTCAAATGATGGCAAATTAGCAACAGGGAGCATCTCTTAAAAAGGTATCATAGCATGGAAAGGAGGCCTTTTCTTGGCCCCGGGTTTACAGCAAATGTTTTCAAAATTCCCAAATTGGAATCTAAATTTTTCGAATTCAGGGTAATTTTAATTTGTGAGTTAGCTTTGTATTTTGATACCAGACTTCTGAACAATAAAGAGAAAAAACATTAATTCCATAACCATCATGTTAAATTTCTGCTAAAGGCAGAGTCAGTTGTATGATTACAACTATATCATAAGCATATGTATAGATACAAGTTGTACATGTGATCATAGATATCAGACCGCTTCCGTGGTCTATCGGTCGAGCGTCTGCCCAGAGAGCGTAGGTAGGGGGTTCGAACCCCGGCAGCAGCATCGCAAAAAATGTTAAAAGATGGTACTTGTTGCTACCCTGCCTGATGCTTGACATGGAGGGGATAAAACAAGGACTGGTCGGCTTGGAGTCCTCATATTGTGTCTGAGTGGGGTATTCATGTTAAACTGGGACATGGTATCTCACTGGGCTAGCACTATTAAATCGGCATCAGTCCGGACTAGCTAGTACAAACACACACCCCAACACCCCATAAAAGTAAAATAATCTTGAATGTTAAACTCCATTTCACCTCACTTCATAGATATCACCCAAAGTAAAATTGTTACAAAGTAAGAGTGGTCTTCAGGTTGGGCTGCGTCTTACTTCTCACCGTAAGGTCTTTTGAGAATCTTTTGACCTATCTGCTCCAGGAGAACTCCTTTGACGTCAAACTTGAATATTCCAGTGGCATCCTTCACAAACAACTCATCTTTCTCGTTCACTACTACTGCTGAGGGACGAGATAGTGCAACTCCACTCTGTGAGAAAAACTATGTACAAGGTTACATAAGTCACATGTGGACGTCACATCACAAATTTCTATCAAACATAAACATTGTTATATTTTCACATTGAAGATGCGAGTGAGTGAGTTTGGTTTAACAGTATTCCAGTCATATCGCGGCATGTCAGCTTAATGCGGGAGGAGAAAGCCCAAAGTGATGCAGGTCTCAGACGTTTACCACTTCGGTGAAACCCACGAGCACGGGTATGGTGCTGACAAACCTTGAACTATAATCGGGGCGAACTGGGATTTGAACCCACAATCATAGGTTCCTGGCGTGCCCAAGGGACGCAACTCTGCACTGTGAATCGCGGCGCCTTAGACGACTTGGCCACCCGTGCCCCCACACTGGTGAAGAGTAATGAACTGGATTTACAACATGCCGTAAGAGGCTACTATGCTTGTCGTGAGAAGCGACTAACTGGATCTGGTGGTTAGGCTTGCTGACTTGGTTCATGCATGTCATCATATCCAAATTGCTTGGATCGATGCTAATGATGTCAATCACTGGATTGTCTGGTATAGACTTGATTAATTACAGACCGCCGTCATATAGCTGGAATATTGCTCAGTGTGGCGTTAAACAATAAACAAATGAAAACAAACCTCAAATCATATACAGAGTGAACTGGGATTCAAACCCATTGGCCATCAACATTTTTTATTTTAAAAGCAATAAGTGCACAAATGATGCAATGGTGTGGTCGAGAGTAGGACAGAAGCCCCAGACCAGTCAGAGTCAGCTCTGTCAAATCTATCAAAGTGTACAAATCATTGTCTATAGCGTGTGTCGTTCAGAAAAAAATGAGTGAGCGACCCAGTTGGATATCTACGCTGCCAACATTCCAGCAATATCCGACTGGGGACATCAGAAGTGGGATTCACATGTTGTACCCATGTGAAGCATCAAACTGGGTCCTTGGTCATGTTGGTGTGACAAGTGACTTGGCTACCCAACCACCCTTAACTTAATCTAAATGATTCAGGCAACACAGAACAATAGAGCAAGCACAGTGATGTTTACTTCTACATTCAATTCATCACTGCCTTTAAATAAAGTACTTGGGGCTGGGGTAAACTAAACTGTCTCAAATTCAAAAACTCCTGTCATGTTTGGGGTAGCTACTTTTAGCATGTGAAGCCAATGCTTCTTGTTACACCTTCCCATATTCCTTTCCATCAGTGTGTATAGCATGGCGGGAACATGAGAAATGGGCTTCACACATTGTCCCCTTGTGGGGAATTGAACCTGTGCCTTTGGCATGTGGAGCAAATGCTTTAACCACAAGACTACCACACCACCCCTAGGCAAGGTGAAAGCCAGTTCACTATAGGATTTGTTTGTTTGTTTGTTGTTTAACGCCGCACTCAGCAATATTCCAGCTATATGACGACGGTCTGTTAGTAATCGAGTCTGGACCAGACAATCCAGTGATTGACAACATGAGCATCGATCTATGCAATATGGATCGATGACATGCTTCAACCAAGTCAGCGAGCCTGACCACCCGATCCCGTTAGTCGCCTTTTACGACAAGCATAGTCACCTTTTACGGCAAGCATGGGTTGCTGAAGACCTATTCTACCCCGGATCTTCACGGGCCAGTTCACTATAGGAAGGCAATTTGGCTCATGCTTCTCCATGGCCTTGTACATGTCATGGCATGTCAAAGAATCGTGGCCATCTTTTTATTTTAACACAAAAACGCAAATGATATCACAAGATATTGATCTTAGTGTTTGATGATGCTGTCAATATGTAAGGCTAAAAAAAATATAATAGTCTTGGTTCTCAGGCACCACCCATAATCATCATAAAGTCTGCCGCACGTTTTGTTTTTATTTCCATTTTTTTTTAAATATAAAAATCCTAATACTTAAACATGTTAAACACAATGCACATAAAAATTGAAAATGGAAACAAAAACGAAACATGCAATGAACTTTATGAATGTGGGCAGTGCCTGAAAACAAAGACTTTTATTTTTTTTAGACTAAAAATAACTTTCCAGCACAAATTCGATCATTCTGCACTCGATTCATTCTCAGCTCCCTGGAGAGTATACAACCTGAGCTGCCTGTGAGATGCTAGAAGATTATCAGCCACATGACCATTTCATCCTACAGGTACCCATTCAGTGCTGGGTGAACAGAGGCACTATTTGAACAAAATCACTTCCCTGCTTAATGTGCTTCAGTGTGGGGCAGGACTGAAGCCCCAGAAGCCCTCAGGAGACTCTTTGAGTCACTTTGCAGTCACCCATCCAACTATTCTTCATCACTGACACTGCTCAACTTCACCTGATTTGTGACCGGTGCACTGTGCACAGGACCACATGCCACCACATTTTACACCACAGACATAAACATGACTTGAAAAAACTGTTTTCCAGAACACAAATGACAGACAAAACATCATGTCATCATGATGAACTGCCTATGATGGACGATGATCAGTGGAGCTAATATCTAATTCACAACTGTAGTATCTTGTTCAAACAGTTTATTCTCCCCTACATGGAAAGATTAAGACATGAAACCTACCTTGTCCGCCTGCATGCCAATGGTAAAGTCAAGGACATCCTTCTTCATAACCTTCACAAGATCGTTACCGTTGTCTGCCACAATTAAGTCACCATGGCTGTTGGACCCAACACCGATGGGGAAGAAGAAGCCTTCGCCGTGGCCTTTCTTCAGGTGACCAATCTTACTCACAAGTGTAGCATTGACTTCTGGAATACAATACAAGAATAAACAATATTAAACATTGAAAATGAGTCAGTGACTGAGTTTGGCTTAACAGTAATTCTAACAGTATTCCTGTTAGTGTTACATCACAGTGTGTCAGCTAAACATGGGAGGAAAGCCCGAAGTGATGCAGGTCTCAGACGTTTACTTTTTTGGTGAAACTCATGATCTAGGTTATGGTGCCGACAACATAGAAACATAATCGGGGCAAACAAGGAATTCGAAACCACAGTCATGCCAAGGGATGCAACTCTGCACAGTGAATTGTGAAGTCTTAGACGACTGGGTTACCCATGGCCCCTTGAAAGTGAAAGTCACAGCCTAATTTTAAGAATGATATACTTAGGGCATCCAGCGATTAAAATACTGCATAGGCTACTGTGATGCCAAGCACTGTACAACACTATAATCTCAGGCACTCACCGGTCCAGCAGTTCCCTGAGAACACCAGCCTAGACAAGTCAGTGTATATCTCTGCTACCTTCTTGCTTACAGTCCCACTGCCAGGAGAATGAACTTCTTTTTTCACTGCAACTTCAAGATCCACATCCTTCTTCACAGCAACATCATCCTTCCTCTGTAGTGGTGACTGGGCACGAGTAGCCATCACCTTGTCTTCAGACTTGGTGGTAGTAAGAGCAACAGATGTCCCCTCAACCTTAGCCCTGGTACTTCCTGGATAATCAACATCAGTCTCCATCTGGATCTCCTCTTGGGGTTCTTCCTTTATACTCAGCATATGTTCCTGTAGCTTAGGTTTCGAAAACAAAGACATGTCAAGAGGTCTGCTCTTTGATAGTGTATGACCTAATGGTGAGAGTACCTTGTCCATATCACCATGGTTACCATCCTTTGGCTTGTCTAATACATCAACCTTACTTGACTTGGAACTCTCCACAATTCTACTGGTATCTGATTTGGGACAGGAAGGGCTATCACCAGCACTATCATCTTCCCCACCAATCGTTCCACCCATAGGACTTTCCTTGTTAGATTCAATGTACGTCTTCAGCAGATTCTTCATTCTACCAGAAATGATAGGATATGTCTTTTTGGAAGAATATTCTTTCTTTCCCTTTTGGCAATCCTCCTCCTTTGATATAGCTGAAGTCTTCACATTCAAATCCAGTTCACCTTTAGATTCATGACTCACGATTTCACAATTTCTCTCAGGCTCTGTGACAGTGTCATTTCCCTGTTCTTCTGCCAGTGGTGACAGTTTCAATGAGGTAGAACCAGGCTGCTGTGGCATCTTTCCAAGTGGGCTGCTTCTGAAACTCTTACCGGGTGCTCCACCAAGACCTGTGGTCATCTGTCCATTCTCAAGCCTCCTTTCACTTGATACAGGCTGCATATCAATCTTCTCTTTCTTCACAGGAAAGCTGTACTGACTATGGTCGCCACCCCGAGCATCCCACCAGTCATCCATCCCATTAGCAGTCACACACGGAAACCTTCTCAATGCTGCCTCCACATCAAAGGGTTTGGGGGGCCTATTTTCAATATCGGTCGATTCTTTCTCACTACCTTTTGTCGAATTTCCTTTTAGGTTTACAATCCTCCCTTTAGTTGAATCCTTCCAAGATTCACCATTGTTTTGCTTTTCATTTAGCTTACTTGACCCTAATTCTTTATCAAAAAGTCTTCTCACATGGGAAGGGTTCTCAGATGATACTGCTCGAGTTTGTTGATGGAAAGAGTTTTCATCTGGAAGGGCCATATCCCAAGATTCAGTTGAATTACTTCTTTTGTTAGCTGACCTTGGTGCTGAATGACACATGTCTCCAGAACCTTTAGAACTACTCTTTGTGTTCCTCTCAGACACCTTCCTGTCATAAATGTTTTTCTGGAGCCGAATAGACATGGCAGACGACATCTCAGTGATCTCATACATATCTTCATCCCACTTTTCAATAATTGGTGACAGTTTGGAATTGTCTGATGATCGGTTGCACGATTCTTCATTGCAAGGATTAATTGCACCCATCTGCATCACAGTCTCTTCATTAGCTCCAACTTCCATTGCCTCCTCCAACAATTTTGCTGTCAGCTGGTTTGATTCATTTTTTCTAGCTGCAACAGGTTCTTTGGCTTGAGAACTTGGAGTATGAACAACATTAGCAGGTGTGGAAACACAAGGAAACATTTCGCTCTTCTTTTTGGCAAGTCCTGCCTCAAACCCAGGTGGACATGGAACATTATGGATTGTATGAAGCAGAGTTTGATTGGTCCTGCCTTTCTCACTGGCTTTAAGTCCTGGTTGAGATTCAGAACCATGTGCACTGTTCAACAATGAGCCTAGTTCCGGAATTGGACTCACTTCAGGATTCGAATCAAGAGACATATTGGAACAAGCAAGCGATATCCCACTATCTTTGTTTGAAGTGAAAATATGTCCGAACACCCCTTGATCGAACTTTGTCTCCAGGTCTCCTTGTACAAACTGTAGGAACATCAAATTTTCAAGGTCACCCTGATCCTCGCCATCATGTTTGCTATCCAGCAAAGACTCGAAAGTTTCTGTCAGATGAGTTCCATCTGATGCTAACTTGTGCTCATTCTGAATCTTTAGCACCTTCTCTGCCTCCACACAAACTTCTCCCAGGGTGCAGATCTCATCAAACAGCACTTGCACCTGGTCCTCCATTGCTTTAATCTTTCTGTCCACGATGGTGGAAAGATCTTTTTCAAATGTTCTTTGCAGCATGGCTATTTTGGCTGAAAGTCGGCGTGTCATGCTGTCCATGTCGCTCTTAGTTTTGTCTCTCCTCATGAACAAGATAGCCATGACAGCATTGATCTTCCTCGTAGCAGCATTGAGTGAGTTGATCTTCTTGTAAGCCAACTTGAGTGTGTGAAGCAAGGTTTCGCGTTTTTCTGACAGATCCATTGTCTGAAAATAAAATGTTAAAGAAAGTTTCAGTAGTATTCAGTAGTATTAATTCAACTTCAACTGGAAGTGTTTTGAATGAAACATTCAATAACATTCCATGGCTCAAAAAAGATTATAGAAAACTTGAAACTTGTACAACTAATTGTATATATTGATATACTTATGCTATCTGACACTATGCATTCCTCCTATTTTTCAATCCTGGTGTGGAAACGTCCTAGAATAAAGTTCTTGACGACAAATTGATAAGTTTTCAAGAAATTTTGTGTCATATTTGTGAGACATTACAGAATTTGTATGCGCCAAGTGACCCCCCAATAGTATAAGTTATGAGTCAATTCTTTTTTGTTAGCAATGATCATGCGAGCCCTCTGCCTTGGCAGAACACTGCAGACACATGACATCTTTACTTTTTATCGTTAAACTCTTTGACCCCATATTCTCAAAAATGCCTCTAACGAATTTCACCCAGCTAGCTTGTGCTCGCTTACATATAAGCAAAGCTTTGACGAAACGGCCAAAGTGGGCACCTAAATACTACAGTTGACACTTATATTAATTACAGGACCTATATATTATATCTCAGGCATTTATATCGTCAGGATAATCTATCCCTTAGACCATTGGACTGTCATCTGTTCAAAATGTTAACTAGGTTCGTATCTGTCATTTTGAGGTTCAAAAACTTTTGTCAAGTGAAATTAGCACTGCTATTGCTCCTACTACGCAAGGGATGGTGATGTTTAATCTTGTCTAAGACATTTAGACGTACGCTTATTGTTTTAGTTCAAGTTATCTCTCACCTGACGTGTGGATTGCATCGCCATGTTTTCCTTTGGACGGACGTGTGACATCTTCAACAGTGTTCAAGTTTTAGCGCCAGGAAAACTATATTTTCATCATGACATATGATAAAAGTGCCACAGTACCACTTGTTGACTATAGCATGTGGAAGACATCCACGGTCAATCATTCTACGAGCATGTCTTTAGACAAATAACCACAATATAATCTAGCACAGCACTTTTCAAATATTTGACATAACCGGAAGCACACTTAACTACTCCGCAGCAAGTAATTATAATGGATTTGTTTACCTTCATAAAAAGTCTATTAATGCTGCGTTAAATATATTAGCAGTAGAGCAATACCATACTAACCCTACAGAAACTTATGTGGCGTAATTATTAAACAGAGTGTTAAAAGTGGCTATTATTTTATCACGTGATATCCGGCGCTGCAATCACATGGCCACCAAAAGCAGACGATGCAAGTAATCGCCAAACGAGAACACCCGTTATTCATGCTGCTTGAAAGTTGCGTTTGTGCAAGTTGTCTCAATACTATTTCGGATTGTTTTCGGTTATTTGCCTTTACATAAAACTGTGGTAAGTCAGGATATCCATTGGCTTCACACCACATGAATATTGTGCTGACAGTAATTAAGCGAATACGTCATCACATTTAGGCCCCTCGAACCTTTGAAATAAAAGCGTTATCCAAACAGTTGTTTCAGTGAATGATGACATGTCATGTTTCGAGTCGATCCCCATTTACATCTCCATGCAGTGTCTAGGACAACTTGCAGCCGCTACAGGGGTTTATGTAAAGTTTTATATAGGCCTAAGCCTGGTCTGTGATAGCTTGAATTACATTCTATAACCATTACATTTTTTACAGTCAGTCCCCTTTTACTTTATGCTTACATTATGTATTTATGAAGCATGATATATAGCCTTTTCGTATTCAATAATATTTTGAATGGGTTGCACCGTTCTCATTCTCCTGTCACGTAAAAACCACTTATCGACTGTTCAGAAGGTTCGTACAGGCTTGAAATGGCTTTGAATCTTAAGGTACCTCTTGAAAAGCTTTGATTGTAAGTGTCAACCTTGAAAAGCTTTGAAAATCACCAAAATAACTGAATAAGTAAATTGAATTTGTACAAAATGACATCATTAATAATAGGTCTGTACGTCAAGGATGTTAAGTGTGATTTATCGCTTTGATAGATTTGAAACCATGCGAAGGACATTGAAGAATTCATGACAGACTTAATGTATTTTGCTTATTGGTTGTGAAAAAGAATCTCGTTTGAAAAATTCTGATGTTCATTCTGCGTTTTAGGTCTTACGACTGATATCTAGTATGCTGGATTAAAAATAAAAGTATTGTCAGACTAAGGCTAATGACCCGACTAAACAAACCTTGAAAATGAGAGTTGAAAGCCCCGAAAAGACCTTGAATTTTAAGAACCCTGTTAAATGGTATCTTGAAATATTTGGGTGACGTCTGCCATCGAAGGCATTGGCGTTGATAATTGTTTTATCAATTTTCCACATTGTCTACCTAACAGCATGATGAACGACGTGCCCACGGAAAACTCAGCCCTGGAAGCCACACACTGCCACCAGAGTGCCCTTGGTGAGATTGATAAGATGAACAAGGAATTGGAGCAGCTCAAGGAAGATTTGTTCAAAACCAGAGGTTCAGTATCGCAACTAGTATAGCATTTGTAATTTGTGGGAACTGTTTTGCATACCGCTTTACAAATGTCTTAAGAAAAATTGTAACTTTATGGATGACAACTTATGGTTTATTGCATATAGCGACGTTGCGATGTTGATTCTAACACTGTTATCAAGCTTGAGTACATAATATCATTTCTTTATCAGGGTATTTAACATAATTCGAACAAACAACAGACCAGTGATTTCTTAATAATAATTACAACTCAGCATACTGCCTGTAGATCTATATATAAACGAAATTATTAAATGTGATAACTAAAAAATATATGTAATAAATTACTTAGTTTGCGTGTACATATGAGCATTTGTGAACAGTCTTGTTTTCAATAATATTTTCAAAGGCTCAGAATAATGAGTAACGTAATTTGCCAAACACACAGTGATATAAGGTCAGCATATTTGCAAGATGTTGTGGTTAGTCGCCATGTAATCATTTTTATCATGACAGTGAAGTCTCACATCCTCCACGTTGACCTGGCCACCCAGTTCAGCCCCCATATGGTGGAGAAGTTGAGCCGTGTAAAGGAGGATTGCAACAGGTGCTCTATGACAGTTAACATGCATCTCCAGGCAGACCAGAAGTAGATGTCAGGCACATAGAGACATGGAGTGAAGATGGAACAAGCAACGTTTTCCCGTTTTCTTGTATAAAAGGCAGTTCTGGAAATGACATTGTTGACCCTGGATCCTTTCCTTCATGATTTGTTTATCATGTTCAAAACATTTTTTGATTCAACACTGACACTATCTGATTATCATTTAAGAAAACCTTGGCCTACAATAAACAACCATGTAAAATGTGTATTTGTCATATTGTCACGTCTTGACATTGCTCTTTAATGGCTAGCGTATCTAGTAATTTTATAGAAAATGATCTGGGACTGTTTATCAACTCAAAATAAAAGCGTTATCCAAACAGGTGTTTCAATGAATGATGACCTGTCGTGTTGCAAGTCGACCATCCTCTTTTATATTCCCATGCATTGTGTATGTTCTACCACTACCAGGGGGCCTATATATATATATAAATGTTATAGTCTGTGTATATTCCGTTTTACTTTCTGTTCACATTACAAGTATTTATGTGGTATGATATGTAGCTTTTTGCTACAGTGTATTTAATAGTTCTTGTTAATGAGTTACACCGTACTCATGTACTTGTCAAAGTTAAAAAAAACGGTTGCGAACGTTCCCGAATATAAATGTTTAGTCATTTTTATGGTATCTTAAAAGTCTAAGAGGGTTACCATCAACGGCATTGGTGTCCTTTGAACTATTTTATCCATGTTCCATATGGCTACTTTACAGCATGATGAACGATGTACCAGACAAGTGGCTTCTTAATAATATCAACCCAGCATACTGCCTGTAGAGAGAATCTATAAACGAAATGATTAGGACATTACAATATGTGAACACTAAAAACAGATACAAAATGCATTACTTAGTTTAGGTGTACATATATGGAGATTGGTGGGAAAATCTTGTTTTCATAATATTTACGTCTATTTTAAAAAAACCAGTTCAGTCTCCTATCGATTTTGAATTTGTTAACGTTCATTCAAAAACGTTCCTTTCTGTACTTAGTTGTGTGGGTGTCCACACGTCGCTTGTACTTAAATGTGTCAACCCTAAGTCTGCGTTATAAACAAACAGTTTTAGTCCACTTGTCTTTATAATGATAACATATAGAATAATGATAATAAAAAGGGCCAATTTCTATGAGTCCTTATGATACCTTAACTATTGGGCAGTGTGGCAAGGACAACAGGACTAGTGCCAATTTCTAACACTCCATAACTGCATCTTCAGTTACACTGTTTGTTGCACAATGTTTATCTGAGCATCGCCTGTGTTCTACGAACAGAGAATAATATACCCAAACGATCATATATGTCAAGGTAACGCAGGTTTCATACAGACATGTTATCAAACAACCCCTTGTCTTATAAAACTTGAAACCTCAACATCGGTATACACTCACCTTCTTGTGATACTGATTTTCGGCCCTTTGGCAAGTTTTATCCGTCATCACTACATAATTCTGATATGATTCACCTACAATTCAACCTGAGGTAGCAACTTCTGTAGCCGGCGCACAACGCACAACAGTTATCCATCCCTCGTGAAGTTAAGGATTGAGGTGTCCCTGTCGTGTGGCCTAATGTGTACACATAGTTCAAGAGGTCATACAGTCAGGGACATAATATTTACCCCAGCGAATGCATTTGTTAACGTATAGGCATTGGCAGTCATTCCTTGAATTATTATAGCTTATTGGGAGAATGCAATTTAACTTCATATACATAACCCCTGTCAAATTTAATCACAATTTGAAATATATTATCCATACTCTTTGTCTACACTAAGATGCCAATGGATTGTTTGTTCTGTGAGGCCGCATTCACAGGACGTCTTGCTTTCCAGGCGGGCTGCATACAGACGGTTTTTAACGGTAGGTGTTGAAATTTGCTATAATTATCGGCAGACATTTTGAACTGCAAGATGACAATGCTAGAAGACCACATCGTGCCCAGGTTGTCACCATTTATCTCCAATGAGAAGGCATACGGACATCGGACCGGCCCGCCATGTCGCCAATAGATCATCTGTGGGATGTTCTGAAGCGGAGAGAGTAGGCCAGAGACGTGCCCCAGCTTTAGGTAGGTTTTCTGGCGGAATAAGGGGGCAATACCAAGGGTAACCATGCGCGAAACAATCAACATTATGCCATCAAGGTGTCGTGCATGCATCACCCAACATAGTGGACACACCAGATATTGATCTACACGACCGAAATTAATTTTACAGACATTTATCGTCACTACACCTTCACTTTTATTCATTAGTTCCATTATTTCAGTAGAAATATGTAATTCTTGTTCTCCCTATCTTAGAACAAGTCTAATTATATATGATATTTCTACGAGACTAAGATTCGTTCTCTCAGAAATTGATTCCACTGTTTGGAGACATTTTGTACTGGAGACAGATGGAGAGAAATCAATTTTTTAATTAAGACATAGATCTAGATCTAATTAATAACAGAACAGTTTTTGGGTAGAGTTAACATGTATCACGTTAACTCAACCCAAAAACTGTTCTGTTATTAATTATGTCTTAATTATTGGGCTACACACATTGTACCCATGTCGGGATTCGAACCCGGGTCTTCGGCGTGACGAGCGAACGCTTTAACCACTAGGCTACCCGACCGCCCCTGCTCCTTGTTGTCTCATGTACCAGCCTTGTCATTGGAGTCAACCTGGCATTTCATTGATATAATGCAGTAACTTAAATCATGAGCAGACGACGCACTAAGGGACGTAACTCTAATTTCTTACCACATGTCATCATCCAACACGACAGACTGTAGTGGTGTTGATGACTCTTTTAAGATGCTCCTTGTTGTCTCATGCACCAGGCCTCACCAGCCTTGTCATTGGAGTCAACCTGGCATTTCATTGACATAATGCAGTAACTTAAATCATGATGAAATTGGTAAATTAGGTCCAGGAACGTGATTAAATATTTATATTATGTGTGTGCATTGTGAATGTCATATAAATGTTGACCTGTAATAATTAATTGCAAAACACTTGAATATAATATATCAGTAAATTGCCTCCAAAAGTGCAATTTGCCAAACCAAATCAATCATTTAAATAAGGTCAAATACATTGACCCGTGGAGATTCCGGGCTGGAATAGGTCTTCAGCAACCCATGCTTGCCGTAAAAGGCGACTATGCATGTCGTAAAAGGCGACTAACGGGATCCGGTGCACAGGCTCGCTGACTTGGTTGATACATGTCATCGATCCCAATTGCGTGGATCGATGCTCATGATATTAATCACTGGATTGTCTGGTCCAGACTCGATTATTTTACAGACCGCCGTCATATAGCTGGAATATTGCCGAGTGCGGCGTTAAACCACAAACAAACAAACAACATATTTATTCTTCTTTCACTGGTTATATTGATGAGTAGTGGGCAGATCAGTTTTACTTTTGTCACTGCAAACACAACTTGAACAGACCTTAGTCATGCCAATCAATATTTGAATACTTGTGCCAGGTTAGCTATATAGCAGTTGTGGCTGCTTTTTTTTTGGGGGGGGGGTGTAATTTGCATTGAGCCAAGATGTTGCATATTTGTATATGCATGTATTCACTGGCTAAACATATGTTAAACGATTGTGCATTGATGAAAATTGGTGGGAAGAAATACATTGGGCTCTTTCTGAACCAGAATCTGAATTCTTTTGACACATTTATGAACCAGCATTTATTTCAAGTCCAGTAAAACTTTGGTAAAACATCATTATTTAAACTTTTGGTACCCTGGCATTTGTCTGTTCCGATTCCGGCACTGAGTATTAGACAAAGTCTCCTCTATATATACCGTCATTGTTTTCTGACTAAATGATTGCCATTTCAAGAGGATTACCCATAAAATTGTGTTGTCTTTGATGTCTGTTTTTCAAATTGATAAACACGGAGTTGTCAGTCGAACAGTTTTTGCCGGTCCCTTGTGACGCAAGTTTAGACAGTGGGAAGGTGTCAGTGGAAGCATATGCATCACATGCTACCAGTATTCAGAAGGTACTGGTTTGATGTCACAAATGGGTACAACATGTGAATCTGACATCCCCTGCCGCGAAATTGCTCGAAAGGGTGCAAAATCTTATTCTTTCACTCACTCCATCCGCATAAAGCATTATAAAACAAAGAGCGCACAAATGTTTTTTAAGTTTATTTCAACATTTTGTTTTGGATGACTCCCATATGGTGATATGAATATTCCTTTAATATTTACATCTCTGATGCATGATTTATCAATAACAAACAGTAAGAACTAAATAAGAGGTTAACAGTATTTACATTTAACAATGTTTGATGAGATGCTGATATGAGAATTATCACAATTATGCTTGGGACAAATATTGGCAGATTACAAATTGTGTCATTAACACAACATTCCTTACAAATTCCTATAGTCCGAGTGCTGCAAAGTCGTACCGATGAAATGCAAAATAAATATATATCTGAAAGCAACAATTCATCTTAAATGGCGTGAAAGTTAAGTTATATATATTTGTCCATACCAATTCATCACCATAATTTCAGACATTGTCATGATGGGTAGAAAAAGTTGTAACTGTAATTGTTGGTGGTTTAATACCCCCGGTACTTGTTGTTACAAGGGGGTCTGCACAATAAACATAACAGCTTAGGGGCATCAGGGATAGTCTCAAAACTTCTATTCTGAAATATGTGCTGTTATAAATAACATTTATGCCATTTAAGACGAATTGTTGCTGTGGAATTTATATGTATTTTGCATTTCATTGGTACAGATTTTTGTAGCAAACGAACGATAGCAAGCACAACAATTTATACAGTCCCTATATATCTCTGATATCACGTGACATTATTTGGTAGTTAAAGCCATTAAAAGGCTGGAAAAAAAATTCTCAAGTAATCTGTGTTAAAAAGTTTATGCAGGCAGGAAGCCATTTTCATGTACCTTTATGCATGTAAACTCAAAAGTCTGCTACCCAGGTTAAGAGATGTTCTCTTAATCTCCTGTTACTTTGAGATGTTTATTACAGATGCAAACAGCTTGAGACACAAGAATATCTTACAGCAGCATTATATTAAAATGTGCCTTGTCATACACATTGCATAATTAAGGTACAAAGTGATCACAGTTATTAAACAATTAACAGAAGCAGAAAGTAAATGGAAGCATTATAAAATAAATAGTTGCTGAAATGTAAGCTTAAAACCTGTTGATTTTGTCTTTGAAAGTCATTTATAAGTGATACTCAGAAGGAAGAGATTATGGATGTCAACTTCTTTATAATGAGGAACACAACCTTGTGTTCCTCATAATAAAGAAGTTGAAATCCACAAATTCTCTTCCTTCTGTTGATTATCAGTTGATGTACATGGTGTATGGGTGTTGAATGATCTCATTCCCAGTTTTATATAGACAAGTTGACTTGGAACAGATTCTGAGAGACTTGGCACAGAATCTGTAAGCCTGGAACAGTCAGGGACTGTGAGAGAAGGATTAATCTATCTGCATGTTTGCATAACAACCCCTATCAGTGAAAGAGTGGGTGACACTTTACAAACCTGGTTTGAACAGTATTTCAGTTATAGAACTGTTTTATCATAATGTGAATGGAAAATCCAAAGTGACACAGGTCATAGACATTTACCACTAAGGTGATTTATGCAAATCATGCAAATGGATATGGTGCTGACTATGGCCAAAGCAAATGTACATTGAGATGCAATGCCACTGAACTGGCAATGTTTATCATAAAAGGAGTGTAGATGCACAACTGAGATTTACGTCACATTTGTTAATGAATGTTCCATGATGATACAAATAAATTAATCCTGATAATGACTATTCTTGGCAAACTGTATTCATTATATACAGAGACATATATCTATATATACAAACACATATGTACAACCAATAACATTCCTTGTCTAGAAACAACAAAATAAAAAATCATAAATTTGGTCCATTTCTTTGTTCCAAGATAAACCCTCAAGTAACTAATCATTTGAAATTGAGTAAGCAAACGAAAAGACAGAAACACACATGTTGTTAAAGCTTCATACACCAACTGCAGAATATCAAATCATTCCGTATATGATTTATCAGTAATATTGTATTTGTTCACAAATGAATCAGATCTTATTGTGAGTGAGTTCTGTTGAATATAGACATATTTGGCCGCCTGTGACGTTCGCTACTGGTCCAAAATCTGATTCTAGTCAAATTCCATTTTGTCTGAAAAGATAAACTAAAGAAAGTATATATTTTGAAAATAAAGTCTAAAAAAAAGAAGTTTTTCAGACTTGTAATTTGAAGCATTTGCCACAGACTTTACAAACCTTGCTTTTATGTAGATAAATCACCACACAGTGATTTCATGAGTACAAACATACTTATTTATGCTTTTGTTTGGTTATCACCAATTTCAATAGGAAGCATTTAGAAATCTGTCATCTACTCACAGCACCAAAATACATCACTCTCTACCATGTCAGAATGTTTTGAAACATAGTCATTCCTGAGTTCAACCAATGCATATCTATGAATAGAAAAAGGGTACGTTATCAGAAAGAGTTACCAGGTCTGCTGAAAAAGTGAGAGTCATGGACTGGATTTATATGCAGACTTTATAAAAGACTGCCACATAGATTCTGTTCATGGTTAAGAAGCAAAACTGAATACAGAGAACACCATACATAAAGTATTTACACAGAAAGCTTGCTACATATATGCACTTAAGTTTGTGGTGTTGCTGGAACTGAGTCTAAGGTGAAATACTGCAATTACCACATGCGACAGTGCCCCACCTGTTTCTGCCATGATCTCACATGCACTGAAACTAATTGAATCTAACCCACAAATATGATTACCGGTAACACAATTCTTTCACCAACCCCTAAAAACCTTCACTGACCCAAAATTCCAAACTTAGGGTTTTCAACATGTTATAAGGGAATAAAATTAATCAGCATGATTACTTAGCTGAAATGAAGTTGCCTAAGTGTACATGTGTCAATCATATGAAACATGTAAATTTGTGTACATCAAATATTTCAACAATCAAATATTTCAACCTTTCTGTGACAATATGCCACATGAACTTGTTATTGGTCTGTAAATACCCCCTTTATGTAAGTACAGACGTATAAGGGGTATATATTTTTATTTACTGATCAATAACGAGTTCATCTGACATTACTCTGTTTCATATTTGCTAATCTAAAAGTAGACGGCAATACTTGGAATCTCTTAAGAACCCTGAATAATCCAAAAGCAGAAGACATCATCAACTCCTGTGCACTGATATAATGTCCTAATACATGTATTCATAAAGATATCATCAAAATATTTTGGCTTGACGTGAGTTTGGCTCGATGTTTAACTCTTAAGCATGGTAAGTAGAAATGTCAGTGGCATAACTGCAAACAAATTAAAACATGTTGGTCTTTAATGTCACCTTATCCTAGCATTCCCACGCTCCAGGAGCGGTGGATCAGCCAAGTGGTTAAAGCTTTCACTTGTCACGCCAAAGACCCGAGTTTGATTCCCCACATGGGTACAATGTGTGAGGCCCATTTCTGGTTTCCCCGCCTCCGTGATATTGCTGGAATATTGCAAAAAGCGGTACAAAACACCACTCACCCTCTCCATATAGCATACATATATATTAAATATCTGACAGCAGGGATGAAACAGTTATTGCAAGTACAGACCTTACCAGCGTATCAAAACAAGAACTGTTACACTGTGAATGCACACTATCTTGGAAAGGTATTTCTTGAATCTTTTTTACACAGTTCAAGTTCATACTTACGTCAAGATTGTTCACAGGTATGTTTTCCTAGTTTACTGTGTATTTGGAATGTTTGAGACAGTTAATCACTGGTGATAGCCTAACAACACTAAACGCCATGCTTATATAGTGTTTAAAATTAAGGATGAAAGTCAAGGGGTCCTTATCATGTCCCCAATGTTAAAAGGTCTAGCTTCAAATAAAGCAGCAAACCTTAAGTATGCCAGGAGCACACTTAATTCTGAACATTTACATGTACAGGTTCTCAAATCCCTGCCTGGTTCATCCCCATCTGCTGTCCTAAAACTCTTTTCTCATGATGACCCCCCATGATGTATTCTGTAGGTTATCTTGTTTTAAGCGCTCTTTGATAGTCCTGCCATCAATGTTTAGACTACTGTGTCTCATGATGGTCCCTAAATAATTTTAATGTAGACAAGTCCTGCTGTTAAGTTCCTGATCTCATGGTCCCTCCTACTATCAAATGATTTTTTATATAAGTGTACATAGTTTGGTTAGACAAGCTGTGAGGCATTCATTAACTGCCGGTGGAGTTATTGCTTCCACTGCTGATGGTGCGAGTGCGGAACCTGCTGGCCTGTCTACGTGGGGCAAAGTCCTTCAACAGATCATGCTCCAATATAGCGCAAGCAGATGGACGTTCAGAGGGCTTCTGTGATACCAGCCATTTCACCACATCATGCTGAAAGAGAGATATCAAGGGATAAACATCCATCCTTCATGAAGTAAGGAATAGTGAAAGTAATGTTGAACTGCCGGAAAAATAAAGTTGTATATAATAAATAAAGTTTTGTATGTACCAAAGGTTGACCAAAGGATAACAATTATCATTTCATAGCAGTGTAATATTGTTCTGTAATTTCTGAAATATTTTGTTGTCCCAATGTGTATGATATTTTGTTCAACAAAATACATGTATAGGCATACAAAAATTATTTTACATGATAAAATCAACCCTTCTTTCAAGCTGGTTATTGAGTGGAATGTTTCAACATAATCAAAGGGACATTACTATGTACACATGACTTATTAATCTGGAAACTTGTAAATCCAGACAGTTCCGTAATGGTATAATCATCTGGATTAGCAAGGTTTTAACATGTTCAATGTAAGATATATTGGCAGCACTGCAGTTTACTGGGTGCAGCTTATGAAACAATCGGGTGCTGATCACTTGATAAACAAGCACTAGTTCTTTGTGATAGCCCCTATAGTGAGTGAGTGAGTGAGTATGGTTTTACGCCGCTTTTAGCAATATTCCAGCAATATCACGGCGGGGGACACAAGAAATGGGCTTCACACATTGTACCCATGTCGGGAATCGAACCCGGGTCTTCGGCATGACGAGCGAACGCTTTAACCACTAGGCTACCCGACCGCCCCGATAGCCCCTATAGTCCCGTGGTAAAGTGTTGGGTTGATAAACTCATTAGCCTAGCTTAGCTTCAAACTGGCAATGCAAGTTTGATCCTCTGTGCTGTGCTAATTAAAATCTGAAAAAGTATGCAGTATGTGCAGTACTCCCAGGAGTTAATGGACAAAGGACATGAAGGATACGAAGGAGGGAGAGATGGTAGAAAGACTGAACCACCCACCTCTTTTGGCATTTCTCGTATGAACCTGTCTGGGAAAATTTGTTTCTTGATGTCCACAAGTGTCCTGATCCTCTCCATCTGAGTGGAGAAGGGATACAGCAGCTCAAACAAGATCATCCCCAGGGAGAAGATGTCCACCTTGTGGTCATACTGACGCCGAGCAATCTGTATAACACACAACCATGCTACTTTGTACTAACAGAACAGGATGCCTTCTTCTAAATCTTTGCATTGTGTGGTGATAACTTTGGTCCAAGAGTGAGTGAGTGAGTTACTTGGGTTTAAGCCATTTTTAGTAATATTCTAGAAATACCACAGAAAGATACCCGAAATGGGCTTCAAACATTGAACCCATGTGGGGAAACCAGCTGTTCAGGGTGATATGCAAACACCATAATGATAGTGAACCATTAGCTTATCATGCTTACTACTCATAACACATACCCACTGCCAACATGAATACCATACATGTTGGATTAAAAATGGACACTCATTTTCAAGAGATATTAGATTGGTTCCATGCACAAATGAACATACTGGTATGTTGTGTGAACCAATGCTCTTGAATGTATCAAATGTGACATCATAGATCCATGACTCGAGATGCACCATTTGTCTTGTGCAGGATTACCGTGTTCACTTTGTAACTCATGTGCAGCATATCGTGATAAATATAAAGACACTCTGTGGTAACACTTGACTGATTCTTAGTATTGTCATTCATTGGTGCCCATTGGACTGTTGGAAACATCTCTTCTTAACGTACATACTTCTCTGTATGTTTCCATGGTTCATGTTTCTTTAGGCGGTGAGTATACATAACGATATCAATAATATCATAATAATCATGAAGACAGATGAACGGGCAAGCAGAAGCCCTGAAACTTTGTTACAAGTAATAAAGAAGATATCCATACCAGTAACTTGGTGAACAGTTGAATATAATGATAAAATGAAATTTTGGATAGTAACAGATTAATAAACAAATTCTTTAACTTGTTTAAAAAATTTCTACCTGTTCTGGGCTCATGTAAAGCTGTGTGCCGACCTCAGCTGTGTGTTTAGCATAGGCATCGCCAGCTTCACCAACTATGTCATGTGCTTCTACAAGTTCTGTCACAAGGCCAAAATCTCCAATCTTGATTGTCCCATCCACAGAGAAGAAAATATTAGAGGGCTGAAATAAAAGAAATGATCCTTTGATTTCACTGTCAAACTGTACTAGTAATCATGGCAATAAGTATAATTACTAGGGCTGGGATGAGTCCAAAGTAACTACCCGGGTACCCAACCCTGTAATAACCGACCCTACTCGAGTACCCGCGGAAGGTCTCATGAGATTGGTACAAACTGTTCGATAAGGAATTGTTTGACTGTAGCCCTGGCAAAAAATATTTAGGTACACTATAAAACGATAATGTCATGCATTACTGAAGTTGACTGAAGCTCTAACTTTATTCAAAAATACAGAAGGAATGCGTTAATGGTCTGAAAGATAAGCAAACAATCGTGACCTGTAGTGTATTCGTGGAGTTCTAGATAAGTTTTGTCATTAAACAATATATCACATGATTAACAACAGGTCCTGGTAGTCCTGTGGGTACTCAGTACCCACCAGAACTGAGAACCTGAGTTACCCGTCCCAGCTCTGGTAATCATGGTAATCGTGGTAATTACAACACATTTTCTAGTGGTAGTGAGTGAGTATGGTTTTACGCCGCTTTTAGCAATATTCCAGCAATATCACGGCGGGGGACACCAGAAATGGGCTTCACACACTGTACCCATGTCGGGAATCGAACCCGGGTCTTCGGCGTGAAGAGCGAACGCTTTAACCGCTAGGCTACCCGACCGCCCCTTCTAGTGGTAGAGCATCTGCCCTGAGAGTGGAAGGTTGGGGGTTCGATCCCTGGCCACGTCATAAAAGTTAAAAGATGGTACTTGTTGTTACTCTGCCTGGCTTTCGGCATTAAGGGACTAGTCAACTCAGAGGCAGTATACTGTGTCTGAGTGGCGCATTCATGATAAACTGTGGTATGGTATCTCAGTGGGCTAGCATTTAATCAGCATTAGTCCAGAGTAGTACAAGCAGGCACACACACACACACACCCCTGCAATAATCTTGAACATGATGTTAACCCCAATTTCATCTCACCTCATCTACAACACTTCTTCACATGCTTCAGGTGTTAGAATCATGAGTATTGTTATAAAGCATGTTTGTTTGTTTGTTTCTTAGAGCCACACTCAGCAACATTCCTGCTATATCATGTATATGATGGCGGTCTGTAAATAATCAAATATGGACCAGACAATCCAGTGATTGACATCATGACCATTGTTCTACACAGTTGGGATACAATGACATGCTTCAACCAAGTCAGCAATCTGATCACCTGATCCTGTTAGTCGCCTCTTACCATGCTTATGACATTGACAAGCATTGGTTGCTGAAGGCAAATTCTAACCCTGATCTTGGTACACCAAGCATGTGAAGCAGTGACTTGGCTATCAGCTGGGTGCTACTTTGACCATTCTTTCCCTTGTGCTTATATCACGGCATGTCCGACAAATGTGGGAGGAAAGTCCAAAGTGATGCAGGTCCTAGATGTTTGAATGTTTCATAATATTACATCTTTGATAATAATGTTATTGTTAAAGATGAGGGGCTGTTGGAATTTCACTGACAGCAATTTGAGAATGCTTAGAATTAACCAAAGTCCCATCTATTTAATCAAATTGAGTGTATGCCATATATTCATACATGCATTATATATGTACACACATCTATGTTCATACTAGCCAAAAACACATTATGAAAATCTTTTCTCATGATTGAGAATATCACACCTATTATTGCAGCATGCTGAAAACAAACTAGTCATATATAGGGTACCATATTCGACGTAATAAGCGCCCCGCTCTAATAAGGCAATATTTGCTAATATATTGGCTAGTGAGTAATCCCAATTAGCGCCCCTTCCGATTGATCAATGTACACAAGACTTATTTATTCGTGTATAATACGCACTGGTGTGTAATATGCACCCTTAATTATGGGCTGTCAGCAGAAACCACAAAATTTATCTTTCAACTCTTTTTTTCTCTCAACAAATAATATTTTAATAAGAGCCTCCTATTTCTAATTTTGATTGAGCCCTGGGCACTTATTATGTCGAATACGGTATATCATGCTATGATCAAGGTTTACAATAAACAAAATAACAAACGTCATCAGCAGATATCCATCCCCCGTTCTGGTACAATTTAGAAATGGAGTTTGACTACTTATACCCTACCCCACTTTTAGTTCATTGCCATCGGATACCGTCAAATATTTCATTAATTGAAGAGCAATGATATAATTTTTCAATATCGATATACACCACTAACCTATATTGCTATTTGTGTCTGATGACACTTACCTTGAGATCTCTATGCATAAGTCCACATTCATGTACATACTCCACAGCAGACACTATCTGGTCAAATATATCCAGAATAGCAGTCCTATCACGGTTCAGTGTGTTGGCACACATCCACTCCTTCAGCGTCTCTCTCCGACACAGCTGCATCTGAATGTACACATACACCTTCGGAGTGGCTAGCTTCTTCCCCACACTATGACTGTCCTCCGGGGTTTCCGAAGTGTGTCTATCAGAGTTTTGGCTTGGTAAACCAGAGTTTTCAGATTTCTCAATCCGAATGGAATGATCTTTGAACACAACATTGGAGTCCGTTTCCCCTGAATTATCTCTTTCATGTGAAACATCATTACTGCTTTTGTCCTTGCAACCTGAATCTTCAAACACTATGCTGAATGAGTCAGCATCACCTTGGTGAGATGGCTGAATGCTTTCACTTGAAGAGTGGAGATATGACTGGAAGGGAATGCCAGATGACTTAGATTCTTTTCCACCTGACTGAGAATTCATGAATTCAATGCTGAATGAATCTTCATCTTCTGCACAACGCTTGTCAGGCTCTCCACCAATGTAACTGAAAGACCCGCTTTCGTCTGTTGAACAATCCATATTGGAATGAGCTGAAAATTCTTGACTGGTTCCTTCACGAAGATGGTTGAGACGGCTGAGAGAGGAAGAGTTTTCCTCTGGTAGGATTCCCAGTTTGTTAATGAAAGGATTGAAGTCTGAGAGACTAGGCTCCATGGCCTGGTTGGGCGGGAATCTCGAGATGGAGGATAGGTCGGTGCCAGTGTTGCATGGCATCGGAGTCAGGCACTCACTGAAAAACAGATAAAATAACTTTTATCATAATGTTAAATTGCACTGCTGCTTAAGGATCTCTTTGATCACATCCATTAAAAAACACACAGCTACCTCGTAAGCCAACATTAAGTGGTTACCCTAAAGAAAATGTAGTAGACCTTTAGTTACTATTATGACATCACAGCACACACTGAAAAATGATAACACATCTCTGATGACCCTAAGCTTGAATTACACTCTCTAAGTCAGTATCTGTAACCACATTTTGTAACTGACGATTGTACATACTATTCCAAAGCACCTCCCGACAATGACTGAGATGGAAGTACTTTTCTATCAATATTCCACAGTGACCCAGTCGTCAAATTCATTGTTTCAACCAGAGGTGGTTGTTGTGATTTAAAACCTCTAAATGGCCAATCAAAGTGATTGTATTAAGTACCATTCCTCATATTCACGACCTACCTGTCCTCAAACTGTTTGTCCCTCTCCTCCTGCCAGCCTGACGGAGGCGTCTCCAGCCATGCGTGGTAGAACCTGACAATACCCACGTGATCAAGCTTGGCCAAGGCCTTCACCTCTCGGATCACCCGCTCCTTCTGACCTTCCCTGAAAGGTAGCCAATTTTTTAAAGAATATTAACCCCTTGAAACAGGCAGGGCTCTATTTCCGAACATGATTTAACATGCACCATGCACACGTTTTCATTATGAAAACAAAAGATAATTCAAAGAGCCAAAATAGACAAAAAGTCTTTCAAAATTGAAAAAATAATTGTTGAATAAGGTGATGGAATGTTTAAAGAAGATATTCCGACCTAAAAACTTAATAGGGGAGGGCAAATTGAATAAAGATGGTTCAGATAGTAAGAGCACAAGAACGAATTCCCAGCCAGCTGAGTGAGAGTGATGAATCAGACTTGTTAATCACGTGGTTCCGGTGCTCCTGCGGTTCCGCACATGGGCAAGTTGATTGAAGACTTTGAAGGACTTCGAAAATATTTGTCTGAGCTTAATGTTTTTGAATAATTTCAGCGCAAATTTGATGCAGAAACCATGTTTTCGGAACCTGCATGCTGATGGGACTATGAATATGTGTGATAGTCCTCTCCAGAGTGAGTCTGTTTACACAAAAGTTGGGTTGAAATGGCAAGGGTGAGAACTAGACTTTGATATATTAATAAAGGCTAGTGGACATCCTAGCCTCTAGAAAAGGGGGAGAGTGTGATTACCTGTTTGGGATACAGATTCTCTTCACAGCATACTTGCAGTCATCCACTTTATTCTTGGCTTCAAACACAATCCCAAACCCTCCCTTTCCTAAACAGTGCAGGCAGTCGAAGTCTTGGCTGAACCTACAAAACAACAGACCCTTGTTATTATTCATAGGAACAGGGTTAGAAATTAAATCTTACTTTTGCTAGTCCACAAAAACAATCTGCTAAAGGTAAAAGTTGTAGAGAACACAAATGTCCCTTGATCTTTTCCGGAATTTTTCGCATCTCAGACAAGTGGACTTACGATTATTTATGTCAAGCCTACCTGTGGATGCAAATTAACCTCAAACAGTGCCTGAGTAGTGAAAATGTATAAGGACGTCCCCTGAAAAGCCAGAAATTCTACTAGACAAACTGACTTGGGATAACAGGCTGGTGCCAACTTGCATCTCAGCTCTCACAGTAAAAAATATCTGAACATAAATATTTTTCTGATGCTATCAGTAGGACTATCCAATATTGTTTCTCCATGAAAATTTTATGACTGATGTCATAAATGGTTAAAGAACCAAAAATACTATCCATCCACAGTTTATGACGGACGACACTCAGTGAAAGGCTAAAATATTAATAGTCTTGGTTCCCAGGCACCACCCACATCATCATAAAGTTCGCCACATGTTTTGTTTTTATTTCCATTTTGAATTTTTTTTTAAAAATCCTTAAATATTCCAAGTCCAACGGGAGTCAAATATTGCATTCAAGTATTTTACTCATCAAGGAATACATTAATGTATGGAATCCCTGTCCGGGGTTGATTGTTCACAACTGTTTATTTGGTTACACACTAGTTTGATAAACCAAAAAAAAAGAAAGAAAAAGACACCACCCGCCGCAAATATATTTTCAAAAACCACTGCCTGAGAACCAATTCTTTTAATTTTAAGCCTAATGGTGCCCATTTTCAACTTAGGTCCAGAACATTTTAACAAGTGCCAGGCATGAAACTTAGGCATTGTCTCAGATCAATAAGAGGAATTATTAAACAAACTGGTTACATCATATATTTGTAGTTAGCAGGCAAAGTGGGTTTTGAATTACTTTAATGAAAACTTCATGCTGCAAAATGGTCCGAGCTTAGTTACTCTTCCACAACTTTCTGAGCATTTACAAATCTGAAATGTTTTGTGTATGTTAAATAAACTGTTAAATGAAGTATTGGACACCTTCTCCAATCTAAACCATGGCTGTCAGTCACAAACTTTCTTCTATAATATGTGATATGTAAACTGACAGGTTACCTGGAAGAATATTCAGCCTGTTTCTGTGGTTCTGGCAGGATCTGTGAGGTCTCGGACCCCTTGCTGCTGGTACTGTCAGTCGACACCTGAACACAACAAATCCTTCATAGTAACGGTAACTATAGAACAGTAACTTTCCAGAGAAACAATCTCACTACGTTTTCATGAAAAAAAATAATAAATAAACATAAGAAAAAGACAACACTTAATATTCTGCAATCTCCAGGTAATATTTGTGCTCATACAGCTTATTTTTAAAAGGAGGTGGGCGATTTTTTGCAATTTTCGTTCAGAAATCATGTTGATAATATATCACCAAATAAGTTAGTCTTGTAATATATTTACTTTTAGTATACCCCATCACCTTCAAAGCTTCCAAATGAAGTTTGTTTAGTACCGGTATGTTTCAAAATTTACGGTGTGCATCCCTGCACCTCACCCCTCCCCCAAATACACATACAATATCTCTATTACTTTTGACTACTTTCTAAAAGGCATTTTCTACTGATATCTCTATGGTTGTTAGAAACTTTTCTTGAAACTATCTCATTGAATAAAACAATTCCTGTGACAAGTTAACAAAAGAGAGCTACTGTAGACTCACCTGTCTGCTGGTGTTGTCAGGCTGGTCCCTGTGGGTGTATCTGCTCAGTAGCAGGTGAACCACTACAGTCATCAGGGTGATAGCCACCATCTCCTTCCTGTGAGTAGACAACATAGACTGTCAGCTGTCTACTACATGGATACTATCATAGAACAAAAGGCTAAAAATCAACAGCAATCAAGAACTGAAAGATCCATTTTCTGAGCCCTGAAGAATAGTCTAAGGGAGATAATTTGTTGATCTGAGAAGAGTTGCCTACCTTGATAATCCAGTGGATACCTTTTTTATATATTATTTGTTCAGGCAGATTTACACAAAAGAGGTATGCCTTTCTACTTGTATCATAGGAATATATCAGTAATTTATTCAAAGCTCACGATGCTTGGACATATAAACCAACTTTAAGTTTTATCACTGAACTATGAACGGGTGATTGGTGATTTCAAATTAAAGTTCATTTGCTTTTTGGAAAACCAAGATTCTAAAATTACAACCTACAGCAACATTTTGACTTCATAAGGACATGAATGAATTCCTAACTCACCACCAGGTCCAGAGTGGTAGATTCATGCCCATCACGTTGCCTGCCCCATCACGCCTGCTTCCATTGGGTCCTTCCTCAATTGCAAGTGTAGTCGGGGAGAAGTCAGGAAACAGGTAGTAGCCATTGTCTGCATGAGGCAATACAGAATATGTCAGGTAAGCTTTAACATCAGGCAGATGTGGTGAGGTGAGGTGAAATGGGGTTTGACGTCGCGTCCATGATTATTGCACTTATATAGCGACGTGCTTGTATGTGTGTGTGTGTGGCTGCTTGTACTAGTCCGGACTGAAGCGGATTTACCATGCCGCAGTTTAACATGGATACCCCACTCAGACACAGTATACTGACTCCGAGCCGACTAGTCCTTGTTTTAGCCCCTTAATGCCGAGTGCCAGACAGGGTAACAACAAGTACCATCTTTTAACGTCTTTTGGTATGACACGGGTAGGGATCGAACCCCGGACCTTCCGCTGTCCATGCGGACACTCTACCATTAGACCACGGCAGGCAGATGTGGGTGGTTGTGACACATCAATCTGGGTTCAACAAGGCTGCTAGTCATGGGCTAGTACAAAAGGACTAGTAGTAGGAGTCAGTGAGTGAGTATGGTTTTACACCGCTTTTAGCAATATTCCAGCAATATCATGACGGGGGCCTTCACACATTGTACCCATATCAGGAATCGAACGAACGCTTTAACCACTAGGCTACCCGACCGCCCCTGTAGTAGGAGAAGGTGAAGTAATATTACACTATTAGTCAGAATGAACTATGGACTGGACGGTTTAGCGTATGGAGTTTTTCTCTGCCAGTGTTTTTCCTTAGATATCGAACTACCTCACAGCATGGTATATTATATCTGTAAACATTTTTTATGTTTATCAACCATAATGTGAAACCAGAAAAATCTGAATAAATACATAATATTAGCTTTCAGTGTGATGTGGTCGTCAAATATACCGTTTTTAATCAGAAGTGGTTATTGTGATTTGAAACCTCTGATCAATCAGAATCGAGTATTTTTCAAATTCATGGTAGGATTTGCATTACCAAAAGGGTAGTTTTCATGCCATGACACGAGCGAGGTTGCAGCCTGTGCATCGTCCACTCCTTCAGCTATCTGAGGTAGGTCCTGACTGGGGTTCATTATAGGTGTCCGAGATGTCGCTGACAACAAAAACAGTTTGGACATTTTAAGCATATATAAAGATTACTGTGCTGTAGTAGGGTTTCTAAAGATCTATTGAAAGAACAGCCATTGTGTTGACTATGTAAGCAAGCATCTAACATGTCAGGAAAGTCTTATAAAGTGTACCTTCATTTAAGACTTAAGCTTTAGGTGCAAAATAGTGCATAACAGTTTGGTATACGGTTAACTAAAACAGGGTCAAACATTGTTTAAAATGGTCAGTTATTTTCAAGTTGTAATGTACATATTGATTAAAAAAAACCTCATAATTGTCCTCTATTTTACACTTTTTGCTAGAATGGTTTTGAACCCAAAATATGACCAATGATCAGTGTGTACCCATTCAGACTGATGACTGATGGAGAACCTGATTAAGATTCCTATTTCAATATCCTGTTACCTGTACTGAGATAGGGCCTCCAGGTGATTCGCAGTGGCACAGTCTGGAGGCTGTTGGCAGCAGCGGCAGAGACGGTCTCCTGCATCTGATCAGATGGCTGGACGTAAAGCTGGTTCTGATGCATGCCTATAGAACAAACAGACAGTGGAAGATCTTTGACATCCTGAGTAGCATGTAAACCTGGTTCTGATGCACACCTATAACACAGACAGACAGACAGACAGTGGAAGATCTTTGACATTCTGAGTAGCATGTAAATCTGGTTCTGATGCACACCTATAACACAGACAGACAGACAGTGGAAGATCTTTGACATTCTGAGTAGCATGTAAACCTGGTTCTGATGCACACCTATAACACAGACAGACAGACAGTGGAAGATCTTTGACATTCTGAGTAGCATGTAAACTTGGTTCTGATGCACACCTATAACACAGACAGACAGACAGTGGAAGATCTTTGACATTCTGAGTAGCATGTAAACCTGGTTCTGATGCACACCTATAGCACAGACAGACAGTGGAAGATCTTTGACATTCTGAGTAGCATGTACTGGTTTAAATCCCTTGTACATGAGAACCATAACATTTCCAATGTATCACCTCAGTACTGTTGCAATAGTGCAATAGATGCCCTCGATAGTACTCCATTACAGAAACCAGCTAACAGAAAGGTTAGTGTTCTCTGAGTAGGCCGAATCATAACTTATCACCCAAAACTTAATAGTGATGCTTACTTATGAAGTATAGATATAACTTACATAATCTTGATTTACACAAAGGACACCTACAACACAGGGCAGTTGTAGTTGTTGTCCTGTCATGTTCAAGTTTCACCCACTAGTCAAGAGAGGCTCTTTGATTTTAAGTAACTACTCCTCATCAGATGGCTGTGTTGAACTCACCAACATAAAGCAGTGGGTCCCCTGGTGGGCTGTCAATGTCGTCGGGCTGGAAGCTGGAGATGGCTGGAACATGGCGCGTGTCAAACAGACTCATCTGCTTCAGCTGGCCCTGGTGCATCAGCCATGCATTGGCCACCGGGCTGGAGAACTGGCGGAAACAGTGGTGTAAGAATAAGTAGTGTGTTACAATACGGTGTGTGCCACTGGGCTGGAGAACTGACGGAAACAGTGGTGTAAGAATAAGTAGTGTGTTACAATACGGTGTCTGCCACTGGGCTGGAGAACTGGCAGAAACAGTGGTGTAAGAATAAGTAGTGTGTTACAATACGGTGTGTGCCACTGGGCTGGAGAACTGGCGGAAACAGTGGTGTAAGAATAAGTAGTGTGTTACAATACGGTGTCTGCCACTGGGCTGGAGAACTGGCAGAAACAGTGGTGTAAGAATAAGTAGTGTGTTACAATACGGTGTCTGCCACTGGGCTGGAGAACTGGCAGAAACAGTGGTGTAAGAATAAGTAGTGTGTTACAATACGGTGTCTGCCACTGGGCTGGAGAACTGGCGGAAACAGTGGTGTAAGAATAAGTAGTGTGTTACAATACGGTGTCTGCCACTGGGCTGGAGAACTGGCGGAAACAGTGGTGTAAGAATAAGTAGTGTGTTACAATACGGTGTCTGCCACTGGGCTGGAGAACTGGCGGAAACAGTGGTGTAAGAATAAGTAGTGTGTTACAATACGGTGTCTGCCACTGGGCTGGAGAACTGGCAGAAACAGTGGTGTAAGAATAAGTAGTGTGTTACAATACGGTGTCTGCCACTGGGCTGGAGAACTGGCAGAAACAGTGGTGTAAGAATAAGTAGTGTGTTACAATACGGTGTCTGCCACTGGGCTGGAGAACTGGCGGAAACAGTGGTGTAAGAATAAGGTGTGTGTTACAATACGGTGTCTGCCACTGGGCTGGAGAACTGGCAGAAACAGTGGTGTAAGAATAAGTAGTGTGTTACAATACGGTGTGTGCCACTGGGCTGGAGAACTGGCAGAAACAGTGGTGTAAGAATAAGTAGTGTGTTACAATACGGTGTGTGCCACTGGGCTGGAGAACTGGCAGAAACAGTGGTGTAAGAATAAGTAGTGTGTTACAATACGGTGTCTGCCACTGGGCTGGAGAACTGGCAGAACAGTGGTGTAAGAATAAGTGGTGTGTTACAATACGGTGTCTGCCACTGGGCTGGAGAACTGGCAGAACAGTGGTGTAAGAATAAGTGGTGTGTTACAATACGGTGTCTGCCACTCGGCTGGAGAACTGGCAGAAACAGTGGTGTAAGAATAAGTAGTGTGTTACAATACGGTGTCTGCCACTGGGCTGGAGAACTGGCAGAACAGTGGTGTAAGAATAAGTAGTGTGTTACAATACGGTGTCTGCTACTGGGCTGGAGAACTGGCAGAAACAGTGGTGTAAGAATAAGGTGTGTGTTACATTACGGTGTGTGCCACTGGGCTGGAGAACTGGCAGAAACAGTGGTGTAAGAATAAGTAGTGTGTTACAATACGGTGTCTGCCACTGGGCTGGAGAACTGGCAGAAACAGTGGTGTAAGAATAAGTAGTGTGTTACAATACGGTGTCTGCCACTGGGCTGGAGAACTGGCAGAAACAGTGGTGTAATAATAAGAAGTGTGTTACAATACGGTGTCTGCCACTGGGCTGGAGAACTGGCAGAAACAGTGGTGTAAGAATAAGTAGTGTGTTACAATACGGTGTCTGCCACTGGGCTGGAGAACTGGCAGAAACAGTGGTGTAAGAATAAGTAGTGTGTTACAATACGGTGTCTGCCACTGGGCTGGAGAACTGGCAGAAACAGTGGTGTAAGAATAAGTAGTGTGTTACAATACGGTGTCTGCCACTGGGCTGGAGAACTGGCGGAAACAGTGGTGTAAGAATAAGTAGTGTGTAACAATGAGGTGTGTGTTACAATACGGTGTGTGCCACTGGGCTGGAGAACTGGCGGAAACAGTGGTGTAAGAATAAGGTGTGTGTTACAATACGGTGTTTGCCACTGGGCTGGAGAACTGGCAGAAACAGTGGTGTAAGAATAAGTAGTGTGTTACAATACGGTGTGTGCCACTGGGCTGGAGAACTGGCAGAAACAGTGGTGTAAGAATAAGTAGTGTGTTACAATACGGTGTGTGCCACTGGGCTGGAGAACTGGCAGAAACAGTGGTGTAAGAATAAGTAGTGTGTTACAATACGGTGTCTGCCACTGGGCTGGAGAACTGGCAGAACAGTGGTGTAAGAATAAGTAGTGTGTTACAATACGGTGTCTGCCACTGGGCTGGAGAACTGGCAGAAACAGTGGTGTAAGAATAAGGTGTGTGTTACAATACGGTGTGTGCCACTGGGCTGGAGAACTGGCAGAAACAGTGGTGTAAGAATAAGTAGTGTGTTACAATACGGTGTCTGCCACTCGGCTGGAGAACTGGCAGAAACAGTGGTGTAAGAATAAGTAGTGTGTTACAATACGGTGTCTGCCACTGGGCTGGAGAACTGGCAGAAACAGTGGTGTAAGAATAAGAAGTGTGTTACAATACGGTGTCTGCCACTGGGCTGGAGAACTGGCAGAAACAGTGGTGTAAGAATAAGAAGTGTGTTACAATACTGTGTCTGCCACTGGGCTGGAGAACTGGCAGAAACAGTGGTGTAAGAATAAGTAGTGTGTTACAATACGGTGTCTGCCACTGGGCTGGAGAACTGGCAGAAACAGTGGTGTAAGAATAAGTAGTGTGTTACAATACGGTGTCTGCCACTGGGCTGGAGAACTGGCAGAAACAGTGGTGTAAGAATAAGTAGTGTGTTACAATAAGGTGTCTGCCACTGGGCTGGAGAACTGGCGGAAACAGTGGTGTAAGAATAAGTAGTGTGTAACAATGAGGTGTGTGTTACAATACGGTGTGTGCCACTGGGCTGGAGAACTGGCGGAAACAGTGGTGTAAGAATAAGGTGTGTGTTACAATACGGTGTCTGCCACTGGGCTGGAGAACTGGCGGAAACAGTGGTGTAAGAATAAGTAGTGTGTTACAATACAGTGTCTGCCACTGGGCTGGAGAACTGGCAGAAACAGTGGTGTAAGAATAAGTAGTGTGTTACAATACGGTGTGTGCCACTGGGCTGGAGAACTGGCGGAAACAGTGGTGTAAGAATAAGTAGTGTGTTACAATACGGTGTCTGCCACTGGGCTGGAGAACTGGCAGAAACAGTGGTGTAAGAATAAGTAGTGTGTTACAATACGGTGTCTGCCACTGGGCTGGAGAACTGGCAGAAACAGTGGTGTAAGAATAAGTGGTGTGTTACAATACGGTGTGTGCCACTGGGCTGGAGAACTGGCAGAAACAGTGGTGTAAGAATAAGTAGTGTGTTACAATACGGTGTCTGCCACTGGGCTGGAGAACTGGCAGAAACAGTGGTGTAAGAATAAGTAGTGTGTTACAATACAGTGTCTGCCACTGGGCTGGAGAACTGGCAGAAACAGTGGTGTAAGAATAAGTAGTGTGTTACAATACGGTGTGTGCCACTGGGCTGGAGAACTGGCAGAAACAGTGGTGTAAGAATAAGTAGTGTGTTACAATACGGTGTCTGCCACTGGGCTGGAGAACTGGCAGAAACAGTGGTGTAAGAATAAGTAGTGTGTTACAATACGGTGTCTGCCACTGGGCTGGAGAACTGGCGGAAACAGTGGTGTAAGAATAAGTAGTGTGTAACAATGAGGTGTGTGTTACAATACGGTGTGTGCCACTGGGCTGGAGAACTGGCGGAAACAGTGGTGTAAGAATAAGGTGTGTGTTACAATACGGTGTGTGCCACTGGGCTGGAGAACTGGCGGAAACAGTGGTGTAAGAATAAGTAGTGTGTTACAATACGGTGTGTGCCACTGGGCTGGAGAACTGGCGGAAACAGTGGTGTAAGAATAAGGTGTGTGTTACAATACGGTGTTTGCCACTGGGCTGGAGAACTGGCAGAAACAGTGGTGTAAGAATAAGTAGTGTGTTACAATACGGTGTGTGCCACTGGGCTGGAGAACTGGCAGAAACAGTGGTGTAAGAATAAGTAGTGTGTTACAATACGGTGTGTGCCACTGGGCTGGAGAACTGGCAGAAACAGTGGTGTAAGAATAAGTAGTGTGTTACAATACGGTGTCTGCCACTGGGCTGGAGAACTGGCAGAACAGTGGTGTAAGAATAAGTAGTGTGTTACAATACGGTGTCTGCCACTGGGCTGGAGAACTGGCAGAAACAGTGGTGTAAGAATAAGGTGTGTGTTACAATACGGTGTGTGCCACTGGGCTGGAGAACTGGCAGAAACAGTGGTGTAAGAATAAGTAGTGTGTTACAATACGGTGTCTGCCACTGGGCTGGAGAACTGGCAGAAACAGTGGTGTAAGAATAAGTAGTGTGTTACAATACGGTGTCTGCCACTGGGCTGGAGAACTGGCAGAAACAGTGGTGTAAGAATAAGAAGTGTGTTACAATACGGTGTCTGCCACTGGGCTGGAGAACTGGCAGAAACAGTGGTGTAAGAATAAGAAGTGTGTTACAATACTGTGTCTGCCACTGGGCTGGAGAACTGGCAGAAACAGTGGTGTAAGAATAAGTAGTGTGTTACAATACGGTGTCTGCCACTGGGCTGGAGAACTGGCAGAAACAGTGGTGTAAGAATAAGTAGTGTGTTACAATACGGTGTCTGCCACTGGGCTGGAGAACTGGCAGAAACAGTGGTGTAAGAATAAGTAGTGTGTTACAATACGGTGTCTGCCACTGGGCTGGAGAACTGGCGGAAACAGTGGTGTAAGAATAAGTAGTGTGTAACAATGAGGTGTGTGTTACAATATGGTGTGTGCCACTGGGCTGGAGAACTGGCGGAAACAGTGGTGTAAGAATAAGGTGTGTGTTACAATACGGTGTCTGCCACTGGGCTGGAGAACTGGCGGAAACAGTGGTGTAAGAATAAGTAGTGTGTTACAATACAGTGTCTGCCACTGGGCTGGAGAACTGGCAGAAACAGTGGTGTAAGAATAAGTAGTGTGTTACAATACGGTGTGTGCCACTGGGCTGGAGAACTGGCGGAAACAGTGGTGTAAGAATAAGTAGTGTGTTACAA